AGATTCTGAAGAACTGACTGGTAGTTTATTAGATTTATTTCAGAAAGCACAACCCTTAACTGCAATTCTACTTGTTGTAGCAATTTGCTTTTGACTCTGAGCCGCACGCCCTTCACACTGTTACACTGCTACATACCACTAATGGTCCTATAAATAGTTTTTATAAACATAGCCATACTTATATTCTGACAATACATGTTCATACTGTTGCACAGTATTACAAAGCTCAGCCTTTAAACCTGAACTAGTAAGTAGGACCGGCCCATGCAACACTTTTGGAGCAGTCTGTGTCTTCTGCATTTTTTATATTAACTGGAATGCCTGCTTCAAGGAAGCAGAGACAAAACTAAACTCATAACTTTATCAGCTATTAATGCAAGAAAACTATAGGACTCTGGAAGAGAAAATATGATAAATTCTCTTCCATCCCTTCTGATCTTCTCCCCACTTGGAACAGGGGATCAAGCTCAAGCTAACCTGTTATTTACCTCTGTCTGTATTTCATGCACAAAAGTCAGCTATCACATAGAAACACACGTTCACTCACACTCCTACTGAGATTGCTAAGATTAGTTCTTATCCCTGGTAATATCCTAGTCAAAGTTTCATGATCACTGCTGTATTTTTTTTTCAGAATTCTTTTATCTTCCTTTTCTTGTTTACTTCTAGCTCCCCTGTCTCTATTAATTATACACATCAGTCATGTCTACAGCCTCATGATTCTCTTATTTGAGTCTACTAAATTAACTCCCCCTCATGCCCCCAACAATTATTCGCTACTGATATCTCCTGCTTCAGCTCTGGCACTTTTATCCAAACTCCTAGAAATTTAGTCTTTCAGCATAGTTACACATCTGAGCCACTTTGGAGGTAATACGAGAGCCCATGTCTGATTAGTGGCTCTGGAGGAAGTAAACAAAAGGTACATTTGGGATGTGACCTGTGTAACTACAGAAGACACCACATTGTTCTGAGCTTTGCAGAGTGTCGCTGTGTCCATCTAAGTCTGATGAAATACATGATGAACTGATGCCAGGTCATCATCCACCAAAAATGTCAGAGATGACAGAAAGTACTTCTCATGGATGCTGCAACATGGGGATTCAGCAGCATCACTGAACTACAGACCCTGCTCTATTTGCAGTTTAAACTGGTACACTTTGCATGTGTACTTTGACTATTTAGCATGTTTCTTTAATGTAGTTTCTACTCTCAGTGTCATTAGAGCTCAATATATATTTTGTCTCAGGATGATGGCACCGTCTCAAAAATACAACTTTTTTTTTTTTTTTTAAAGCATATTATCTTATTATGTTTCTGGTGGATTCAAGTTACAGAAGATAGTGGCAATGCCAACAGCAGATGTTGGTTAAACACTGACAAACTTCTATGAGTACTGGGGTGTGGTAAGATGATCACTGGCCACTGTCTAAGGCAAATCAGTTTTTAGGTTAGAACTTCCGGATTCTCTGGGTGAAAGACAAATAATGGATTGATCAGAAGGAGATTTGAATAGTATGGCAGAGCAGGTCAATGAAGATAGGCAGCTGAAAGCATTAAAAGGAAGTATCTCTCAGTAACTATTTTAGACTTTTTCTTATCTTTTCCTGTTTTAGTATCAAACCCACTATGTCAAAGGGAAGGAAAAGAGCCTATCCTGATTCCAATATATACGACAGAAACAGAAAAAAAAGAATGTAGGAAACATCAATGAATTTTTACAATTCAGGCCTATCAATTAAAGGAAAGAATGATTACTATAAAAACCTCTGCTAGTCTTATATTTTTATCTATAATTAGTCACAAGATTAAAAAGTGCTGAGGCCAAAGATTTCTGACCTTGGAGAAGGATCTGTATTCCCAGAGCAAACTTAGCGGAGAAGCTAGAAGCAGCTTCTACTTTGCATTTACATATGAGGAGATAGAAATGTGCACAACCTGGCTAAGGTGAAACAGCCTGGTTCAACGTACAGCTAGAAAGCAATTCCTCCAATGCATTTGTCCAGGTACCAGAAACATGGCTAGAAACGTTTCACATCACTCCCCTCAGCTCAACAACAGAAGCATTTGCTCCTTTGGGTTCAGGTCTAAACGCTTGCTCTTCATTTGTGACCTGATATTGTCCAGGTACTGAAGCATCTTGATGGTAATAGTGGAAACCAGTGTTTAACAGGAAAGAGGCACCACTTTATCACTACAAACCCCTCACACCCGAGTCTATATTATCTGTCTGATTTCCCTAATAGCTGGAAATTGGATTAAAGAAATAATTGCTTATTTGGCTCTTCAGGTGGGAATCCTGTGCTTTAGAGTGGTTCATTTATCTAGAGTGTCCCGTGAACATAATTTTACAAAACTGGGGGCTTACAGCCTGGCACGATAGTAGGTTTCAGTAGAAATAACATTAAGCTCCAAAAAAAGGACAAATTTATGCTTTAAATGTAATTGAGAAGAGAAATTTATTTTAAAACCTCGATATTTGTGGAAGTTGATTAAGACTTCATAGGGAAAGCTGAGCCTGAGTACTTGATAACTCATCCTTTTAAAATAAATCCACCAGGTAAGTCTCCTTAAGTTTTGGAACTTTTCCACCTTGTCTGATTTCCTGGTACTTGTTCACACAGGTTTTGCCCTGTGAGCACACCTTTGATTAGCTGTGACATGGCACCTTTCCTTTCAAATGAATCTATTTTGAAACTTCTTGTATTTAAAATCCATCTAGACTTCCTTCTTGAAAGGCTTTGGGATCCAATTCTTTCCTCGCTTGTTCCGCTTAACTCAGTGTATTTGCTTCCACAGAAAAGATTACTGTTGGGTCTTGAGTGTCCAGAATTACCCCCATTTAATAAGGAAAACCATGTTTTACTCAGAAATGCTGAGTCATTCTTGATTCCCAGTTTGGACTGGGAAGAGAATGGAGGAATGCATTTTTAGAACTGCATCACAGAGCATGAGTGGCAATCCAAATAAAGGAAATGACTCCTTATTCATACATATGTATACATAACCTGTATGAGATTTCAGTTCTCCTGTCAAGAGAGCAGAGAAAATCCTTTGCGCTTCCAAGCTCTCTTTGGCAGTCTTAGCATAATTTTAAACGAGTCTATCTCTTCTCCAACCCAGACATGTGGCACTAAAAATGTAACATCTGAATCTACTCCCTTTCCAGGACTGAAATCTGCTACCATCTGGATAGAAAGTGTTCAGTAGCACAGTCTCCCTCCACAACATGACTGGATTATCTGTATAGTGTTAAACATAGGGCTGTAAGGGCTCTCTGGTAAGAATACCCCTTCCATCTTGTTCCAATCAACAGGTGGCTTATGATTTGACCCTATTTCTTTTGAATATACATTTTTGCCATAGATTACAGATCCTTGTTTCAGCAATAATCATATACCTTGATTCCCTTATATCTCTTTTTTTTTAATCCTTCTTATAAACTATGATTTTTGTTAGTCTCAAATAACTAATGAACTTCCATATCATGTGGCCTTAACATAACAAATTCCCCACAGGTATGCCGCTGACTTTCTGGGCTAACACACATTAGGTGAACCATGGTAGGTGCAAGACTCTTTATTTACTCTTAGCAAACCAGACATTCAAGATTCGGCACAGAAATGTTTGAACTTAAATGTTTTCCAAAATTTTTGTACCATTTAAACGTGGCACTAGCTGACTTTCTTAAGCCTTGGTTAGATGTCTCCGGGAGACCTGGTTACTGTACTACAAACTTGGATTTTGTTATTAAGCAGAGTGTTATTGATGGCTAGCACTGTTTAACAGAAGTGACTAGGAGCCTGTTTTGCCAGCACCTGTGTAAATCCACAGAAAAATGGTGCTGTGTACCCTGTACTCCTTGCTGATATTTTCAGGTATAGGGGTGGAAATCAATTTGTATACTTCCTTTTAGGAAGTGCCTGGGAAAGCCAGCCAGGCGGTGGGTGAGTGGGGTTAAATTCACCCTATGCGTAGTCTCTCTTCCCTTCCAAAAAACCTTTTAGGGGTCAGCCACTAAGAAACCATTGACAGCCACCGGGCAGGGCCTTTCTCCACGGAGGAGTCGCGAACTGTCCCCGTGGGCCAAGAAACGTGGACGACGACAGGACTGCTCTTGCGGCGACGGTAACTCCCCGGCGATGGAAAGGCTCGCATCTTTACGCGGCTTCATCCGGGCGGGAGGGCCTGTCCCCGGGACAGGGATCGCGTGTCCGGCGGGCGGCAGGCGCTGCACCGGCCCCTTGCCCGCTGCCTCCCCGGGATCGCTCCCAGCCGCCCCTCCTCCTGCCCCGACGGCCGCTCGATCCTGCTCCCGCTCCCGCTCCCTTCTCCTACTCCCGCTCCCTTCTCCTGCTCCCGCTCCTGCCCCGCCCCGCCCGCGCGGCCCTTCGCGCTGCCGGAGCGTCAGCGGGAATTTCCAGCCAGGAAGTGCGGCGGGCCGGGGGCAGGGGCGGAGGCTGCGCAGGCCGGTGCCGCTCGGCTGCCCTGGCCGGCGGGGCGGGCGGGGAGGAGGGGGAAAGTCCGCGCCGAGCGGAGCGGAGCCGAGCCAGGGCGCGGGCGGCGGCACGCCGCTTACATGGCGCGGCGCTGAGGGACCCGCCGGCGGCACACCGACACCGCGACCTGCAGCAGGAGGAGGAGGAGGAGGCGCCGCCAGCCCTGCCCTGCCCCGGTGAGCCCCAGGCGGCCCCTGACCCGCCGCTCGCCGCTCTCTTTCTCCGCTTGCCCGTGCCTCGGCGCCCGCCGGCCGCTGGCTGCGCTCCCAGCTCGGGCTGGGCTGGGCTGGGCTGGGCGGCGGCAGCAGCCCCCGGAGCGGAGGTTTGCCGGCGGGAAGCGTGTCCCCGGGAACAGCCCCGCGCCTGCCACCTCGGCCCGGGCGCGGAGCTCCCGCTGGAGCGCCGGGAGGAGCAGCCGCGGGATTCGCCCGCGCTCGGCGCGGCGGCGGCGGCGAGCCGGGGGAGCGGGCGGGATGCCGGGCAGGGCTTTTCTGCTGGGGTGGTACAGGGGGTCTTCCTGGCGAGGAAAAGAGGTGTCTGTGACGGGCTGTCCGGTAAGGTGAAAAATTCTGATTGAAAGCCCGAGCTGTGCTGACGGCGTGGCGGGTGCTCGTAGGGCGAAGGAGGTGCTGCTTTTGTCAGTTTTGGTTTCGAAGGTGACACTCGTACGCGCTTCCACCTGAGACGCGGCCGGCAGCGCCCGCCGGGGCACAGCATCAGAACGTGGGTTCGGTACCGGCAGCCTCGGGTGTCCTCGTCTTGGGTGGAGCCCAAGAGTGTCGCAGACAGTATTTAAAAAAACTGCTCTAAAAGGTAGGACGTAGTGAGGTTTTAAAAGGTAATTTAGCATTAAGCGATGAAACTGAAAAGTTCTCATCACGAGGAGGAATGTTACTAGACTGATTGGTCTATGACATTTGACCTAAATCCCAAGAATATCCAGCTTCTCATCATCACAATTATTTTTTTGCCTATTGATGCTTTGTGCTTTGACGGTAACTTTGGTAAAAAAGTGCTGTTGACGTTTTGTGTGAACATAAAGTGGAGTATTATTTCTGTGACACGTGCTATGTGTTGTTGGGCCATTATCATAATGCAGCATGTTACTGTGTAATTTCATTCAAATAAGTGAATGTGAGTGCCTGTAAGCATTTGGGGAATAAGACTTAAGAGACAGGGGATCATCTGTTGTTTCAACTTCCTGTTTTAAAAACACTCAAAATCTTTGCTTAAGAGTAACACTTTAAAGGAAATACAGATTGTAATTATTTTTAAAAGTAGTTTTAAAGTGCTGATCATATTTGACGTTTTGTGCTTCAGAAGTTCTCTTTTCACTTACTCTGTTCAGAGAGAAAAGTGGATGAATTCTTTGCCTTGACACCTCGTGTCTTACATTCTGAGGTGCTACACCACCACTGTCAAGCTCACAGAACAGAGCTGAAAATATAGCACTTTGATTTTATTGACATCTGGAGTCTCTGTGCTATGTACTGTGTAATATCAACTTTTGCAATAGTGTTTCAGTCAAAGCAGTTCTATTCTTTCTGAAAAGAATGTAGCTGCCCCTTCTAGGAAAGCATTAACAGAGACGTCATTCTACGATATCCTGTCTGCAGTGTTTTGTAATCTACAGAAATGACTACAGTTTAACTGAGAAAATGAAAGATGATAAAGCAGCCTGTAACCATCCAGAAGCAGATGCTCTGTTCTGCAAACTCTATCTGGCTCAAGAATTTAGCTAACAGTTATGCTGAAATATTATTGTCAGGATCTGCCGCAGTTTGCGGAGATTTCAAGGAATCTCAGTGCTGAAATCTGTGCAAATAACTTAATCTGAAATACTTCTTTCCACCCTTTGTAAGGAGAGAAATATCAGTCAGTGGTAGTCATCGAAAAATGGAGTCATTTTCTCATGCAAGAAATGAATATGCTGGCTAGAGGTAAGATTGTAAAATTGAGAACAGCTTTGTATCACTTTGCATCGTGCTGTGTGTTTTTAAACAACAGTGTTGTAACAGATAAACTTCATACCTGTATTTGCTTCATTCCGGCAACACCTTGGTGATGTTTCTGTAGTATTTATTTTGAAATCAGAAAAGTTTGCTGGGAGAGAGAAAAAGTTAATCTTGGAAGAGGCTGAGAGGGTGGAAAGCAGACAGAGATATTTCACTGATGTGCACATTTGAAAATTTCCTGCTTCGTTTGTTGAAAAGCAGCAGTTCTAATTGTTTCTCAGTTACTATGTATTTGACTTTAAAAATCAATTTTAATAATAAATTTAAATTTGCATTTTTTTCATTGAAGTGGCACTACATGAATTCATTAGGATACCTACAAATAAATACCACTTATGCAAATTTGCTGATTTAATAGATTTTTGAGTTTCCTTTTCCCAAAAACTTCCCATGCCACTGTCACATGAATACATGCAAACTCCAGAAATATGTTCAGTTAGGAATTCATGTTGTTGTGTTTATTGCTGAGCCTGGAAGGATAGGAACTAAGTTTGAAGGCCTGTGAGCCTTTACTATCAAGGGTGCTTCTTGTATACAAAGTAGATTTTGGATTTGAAGTTGCAAAGATACAGTGAAAGGCAATATATTTTTTACTAACTTACAGTTGGTTTTCTGATGCAGTGATGACGAAATTCTGTGGTCTTCAGAGATTCTGGTTAATTCTGTGTTTTCATAGATCGCTTCAAAATAGCTTGCTAAGATATTTTCACCTGTCAGTGCTGTTTGCCAACTCTGAATTCAAAAGTATCAATCTTAAAGAAGATTGTTGCTCATTTATGTAAGCAACTAATGAAAACTCTAAAGTTAGCTTAAAAAATCTTTTTTTCTAACATGTTGATAACTTTTTTTTTGGTTCTCAGACAAAATAACACAGCTGTTATGAAACAAGGAGGAAAGAATGTTTCAGGCAGATAATGAAAAACCAGTTGCTGGTTTTGGTCACTTTTAGCTCTGACACAGGTATTTTAGAAGTGGAAGTTGTAATTTGATGTCCTCTAAACAAGCTGTGAACCTTTTATGAAGTTCTATATTGATAAGATCATAATTACAGTTGCCATTAACTGTGCCCTTAGGTCAGTGAGGCACTAAGTTTGCATCTAACTTCGAGCACAGAAATAATTCACTGGTTGTTCTTCAGTGCTTTCACTTAAACATACGTATTTTGCTGAAGCACTGTTGACAGCTTCAAAAGTAAGGCCTTAAAAGATGTTTCAAATTATTATAGTCTCAAGGTAAAATCCTTTGTTTAGCATTTAGGTAAAGCTGACAGACTATGTGTGGGGAGGAAGCTACTATTGCTACTACTGGCATTATTTCCCCCTTTCAACTTTTATGTTCCCTTGAAAATCAGTGACCCAGATAGGTTTTTTTTTCTTCATTTAAAATGCTAAACTGAAATATCTCTGTTTCATTGCGTCCTTCAAGCAAAGTACCTGTTGTACTGGTATCAACAGGTCAAGTGCAAAGTAGATCTGAGTTCTGTGATGTTGGGGCTTTGTGTGTTGTTTTGGGGTTTGGTTTGGTTTTTGGGGGTTTTTTGTTTGTTTGTATTTGGTTTTTTTTTGTTTGGTTTTTTTTTTTGGCTTGGGTTTGGCTTTATTTTTTGTTTCTGCTGAAGATCATACTTCTGTTTAAACATGGGCAGATTTTAACATACAAATGAAGTAAAAATGAAGCAAGCAGGTGATTTTTTTGGTCTCATTAGTTTAGTCTAAGTGGGTTTTGTTGTGTCATAGGTTAGTACAGAAAATTGAGACTGCAAGAGTTTTACCATTTCTTTGTAAAAAGCAAAAAAAAATAACCCTTAGTAACCACTTTGCATTTATAGATTTGAAAACTAGGGTATAGCTGTGACAGTGCTGGACTCAGTTCGACCTGTTTGGTTCCACTTACTGGTGTTAGTAAACTGACTGTTTCTGTCACGTTATATTTTCAGTGGCTGTTTGGAACCTACAGGGCACTTGTGTGATTGCAGTGCTGAGCGCCCTTGAGATTTATTGTCTGAGCCCTCTTCTGCCCCTGTTGTTCATGAAGTAAGGGACTGTCTTTAGTAAGACCCCAGGACTTGTGTAAGTGAACCTGATGATAACAGGAAGCCTTATGTCAACTAGACTTCTGAAATCTTGGGTTTACTTGTTATTTGGCTTCTCAGAAACACTGTTCTTCTCATACTCCCCTCCCACCACTTTCCTCCCCCCCCAAGAAAAGGGAAAAGTTTGCCGTTTAATATTGATGATTCATGACACTTAAGGCTTATGAAATGGGTATGTGTGGCTTGTTAATTTAAAATTTTACTTGGATGAACAACTTCTGTATGGAATAGAACTATTTGTAAAGAACATGTCAGTCTTTTTTTTTCATCTGTAGGAAAAGTAACAGCATTTTAACATGATATTCAGGTTAGTTCAAGCAGCATTAGCACCCCACGTGGCTAAAATACAGTGTAGTTACTAGAGCTGTTTTGCTGTGTTGAACCTCAGTATTTTTACATATACTTAGCATTACACATGTACCAGAATATGTTTGCCATATATTTGAATACTGTTTATTCCTTTGGTTTAAGTCGCTTTGAATGTGTTTTAACAAAAACATTCTAACTTTATTCCAACAATATCGTGGAAAAACAGTTTATATGTTTATGGCATTTTAGTTTTTCCTCTTGACATACTAGTTCACTACTTTGATACTTGGGAAAGGAATAAAACAAAAGTTCTGTTTGCACAGATAATTAATAGAGCAACCATTCAGGTAGTCCAGTTACTCTTTGCCAAGTGAATTTTTTTATGCTATAATTTTTTTTCTTCGAATTTAGTCGTTACCTGCTGTAATAAATTTGATTCTAGACTTTGAATCATAAAATAATTTTGCACCCAACAATTCTGATTTAGAGCATCACACTTTTGAAATCTCTTAAATATTTGTAATTAAGTTCCTAAATATTTTGTTGTTTTTATACTGTTGTTAAATTTTAAAAATACACAGACACAACTGCCAGGTCCCACCCAACAGGAAATAATAAGCAGGCTTAATTAGTAAGAAGAGGAGGCAATTTGTGTTGTTATATTAGAAAAACAAACAGTGTCATTTAGGGTTATGTAGTGTTATTGCAAATGCAACAGTCTGTGGATAAGAAAAAGTCTGCAGAGGACAGTAGAATCTTAGATAAAAATTTCTCTCTGCACAAACTTTTCCTTAATTGTATGCTGAGAAATTACACTCAAATCTTTATTGAGCGATTACACATCTTCGTAGTACCTGAAGGAATGTAAAAGATGCAACTTCCTTTTGCTGCTTTAGCGGAAATTGAGCATTGTTGAGTTGTATACTGAGAATACAGTTTCCTTAAAACAGCTCCCTTCAGCCCCAGGTATTGAAGTCACAGATGAGAGAAGAAACAGTAGTAAACATTTAAAGGCAAATTTCAAATCTGTTTCATTATTGAGTTAAAACCTCTCTAAAACAACATAGTTGATGGGGCTTCTTGTCAACCTGAGCAAGTTAGCAATCACTTCTTGTGTTTAGCATGTTTTTCTTTCCTATTTGTGGTAAAGATAGCTATGCCAATATTGTGGGTGACAGTATGCGTGATGTTCCCTTATATTTTGGTTCTATTTACTTCATATAATACAAAATACTTTAGTTGTTTATCACCTCTTATTTTGAATAAAATGGTTTTTTACTCTGGAGCTGTACTTCTGGTATTCTGGGAAAAATAACTGAGTTCAAGGGAAATGAAGTGCTGGATGAATTCAAGAGGTAGCCAGAAGCAGGGTGAAAAGACCATGCATTGAAAAGGGGTGGGCAGCGTCCTGACTGTGAAGGGACTGTGGTGGTGAAGACTTGAGACTAAACAGCTTGGATCAGTATCTCAGATCTGTCAGGGCAGCATGCTCTGGCCTCTAGCCAAAATCTTCTCAGCAGCTCTTGTCCTCCTTCCCTCCCTGACCCAGCAATTCCAAGTCTCTATTGCACAATACTTTTTCCCAGCATCTCTGGGAAATTTTGATCTCTAGAACAATTGTCTCTATAGACGTAGAGATTATGTTTTGCAAAGGGCAGAAGAGTGAGGCTCAAGGATAGTTGCCACTTAAGTAAACAACGCCAGGTAAAACACACGGTAGAGACTGTACAGCACAGCAGTTACTGTTCCTACCTCAGTATTTCGTAGCTGCTGTTCCTAAAAACATGAGTCCTCTGCAGTCAGATAGTCTGCCACGTTTTATAGCCCTGATGTAGCAAAAATACATTTTCAATATAATATATAAAACACAAATGTCTTTGCTTCTTTTTCATCCTCATTCCTCTCTGTTTTTAGTAAGCAAAATAAACAGACTAAGAACATAACCACAGTGAATTTCATTGCTTTCATTCAGTGTTCAGTTAAGTTTATTTTTAACAGGTAAATTACACTGAAAGCCAAGTTAAAGAGAAAAAGCACTCTGCTGGAAAACTTTCAGGAAGTATTGTTCTTTCTGTATATCAGGTCAGTTGAAGTATAGTAGCTGAGTTTCTCATCTTGAGTCTTGCTTTCTGAATCCCAGCCTTGAAAAGTTGAACAGGTTGATGTAAAACATCTCATAAATTTAGTAAGCGATGAACATTCTTCAGTGAAGAAATTTATTTAAACCATCAGACTAATTCCAGTTCACAAGTGCAATGGACTGATTATTAAAGATCATGGTTCTCTGTAGAAAGGTATTAGGAAGTCCCATTCCAAGTTTGTAGGGATTGGATAGTGGTATCAAAGAGGAAAACAGTTTACCTCCTGCTTTAAATTTGGACTGGAAGGTTGAAGAGGAGAAGTAGAGGGAAGGATCTGGACTCTGAAAAATCAGGAGGGCTGAAAAAAGTTGGGTAGGGAAAGTTGTCTTGGTTTTTAAAACGTAAACACAGTGCGTGTTGGAGAACAGGGAAGAGCTCTGAAATCAAATGATTGAGATAAACAACAATGAGAATTCTTGTTCCTGGATGAGAGCATTCCTACGTTAATTATATTGTTTCCATTTTAAATGCCTGATCCTTTTGAAGCTTTAAAACAATTATTCAGACTGCAATAAATGAAGTCATGTTCTTCCAGCTCTGCCTACTTGTACCTTGTGCCATTTGGTTGCTGAGGAGGAGGAGTGATGGCAAAGTAACTGCCATTCTGTTTGCTTGGTTGTTTGGTGCAACTCCATCATCTTCCAAATTTGTGTATGTACAACTTCCTAGAAGCTGGGTTTTCTTCTCCTTTTTTAAACCTTTTTCACAGTGGCAATTGACTTGCTGTGAGGAGAAAGGAATACTGCACATGTATGCACATGCACACACACACACACACACACCCCCTCAGTAGGTACAGCTGTGTGGTTTTGGGCAAGCTTAGCTGGATTTTACATTTTCCCATTGGAGCTAAATGCAGATGCTTCACCCACCTTTAAGTTTTCACACTTAAAAATACTGTGAATTGAAATGTCTCATTTCCTGAGCCTTGTTATCTGAAAGACTTCTGACAATCTCCAGGGTGGAGACTGCTGTGGTTGCTCGTGGTCTGCAGGTGTTGGGGTATTTTTTTTATTGTAGATTCAAGTTTGTAGTACAACCTGTGAGAACTGGAGATTATGCAGGAAGCAGGTATATATGATAATGTGAACTTCCACAAAACAATTTTAATCCAGTCATCTTCCAGTGAGAGAGAGGTGGCAGTCTCTGCCTCATAATACAGCTCATGTAGGGAGAGAATGAACAAAGCTACATGAGATAGATGCTAATCTTACCACTTGATGCATGTAGGAAAGGTGTGTAGAAATTGGAGCAGTAAGGGAAGAGGCCAATTAAAAGTAACACAGCTAATGCTAGGGACTGTTTTTCTGCAAGTGTCTTTTTGGTTTTTTGATCATTATTAACTCTCTGGATTTGCACCAATTTTCATGTAAGAAGAGGAAGTGTAGAGATTTGTTAACTAAATAAATCCTAAGGAAACAAATTCTAGTTTGGAGATAGGGGTCCCAGAACACTTGTGTCATTTGTTTGGCTTTGAGGAGGACAAAACATACAGTGAAACTGAGAGTGTTTTCAGTCATTTGGAAGGGTCATTTGAAACTGCTGGGTTAATCTTTGTCTAGGCCCTGAAAAGGCAATCAAGTGTCAGTTCACATACACAAAGATGTATGTTTGCGCATATAAATCATAATTTGTTTATAATAAACTGTCTTAGCATTCAGGCCTGAGAGAAAGTCTTTAACCTTCCCCTCCCCAAACACTGCAGATGATTGTTGAATACCAAAGATCTGAAGTAACAGCAGCCTGTGCTGTTGGACCAAGAGAGATTGTGTTTAATAGCTGGTTAGACATTCATTAGGTACAAACCTGCAGCAAGTGGGTAGTACGTGGGTAGTTGCCTTGCTGCTTCCAAGTGTAATGTTCATAGAATCATAGAGTAGTTTGGATTGGAAGGGACCTGAAAGATCATCTTGTTCCACTTCCCCTCCCCCTTCCCCGCATCATGGGCAGAGACACCTCCCACTAGACCAGGTTGCTCAAAGCCCTATCCAACCTGGCCTTGAACACTTCCAGGGCTGGGGCATCCACAGCTTCTCCGGACAAACTGTGCCACTGTGCCAGTGTCTCACCACCCTCCTAAGTGAAGAATTTATTCCTTCTGTCTGATGTAAACCTACCCTCTGTTGGTTTAAAGCCATTTGCCCTTGTCCCATCACTACATACCCCTGTAAAAAGTCCTCTCTGGCCTTCCTGTACACCCTCTCTAGGTACTGCCTGGAAGGTGCTGTAAGGTCACCTTGGAGCCTTCTCCAGGTTGAGCAGCTGCAACCCACTCAGCCTGCAGAGCAGAGGTGTCCCAGCCCTGTGAGCATCTTTGTGACCCTCCTCTGGACTTGCTCCAACATGCCCATGTCCTTCTTGTGCTGAGAACCCCGGAGCTGAATGTAGTACTGCAATGGGGACGTATTTAATGGCTGCTGTCATGACGTTGTTCACTGCGTCAGCTAAAAAACCAGTAATGACTGCACCGATAAGGTGAAATTGAAGGGCTGATTCAGATGGACATAGGTTTTATTTCTGTATGGAATTTAATTTTTACATCAAAGTACTTAAAATGAAAAGTTTTCAGAAATACTACCTCTGTGATATTTTTCCATTTTGTTGGAAAGTCAGGTAATGTAGAACTATAGACGTGACCAGGAAGCGTAACAGGTATGAGAACTGCTGTTCTCCCAGAGTTCTACTGGAGGGAGAGTGGTGCAGTCTGAGAAACTGGAACAGGGCAAAGGCAGTAGAACATACTATTAAATTTATCCTATTGGGCTTAAAGAAAAAGCTGTGAGATGCTTGCTTTGGAAGTTTTGCAAATTATACATTTAGCAAACAGGCAAGTAGGTAGATGCTATTCATATTAGCTCCTCAGAATATTTTTCTTGGAACAGGGACATTTACTGTGTTATATGGGTAGTTTAGGTATTTTGGAACACAGTTTTGCATATGTGACTCGTGAAATAGTAAGTGTTTAAATATGAGAGATCACAAAACAAGACTTTTAGGACCAGTTTTTATTCTGCTTATGCAGGAGAAACATGGCATTTGCACTCAGTTACTTAAGCAGGGTGCATCAACAGGGTAGGTATTTTCTGACGCTTTGTAAAAAAATGTTGGCTATGGAGGTATTCAGATTGTTTTCTGTAATACTGACACCTTTCACTGGGAACTGTTTGACAAAAACTAAATTACAGTTTATTTCAGTGATTTCAGTAACTTGTCAATTAGTAATGATGGTTATTTTATTTCTATGGAAAGGAAGTAAAATAACATCTTAGCAAAGTTTGTTGTATGCTGAAGGGTTTTTATGCATTCTATTTCAACTTTTTCCATAAAGATTAATAATAACAATAACAAGTTGTTCATGAAAATAATGCTTTATGAATGTCTCTATGAGATAATGTGATTGACTGGTACTTTTCATATTGCTGAAATCCTCATGCTTTGGATGATGAAGTACAGCATGGGTGACATTGGCTGCTTGTTATATCTCTTACTACTTTTTGGCTGAAATCTTATGACTAGTTCTTTGATATTTGCTCAAATGCTACAAATAAATATTACCCAGTAAATATTTCTCTCTAAAACTGAATTACGGTAAGGTGTGTACTTTTTACTTTGTAGAGTCAAAAATAATTTTATCCACATGAACCTCCTTTTCCTGAAAGTCATCTATGTATTAAGTGTCTCCTATTTCTCCATTTTATTTTTTTTTTTCCATTTTCTACCTTGTGTGGGATGGGTGCCTATATATTAGCTTTGGAGCTTGTTTACAAGCTGAGTTGAGTCTCCATCAAAGTGAAGTACCTTAGTATTCCAATTTTCCTATTGATATTTGCCTTTCTAATTCCTGTAGAACGTACATGGTGACTCAGTTTTTCTTTACTGGTTGCAACTCTGTTTTAGAGTGCAATAGTTTTCACAGTTCACTTTGCTTTGCTGGAAAACGTGGCTCACGTTCAGTGTGGTGGAATATGAGGGCCAGTGACATGTATTTGTCTTCTATCAGTTATTAACCTTATTTAGTGTCTGTTTGCATGCAGACATGAGTCTCTTGACATAGCCATACAGTTATTTTCAGATGTTCCCTTGGAGAGCCTTCTTTAGTGAGATCAACATAGGTGAAATCAAAATTCATTCAGGAACATCTACATTAGAGGAAATAACGCTAATATTTTCTAATAGACCTTATAGATTCCTAAGCAAATTCACAGGCTCTGCTCCTGGCCCCTCACTGCTGGCCCCTGGAAAACTAAGCCAAGCTAAACTTTCCCAGTGTCCAGCATTTACATGTAGACTGGAGAGAGAGGGTTAAGAATGCTGTATGTCCATAATTGTCATTGTCAGCACCGAGTCGTTGTGGGTGCTGAGCACGTGTGGACTGCTGGAAATGAAGGTGTCCAAAATCAGTCAATATTTGATTCCTGTTTGTATTTATAAAATGAAAAAAAATGTTAGATGTTCTTCCTGGGGTATCTTTGCCTTGCATTTAGCAATACTTCATAAGAAAACTGTTCTGGTTCATTCATGAATGCTCAGAATGCTCTTTTTATTGTGTAAGAATGCAGAGTCCTGCTTTTGCTAGAGTATGGTAATGATTTTGCCTAAAGTCTAATTACAGAATAGTCAGAGGAAAGACAGAAACAAATTAATTCCTGAAGAAATTTTGACTTCAGGACTTCAACTATAATTTTTAGTTACTTGAAAATAGGCAAGGGAAAATCCTAGCTGTAGCCTATCCTGTCCTTACATTGTCCCTTCCAAATCCTGAGGAATTTTAGAAGTATTTTAAAAATCATGAAAGTTATGAGTAAAATAAGAGGTTTCAGAGATGGGGCTTTTAACTCTAACATTTTCAGGTTTCTCTACTGCTGTACATTCAAAAAAAAAATAGAGTTCTAATCATGGTTTTGTGTTTCAGGTCTTAAAATGGCAGGAGAAGATTCCTATATTATGGGAGTATCTGATCCCCAAGTAAGTGGATTTGTATGTTCTCAGTATCCCTCATACTGTCCTGTCGTTTCCTAGGCTTAACAACATGGACCTATAGAACATTTTGCACTGGAAGAAATCAGATTTGGGGAAATCTAGGGTTTTTTTTCCCCAAGGTGATTTTTATGTTAGCTGTAAAGTGCCTTGCCAGTGGTTAAATGGCTGAAATGTAAAGGAAAGCTAGGCCTGCTGAAATAAGCATTTGGAAAAATTACTCATTGTTATGCCCTCCCTGCCTGCCTGTGACACTTACTGTGAAGTTTCTACTGTGGTGGTCAATGGACTTTTTCTGAAAATAAAACCCCTTATGTCCTGAAATGCCCTTTTGTGTAATTTTTTTAATGATATTTGCATTGACATCGATGAGTAAAATGTTCCTTCACTCATAGAGATCTGTAGGCCTAGCTCTTATCAGCTCTTCCTGATCTCATTAGATCTGAACTGTGAAAATGGTGCTTGGGTGAAAAATTTAAATAAAGAACAGATCAGTTCTACTCACCCTAATTTTCAAAGAGCAAGTATTTTCTCCGTTATGCTTGCTCCACTTTGGAAGAAGATAGATTTATACCTGACAACAATTACAGTGAGTTAAGACATGTCAGTGTTAAAAAAAAAAAAAATTAAACTTTAACCTGGGTATACTGTTTCTTGCATTAGAGCTTGTCAATATATTTACATGAGGAATGTAGTCTGGTGAGGTTTAATCAGAGAGGTGAAAATGAAAACTCACAGGTTCTCAGCAGGGCCTTGGGCAAGACATCTAGTGTCAGATTTTCAAAATTTACTGTATAAGCTCTTTTGAATATATAGTTGTTAGTGCATGTAAGCAAAACGCACGTATAGAAACTGTGCTGAGGTTGGTGTGGTCTCATGATAGTGGTGGAACTTGGGGCAGTGCTATCAGCTCTGCTTGCACTGTTGTTGCCAGCAAAAATAAATTAGCCATAAGATGTTCATGTAATTCAACAAAGTGTTTGCAGTCTCAATATTTGCAGAGAACTTTGAAATTCTTTGCTGATAGATGCTTTATGCAATTATGTATACATGTAGTAATGAAGAGTGTATTCTCTTTCAATGTAGATGTTTGCAATGGATCAGTTCATGGGAATGAATGCATTATTTAATAGCACAAATTACATCACTTCAGACTTGCCGATACGAACAGGTAAGAAGCATTACTGTTTAATGGTGCTGTTGTCCTGCTGATTCTTCTTGTTTGTTTCCTTTTGTAAAGTTCTTTTCAGAGGCTTTTTTGTTTCCAGTCTTTCGTAATACTAGATTGCAAAGTTGTCAAGTAGATTTTTTTTTTTTTTTTTACATCTTTTTGCATCTCTTTCTTACCCACATGAAACTTTCAGCAGTGAGGCAAATCTGATTGTCTTTTGGCTTGTACAGAAACTGAAAGTTTCAGCAAAGTTTCCCAACTCAAACCAGAACAGTGACCAAAGACCTTTGAGTGACCTGATTTTATGAATTATTTTGTTTTGTTTTCTAAATTTGTGCCTTCAGTGACCTACATGTTTCTACTGCCAGTTTGCAGACTGCAATACGTACTTCTTTTCCTTTTGAATGCTTTCATTTGTTGTAGTGGTTCTTAAGGTGCTTGTTTTTCAGTAATAAAATGCAGAGAATATTAACTTCCTGTGTTTTTCCTTCTCTGTGACTTCTCGGTTTCCTGTAAAGTGGCAGTGTGGTATTAGAAGTACTTGACAATTTCCTGAATAATAACACTTGTTTAAAAGTTCAGAAGTCAAATTTTGTAACAAACTGCTGAAAATAAGCAAATAGTATTCTGCAAAGGTCTGATGTGCAGCTCTTGCAGTATGGTTCAAGAACAGTAATAAGAAATACAAGTCCATTATAGCTCAGTCAGTATTAGCTGCTTGATCAACTTTAGTCTGGTTTTGCTTATTAAATTTCTATATTAATATTACTTCTTGCATGAATTCGGAAAATTCTTTTTTCCTGCTTAGTTTATTAGAATAGCTAATATGAAAGGAAGAAGGAAATAAAATTTTATTTAAGCTTATATGTTTTTTTCTCTATATATACATGTATCTCCAATATAGCTATTAATTAGTGTCTTATAACAGGACAACTTTCTGTTGTTATCTATTTGACTGTTGTATCAGGATGTAGCCAGTATCTTCTGTATCACAAATTACTTTCTTTTGTTGAAAGTGCAAACCACTTCTGATTAAAATCTTTGATACATTTGACAGCAGTGAAGGTGTAAAGGGTAAAATGAAATAAACATTTAGTATTTTCCTTCATAGGGAAAATTCCACTCTGAAGTAACAATAAATGCTGATTTTAAAATAAAAATGAAGGCATGCTTACTGTTTCAGTATTTCCTTGTTTAAGCCAGGCTTCAGTTTTCTTGACTGAGTAGTAGCAAGAAAAGATCATGAAACACATATGGTACAGATAGTTTTGTTTCGAGATAAAATGTTCTGATGAGCAAAGCTCTTGACAAATATGGACAAGCATCCAACAAATAATTGTTGCAATCGTTTATTTGCAGTGTGTTTTTATTAAGACAGATAAAATTATTCTGTAAGACTCATCTGTGTAGGATTAAATGGCTTGTGCATTGTATACCAAGGGGTTTTTTTTCCCTGTCCTCACGAAGTTTCTGTGGAACAAATAAGGTTATGGAAATTTCCCATAAGGAGCTCTCTTACATGTACCTTTTAAGCTTACTCTGTACTCCTCCTGCCAGATCATTCCATACAAACTATTCATTTATATAAAACTTACTTTCAGATATCTGTCCTGTCTGAAGTAGAAAAAAGGTGTTTTCAAAACCGTGTAAGGGAGTCAAGGATGCACTGAGTTCTGCAGTCGCAGAAAACTGTTACTGAGCTAAGTCTAGTTTTGTCCTTAATTTGCAAAATTGCTTAGAAAAAGGCCTTTTTTTGATATGTGCCACTGCTCTTCTCTACTGCTGCACTACAGCTGCCTAGTCCCCTGTATACAAAGTAGGATTCAGTAAAGAATCCTGCATTTCAGGTTATCGCAAACAAAAAGATTTAGAAAAGCTTGATCATTTCAACAACATCTGATGATGCCATAGTTGATTTGTTTTTTGAGTAGTATCACTGTAATGCTTGCTTCCTCCCCTGCTTGAAACTGTGCTGTGTTGTTACTGTGGACTAGCTCTTCAGTTGTAAGGTAATATAATAATTTATGTAATCTACTTTAGTGGTTTCCAAGCAGGGACTAATTAATGATGTCTTTCTACACAGCGAGGTTAGTTAAAAATTCTTGTGGGATTTTCCAAAAATACTTCCAGCTGAGATATGGAAAGAGGGAAATAAATGTTCTAAAAAGGATTTTTCTCTAGGACGGTTGGATGATCTTTCAGTCTGTGCATTCATAAATGCACCGTGTCAGATGTATTACATTGGCAGACAGGTTTAATATATAACCATGGATTGCCATATCATGCCAGTGTACCTGAATCAACAAATAACTGGGGAATTTGGGGACTTTCTGATGATAAACATTCTGCTGTTATGTTAATATTTACAGTAATAGTAGAAAACCTTTGAGATGTCGGGACAACGATTTTCTCAATTACATTGTTAGTGCTCAAGTGTCTTTGCTCACCTCTTTTTCTCTCTCACGTATGCCATCTTTAAATAAAAATTAGGATTCTTTTATTTTGTCTCTAAAACTGTAGAAGATAGTTACGTGGTTCAAGTTCTACATTTGCATCTAAGCCTAGAAAGAGTTGTCTCTGTGTGCCTTTGGTGGAAAAGAGATGTATCTATGACGAGTGCCATAACAGTGCAGGTTACAGGTGTTTAAAACAGCACCAGCAGCGCAGCCAGTACGTCACCAAGTCAGCCTCTTCTCTGGCTCATTGGGAAGTATCCTGCATTTGAGAGTTAGGTACTGATCCTCAGTGGTGTCAGGGATGGAGAGAGCATTACCCATGGCTTGTATTCAGATAGTATGAAAGTAGATACTTTCGATGGGACGTCCACTGTGTAGTGGAGAGACAAAGTGGTGCCTTACATTGGAGAGGAAATGGGCATAGGTGTGGGCAAAGTGTTTTATAATTTTGGATGTTTCTTACTCCCTTCTGATCATACAAAGTCATCTACAACCATGGAACATAGCAATCTGTGTGCCAGTTAGAGGTGGTTCTGGGAACTGGTTAACTGTTTTGTGTTCTAAGGGCTCTGGTCTAACTATCTCTTGGCATTAATTGGTGTGTTCTTAAACCTCTGAAGCTGAATCAGGGCCATCAGGAGCTGGACATTATTGCCTGGAGTCTGCTAAAATTAGTTTTCTGGTATTTCTTTAGCCTCCTCTGTCCAACCCTGTGTGATGCTTGCTGTTCAGAAATGAGAAGGGCATAGAGGGAAAAAGAAGGCACTTAAAATATTTTTTCAGAGAGAGCTATTGTTAGAGATTCAGGGAAGCCCGACTGTTACCAAAACCAAGATGCGTGTTCATTTTCCCTGTCCCAGGCAGTGGCCCTAATCCTCAGAAACTTGAACAGACTTGCATGCTGTTTCTGGTGTTCTTTCTAGACCTTCTGTGCTTGTGTTTTGAAGAGTGAACTAAGGGAAGAGGTTAAGCAAAGCCCATATGCTGCTTGCTTTAAACATCATGCTTTGAACACGGAAAAGCTGAGATTGGAGAGTGTGTTCTTGTGCAGGTGAATCCCTGAGAGGGAGGACGTGCAAATGCTACAGCAGGCCTTCAGGAAGGATAAGGCACTAGGTCTCGAGCTTTTGGCAGCAAGGTAACAGCACCAGGATTTTCATAAGAGGGTTGGTTTAGGATTTAATAATCAAAACCTAGAGGCTGAGTGTTTTCATCCATGTCCATGCTGTAACAGCAATTACGAGGCTGAAATGACTGTCCTTGGAGATCCACAGACAGAGAGGAGGTGAGTGGGAGACTTATCTGCACCTGGTTGCAGGTAAAATTGAATGGCTTCAGGTAATAGCTAAGCTGTTAGATAAACGACCCCCCTTAGTCCCACAGTGCTGCCAGGCTTGCAGAGATATCCCTCCAAGCTTACAGATCCCTGTTTCCTTGATTTTGTTATGGTGGGAAGAAGGAACCCAGAGGGAGCCTAAGATGGGTGCTTCTTTGGAAGTGTGTGTGTAGGGTGAGGCCTGTCAAGAAGAGGAAAGAATGTAAGTGGTGGGAGTGTCAGGAGGCAGGAGGACCTCTGACTCAGGCAGGAAGGAAAATGAAGAAACTTAGCAGTTGAAGAAGACGTGGGGAAGTGGGACTGTGACTCAGGCTGGAGGTGAGGCAGCGGGATGCAAGTCGGTCTGTGGCAACCGAGGTGAGGAGATGGAAAAAGAAGCCCTAAAGCATGCCCAGGATGTGGCAGTCTGCACCAAAGCCCCTCCATGCTGGAGGACTGCATGTTTTAGTTACAGTTCTTTGGCCCTCCTGGCTGCAGCAACACCGGGCAAATCATGAGGAGCTCTCGTGTCAGAACTTGGCTCTTGGCAACCATGAGAGTCATCCCTGTGTGGAGGCCAGCTCGGTGACTGCGTGCCTTCAGCCTCTCTGTAGGGCAAAAGTAGAACTTAAGCTATGCATTAAGTAGTGTTCCTTCTTGTGGTTGTTTAACATTTAAAAGGGGGTTGCTTGTTAAACAAGAATGTGAAGCAATCAACCTTCCAGGCTACAACAGAGATGCAAAAAATCATCACAAATCTCGTCATTATTAGTTTCTCTTACAAGGTGTTTATCTTCAGGTTCCTGCTCTCTTTCTGCTTAGACCAGACATGCCTAGTAATAGAAACGAAATATTAAAAACTTCCGTGTGCAAAACACTAAATGTCTTTTTTTTTTTTTTTCCGTGGGAAAGGATGAGTGAAAGGAGGAACCACACATAGCCAGTGTTAGGCTGCCTAATGTACTTCTGGGAAGTATACAGAATTTAGTGAAGACAGTTGTATGAGACTGCGTGGGGTAAAATCCTTTCTGTAATCAAAATTATATGCCATTTATGCCTGGACGTTTTCTTGAACATTGTTGCTTTAGTTTTGAATAGCATTTTAGGTGTAATTAAGGGCATTGCATTAGAGTGCCTTGTCTGTACTGTTATTATGAACCATATTATATATGGTTCAGATGCTATACCAGAAAATTACTTAGTCATTGCAAAAGAAAATGTTTAGTCACAAAACCCACAGTTAAAATAAGACCTCACAAAACTGTGTTTTAAATACATTGGTATATGATTTATATAATGTGAATTAATGATAGCAACCATCTAGTTTGCCTTTGCACATTCACACTTTTTGCATCTTTTTGCACTTTCCTAATGTTAGTATGTAAGATTTTTATTTTTATTTTAGTTGTTATCTTCGTTGCTTTTCATAAACTTTTTTCCAAGGGAGAAGAAGAACCACAGTGCCAAGTTTTCAATTTCCCTGAGTTTTCACAAGTGTTGTGCAAGGTCAAACCATTTCAGTGGTATAAAACAGTTTCCCTTGAGCTTTCCAATATGCCAAGATAGTGTATATCCCTCTCTTAAGAATTTGTATTTCCTCATGCTGAGGAAAAGTTGAAACTTGGATCTGCTGCATCCTGGGGGACTTCTGCAGCCACTTAGCCATGGGATAAGAACACTCCTTTTCTGGCTAATGTTTGAGAGAAAGGCATAGTACTTTGTGCAGATACTAACCCAATGCATATGCCTTGAAAATGAATTCCTAAGAGGAGAACAGCCAAAGAGCAATTACTTTGCAGGTCATGCCCTCGAGGCTCGGTTGCATGTTGAACTACACAGTTGTATTTTAGGTGCATTATTTCTGCCAGTGCCCAGAAAATACAAGGCTTCTGGGTTGTTAAAGTACAAAATTGCAGATGCCTAAAGCATGAGGAGGGTTAGAGGTCTGTGAACAGAGGTCTTAATTTTAAGTGCTGATATATTGCTTAAATCCAACTCAATTCATCTTGACTCTGCTACAGACAAAAATTGAAACATAGGGCCAAAGCTAAATAATACTCTACGTCTTTTAAAGTTGACCTCTAAACTGTTTTTCATGCTTTCTAATGTAAGGTCATGTGTATATGGCCTTGAGGCAATTTTTTGCATGACTTCAAATAGCACTGTTTACTTCTACACATGAAAGTACAAATGTTGGACTTAGGAAATAAATTATCTTTATATGTGAAATTGTTGTGACTGACATTTGCAATATAACTTGGGCATGGAAGATAATTCAGTGGCTGAGTCAGCTAACTGCAGCAGCAGAACACTAATTTCCTCTACTGGTGTATTTATCACGACTTCCATGTTGGGAGAAGCTTGTTCAGTTAAGACCTGTGCTGACCAAAGACACAAAGGTCTATTTTATTAAAATGAAGTTGTGCTGAGGAGCTGAGAAGAATGCATGTAGTCATACCACAAACCATAAGTTAATGAATCCCTTGCTGGTTTTAATTATCACTGAACATTAGGCTTATTGGCAAATAAAAGTTGATGCAAGTATGTAGTCCTGTGCTGAAGCCAACTTATTATGTAGCTGGGGTGGTACTTGAGGACGGTGCAGTTGTTCAGAGGCAGATCACACCTGGATGTGGCAGGGCATGGAATGCTTTGTGTGCTTGCCCGCTCTGCCACATAGCTGTGGCTTGTCTGCTTTGGAGGATTCCCGTGTCCCAGTGAACTTGCTTGATTCCTGAGCATTAATACCTTTAACAGAGTGGAAGTGGTGATACATAATTCCGACAGGAATATGGCTGGCAAAATATTATGTAGGTATTCCCAGCGAAGCTGTTGTTTGGGATCTCCTTTGAAAACAGCTAGTTTTTTTAGCATTGAAGTGCAGATCTTCTTGTCTGCTTAGCACGAGGCAGGGAAGAAATCATACCTTTTGGAATTGTTGTTTTCAGACTCCAAGTGGCTTGCATTTGAAGGGGTATTTCACAACCATCCGCCTAGAGGGCTTTACTTCTTGATGTAAATAATCTAAGTGATCAGAGCTGGAACTAAGCTTTGATCAGGTGATGAATTCCTAACTCTGGTGAGACTGAGTTCTCATTGGACTCAAGGTCTGCTCAAAGGCTATTTAAACTGGTGAATTTTAAGTGATGTTTATAGTACAAAGTTAGCGACTGTATGAGGCTGAAAGCTGTTTAAGGAAGTCATCTTTAAAACACATAAGTAGAATTTTAGTAGAACATAATCCTGTGTGTTGGCACCATGCTCAAGACTGATCTCAATGTAGAGTCTCCATCTGTAATCAGATTGAGTGTATTGAAAATTTTTAGAGGCACAGCAGAACAGTATATTTAAAAGTGTATCTGAAATCATTAAAAGAATGTAAATTGTTTAGTCTTCTCAATTCCAGGATTTTTTTAAAGCAGCTCTCTTGACTGTTAGGGCATGTTGAGGCAGTTTGAATTCCTCCTGTATTCCCATACCTCAGAGCTTCCCATTGGCTGTCTCCAGACTTTCGAAAGCACCTATTCAGTAGGAAGCCCTAAGGCCAAAAGCTTGTGAGTATAGTCTTTAGAGCCCAAGGGTTTTAAATACAAAAGTTAACCTCATCTCAAGAAGGCCAGGCTGCTTGTCAGTGGCAAGGGGAGGATCCTGTTCTTATTCACCCTTGCAACTTTTAACTGAGTGATCAGTTGCCCATTTAGACCCTCTGAGCTAAAATCAACTTTTTTGAGTTAATCCTTCTCTTCTTACTCCACTGGTCTCTAGTTGGAAATGACAGACTGCCAAGTGACTAAATTGTTTATTGAAATTTAGGTTCTGAAGAGACTTAGGTGCTTTCAAAAATTTTATCTCAAGACATTCAAGGATGTAATTGTGCCCCTGCAACTTATATGTCATAGTAATAAAAATATAATTTCTATTAATACTTTTCTTTCTTTTATATTAGCAGATGGACCATATCTTCAAATCATAGAACAGCCAAAACAGGTAAGAACAAGGCTACGTTTTGAAAACGAATTACTACATTCAGCTTTGAATAAATTTAAGACAAGAAAGAAAGAGTACAGACACGGCTGAACTCTCAGAACAGATGTGGCACTTGAACATGAGCACTTTTAACTCTTGTAGTTAAATAGTTTCCTGTTTTGTTCTGTTTTCATCTTTGTGTCTCTTTGGAAGTGTCATAATACAAAAAAACCTTGAGGATTTTAAAAGTATGTCTTCCTAAGTATAGACTTATCTCAGAAGCAACTCTTACAGTACCGCAGTATTTGGAAATATAAACTAGTAGACCAAACATGGAAGATTTTTAGGATTTGTTTCATGTTTCTTGAAATGCAAGAAGGAAAAAAGCAGAACACTTCACTCCGTTCCCAGGTTACAGGAACTTTTGACCTGTGCTTTGTCACGTTAAAGAAATTCAGTTGTTGTTTGAGATTCCTTTCGTTGTGGTTGTCTGTTTTGAATAATCCAAGAAAAATGAAGGTAAGAGCTTGAATGTAACTTTTTGTCTGACTATGTGGCAAACATTGGCTTATGTTCCTCTGACAGCAGAGAAGTTATTCCAATTCACTGGTTAGTTTTCGTGCAACTGATGTACAAAGTAGAGATTGCCCTGAAGTATTGCCTGGGTATTGTTCCCCTTTTGCTGGTGGCACCAGCAATTACAAGGGTTCTTCCTGAAGCTGTAACAATATGGAGGCATCTTTCCTGTCTGCCCCAATGAGTTACATAAAATCCTACCTTACAGAGCTGTTCAGGAAACAGGAGACGAGGGTGGCTAAAAGCTGTCCCACCCTCTTCTCGGTCTTCTGCAGGAGCATAACACAATCCAGTCTTCCTGGCAGGATGCAGTGGCGAACATTGGTTTCAACCACACAACAAAGAGTTGTGCTTGAGCATACATCCAGTGTTAGGGACTCTTCATCACAGTCCGAAGTGAAACAGCGGTGTCCTGTGAACTCTTCGAAGAATATGCTGCCTCTTCCTTGTTGTTTTAGTTCATTCCAAATCAGGCCATGACTTTGCATGGTGGGGCTGACAGGACACAGTATGTAAGGAGAAACTTGTTTCCATGTGTGGCTTCTCAGCAAGTGACTCCTCTTGTAGAATACCCATGTGGCAAGCTGGGCAGTGGTTTTTAACAGGGTGATGAGGGTGATTCATCAGAAGACTGTTGAGCTTATGATCACTGTTAGACAGACAGATGAGGGGAGTAAGACCCTGTGTATGAAAATATAGCTAGGATAGCAAAGATAGACTGCGGAAAGCCACACGGGTGACTGCTGGATCTACTGGATTGAAGGCATCAAGGTGAAGAGAGACTGAGCCATCATCTCCTGGGTCCTGACTGCAGAGGTTGCTTTGCCTTTTGCACAACTTGAGGTCGAGGTCATCATAGCTGGGCACTTCACTTAGGGTACTCTTGGTGGCTCAGTTCACCTTAGGAAGGCAATTGGTCAGCATCTGAAGGAAAGTCAGATCTTTAGATTAGCCTGGGAAACAAGTTCTTAACCTGAAAAGGCTTTAGTGAGATAGGTATTGGAAGCTAATGTTTACAGAGTAATTTTAAATCGTGTTGTTTGCTTTCAGCTAATGCAGACTTCGAATTCAGAGTTGTCTTCTATGAGAGAGAAGCTGAATGACTCTTGACAAAGGGTACCACACTAACTGGTGCTGTTTGAACAGACACTGGGAACCCTATATAAGATGGGGATTTTGCCAGAAATGTCAAGACTGGAGAATAGATCTGAAAGCAAAATTGGGGACCACTTGAAATATGTGATTATGTAGAGTTATAGTTACCAAGTACACTTGCTTAAGATTTGCATCTCTTGTGCCTTAAAGTAAAGGGGATGTTATTTCCTATAAATAAAAACAGAATCAGTGGAGAGCTGTACTCTGGACTGGTTGCCAACATCCTACAGTTCTCTGAAGTATATTCAGATGTCTATTTATGTAACTGAGATGAAAACCCAGCCAAAGTCCCCTGAAGCTTTTGTTCTGTTTCTGGACTTCTCTTGGAGATGTAGCTTTCGTACACTTTTCCCAGAAGGAAGAACCATTTCTTCTGTTTCATCCCTATTCTTCCCTTTATGAAGCTTTGGACTTCCTTATTATTGGCTTCAATTTTGTCTGCCTAGAAGTAATCATGGGAGAGAGTATCTGCTCTTGCATTCTGTACATGTTAGTTTTTATCCTGTTTTGAGAGTATAAATAGATCTCTGCTTTAAAATATCTTCACTTAACTGAAAGAAAAAATTCGGGTTGCTGCTGTGTGTGAGAGTGAGAACAGTTTCTCCAGAGCTGCAGTTCAGTTCTGCTTTGTTAACCAGCACTCAGCATTTCAGGGATGGAAGAGTTGTAACTTTTCCATTTGGGCAAGTCTTGTTTCTTTGTGTGCATGTTCACGTGTGCGTGTGCTATTTTTCTTTTGGTTTTGTTTCTGAACGGCTTTCAAGTTTCTTTTCCTTTCTTTCCACAGAGGGGGTTTCGTTTCCGATACGTGTGTGAAGGACCTTCACACGGCGGATTACCTGGTGCTTCTAGTGAAAAGAACAAAAAATCTTACCCTCAGGTCAAAGTAAGTACATAAATCATCAATTTTCCAAACTGAATGCAAGTGTCGTATGTATGTGTAGAGTTACTGCATAGCAACCTAAATTTGTGTGACAGTACTCAAGACAGGCAACATTTCAGTCCCGACTTTCAAAACGAAATTGATTTTGAAAATGAAGTTTTCTTCAGATGTGTGGGGTTATTTTGGCACCATTTTTACCTGGCAACAGTTGAGCAGTAAGCTTTCCCTCACCAGCCACCTCGCTACCCTCATGCAGACCAATGGAGCTCTTCCCTAAGGTGCAGTTTTAGCATGAAGCAAAGCCTGAGCTCTTCAGTTGCTCCACTTCTATTGCAAAGCATGAGGCTGCTTAGTTATTCTGCTTCACTCTGGGATGCTATTTACCAAGTTATCCTATTTTTTTTGTTGTTTATGTTACTGCTTATTCAATACTTTGAGTACACTCTGTTCTTAAGAACTTAACTCCTTTACAGTCAACTTAAAACTTCTCATTTTAATAGGAACAGAGTTATGTTCAGGTGTTGGCTGAACTCTTTTGGTGGATTTTTTTTTTTCCCCCTGGAAAAAATTCAAATATGTTAATCAAAGAGAAAAATTCAAATGTCTTAATCAAAGAAATGTTCTGTGGAGGCACAGTATGAATATTAGTGATTAGTCATTCTGGGATTGGGCAACTTTGCCTATGGTTCTTGCAGCAAATTCTGTTTCTGTGGAAGTTGGGAAAATGTGCACTGCATCTTTTCCATATTTTTTAACTTAAATGGAAGTCTTAGTCTTATTACATTATGTCTTTGAACTATTGCACTACAGATTGTCTCATGAGGAGCAGGGTTAATGTATTCTAATTCTGGTGTTATTCTTAATGTATTTTAATTCTGGTGTTATCTCTTACTCCTTTATGGGGAGAGAAGAAGAGGGAAGAGTGGCACACAATCAGCCTCTGCCTTGGTGCGTGCCACTCCTCAGTGTGTGTGCAGTTCATCTGCAGTTCTTGGGAAAGGCTGGAATTTGGAACAGTTGCATCTCCATAATGAATCAGTATAAGCATGACTCAATGGAAAATAATCAGCATTGGCTGAGGTAGCCCAGGCAGTTAGTCTTGCAAATTGAGAAGAAGCTGGGAAAGCTGATTTCATATATCCTTCCAAAACTCCTGTGAAAAATTACTAGCCCAGGCAAATGATCCACTTGCTTTCTTCTTTCCTATTTTGATAGTAATGATGAACCAATGAATGAAATTTCACTGGTATGTTCAGACAATAACTTACTTCAGTTGAGCCCGATCCTCGGATTCCAATCCAATCTGTACTGATAATGATGCAAGTGATACTTTATAAAGGTGTGATAGGTGCACAATAGCATGACAAGGAGATATCCAATCAGGAGTTATACAGGAAACTAGAAAGCACAGCGTTCTTTGGCTTTCCATCAAACCTTCCAATTTCATTGATCATCAGATTTTAATTTTATCTAAAGCTTCCTCACACACACACATACATGTCCCTTCCCCTCCCTCCCATCCTACTGTGTGCATCTGGGTTTTTTTGCTAGTACGAATCCCCACATGGCAACACCTGCTGGGAGAGGCTGGCAAGGGAACACAACAAGTAAATTCCTCAAGGCCATTGCTTGTTCGTGCCTGTTCTTGATTCAAGCAGTGCCAGTAAAGACAGAAGTGTTTCACACCTTTTCCTGTAAGTCTCTTCTCTGTTTTGTCAGTGTGCTCACCTTGTCATAACTGAGGGGAGCACAATTGAAGATTGCTATTTTTTGTTGTGTTGGGATTTTTTGTTTTGATTTGATTTTTTTTTTGTTTTAGGTTTTTGGTGGTTTTTTTTTTACTCCTGTGCCAGTGTTTTCACAATAAAACCTCCATTATGAGTTGATCACAGTGCAGTGAAAGGACAGTAGTATGAACTTTGGCTGCACTGTAAAAAAAATGAGGTTTTGTGGCAGATCTTTAAACCCTGGCCTTGATGTGGTCAGTGTTACTCACGTTTGGATAGGCTTTCTGATTGGCCAACTCTGTGCAGAAAAGTGATATAATTTACCAGCAGCTACCATGGAATGTCCTGAAAATTTATTGCACTAAAAAGCACTGCAGCTTCCCTACTCTGTTTTTGTAGGATTATGGATTGAAGGCTGAAAGAAAATACATTTAATGGGATGTGACCTCTTGCATTAATGTGGGCTGTTCAACTTCACCATTGTTTTTTCTCCCTGCACCGTCACTAACTTGTAGTTGAGCTGGAACACATCAACATGCATCTTTCATATAGAGGCTAGGGTTTTGAAGACTTTGCTATGTCTCTACACAAGATGTTTTGGTAGTTAATTATGTATGTTACAACTTCCTGTGTAGTATATTCGTAAATGGTGTAGGTCAGGAGTTGGTGTAGCAGTTCTGCAGTGCCAGCCTTTACACTTAAATCAAATGTGCACTGGACAGCGAGGTGGAATTGATGTAAGATCTCTTGCTGTAATGGAACAGTCCTGACAAATGGAGTATAGGTAACAGCAGGATTTTTCTATAATATGAAAAGGGGATTTGTTTATGGTTTATGGAATTATATTCCTTTGTTTAGGCCTTTCTTTGCTAACAGTAATCCTAAAATGTAGAAAACATCTTGCATATTCAGAGGATTCTATACAACTTTGCATGTTATTATGGAGAGCAGAGAAGTTGTAGATAATGAATGTGTTATAATGAAGTTACGTTTCGTGATTGCAGTAGAAGGCTACCTAAAATTCTTCATTTAAATTTCACTTTCATCCACTTAGTGCAAGTAACACAATGCTGGAAAATTTTACTGTCTAGAACAGTTGAAATCAAAGCTTCTGAATTGCTTGTTTGTCATTAGCTTTTTGTGCAGGGGAAAAATCAATCAGTAGTATAAGAAAGAATAAAACTGGAAAGTCAAATATTATCCCCAGCTTACTTAACTATCTACAATTTTGTTTATAATTTGCTTGAGTTTTATGTAATTGAAAAAATGTGAGAAAACTTGTAAAATTTCCACTGGCCTTACAAGTTTACCATGTGTGTTTTGATCTTTCATGCTGTTATTAGTGTGGATATACTCCTGTTTCATACTGAAGTGCTTGATCCAGTTTTAGGTGTGAAAATAGGCTGAAAATAGTGGAGTTGCTGTAACAAAGTGATTAGAGAGAGAAATAGGTGTTTTTGTAGTTGCTGGCTTTGTAGGTTTCACATGGTCTTTTCCATCATTTGCTTTCTGTTGTTGACCAGTTGGTTTCATTTCTTGCTTGTAAGAGTAACTGGAAAAAACATCTTTGAAGTAGGAAAAAGTTCTTATAAAGTTTTTGCAAAATTTCAGAAACTATGAAAATTGTCTGGGGTCTGGATTGCAGGAGGATGTGAAATAACTGAAAAAACCTTAAACTCTTGGTTTGAAAGTGACTCAACTCCAGAGTTCACAGGGTCCTTTTAATCTTTCAGACAAATCTCTCAAACAGAAACAGCAGATAAGTGTGAGCCTGCAGCATTTTAACTTTATCAGATCAGTTGAATGCTGCTTCATTACAGGATGTAATCAAGTATTACAGCTATACTCTTCCCAGGAACTCCTTATTTTCATTTTTTTTGCTTCACCTTTAATTTGAAGATGAGGAGGTGATTTTTTTGGATCACAACTCTGATTTGGAGCTGTACAGCACTCACCTGCTATCTCCCTCCCATGCTGAGTATATGTTTTTTTGTCAACACCATAATCCCTATGTTTCTATAGGTATTCAGCATTGTAACAGACCTTCTACCTTTTAATGCCTTTGACAATGTTTTTTAAGTTCGTAGGTAAAAGGTGATAGTTACTTGTATACCTTAATGCCAGAATAAATTTCAAATTATTCTGAAATGGTGGCATGATTCAAAGACTTGGGAAAATTATTTCAGACTTAATTTGTGCTACATAAGGATATTTAACCACTCAGACTGTTTTGCTGGGCACCAAGATACCCTGGATGTCTCAAAATCAAGTAAGGAAGTCTGTCTACAAGAAATGTAGGCAGGGGACAATTCAGGGACATCTGATGCCTTTGCAGCATAGGACATCGGACTGGATGACAAGAATCGTCCTTTCTTGCCTAATGACCTACATAAGGTATTACGTTCTAAGAACCCTTTTGTTTTCCCCCTGAGAGAGAAACTACAAAAGATCATGCTGAGCTGAGTAACAGGGGGGGAGATTGCAATCTGGTTACCACCGCACTTCTGTGTTCTGCTTTCAGAGGCTGGAAAGTCCTTGACGTGCAGCAGTCGTACCTCCAGTTTCACTGTGGTTTCTACAGCTGATGAAGGATTGTCTTGAACTTTCCCTGATGTGATGCTAGAACACTCATGTTACTCATAATGAATGTAGTGCTAAAGATGTGCTTTTACAAAGGAGCTTTACAGCAGGGAAAGGCTTGTTTAGTGAGGGATAAAGCGAAAATATTTTTTTTAAAGCCACTTTTTTGAAAAGTTAATTGTAGTAGTGGTGGTGGCACCTATCACCGAACACAATCCTTTTATTTTCAGATGACTTTGTGAAAGGTACGTAGGAATTTTCTCACTGCTGGTAAATTACAGAAGTAGTGCAGCAGTGATTATTCTGCATCTCTGTATTGTTTTCAGTCCAACAGAATTCCATAAGATTCCTCCAACAGGAAGGAAGCATCATGAGTACCCCATGTCTTGTATTTTATAAAGCAGCACTTGTAAAATGCACATCAGTACAGTATTATACAGTTAGCTAGCAGGCAGTGAGTAACAAGAGGGCTTTTGCACACCTGCTCCTTCTGGAACAGCTTTTTCATAGTTGGGATTTTTTTTGCTCTTAGCAGTGAATAGAGAGGCAGGGAGGGCATGCATTCTACATATGCAAAGTGTTTCAGCTGTGATGGAATGGGTTCAAGAGTGGGGTTAGCTGGAGTGAAGGAAGCTAGCAGGACTCAGTAATGTGGTGAAATCGAGGCAATCCCTCGTTATCAGTATTTTATCAACAATATAACCTTAAATATTCAGTTCATCACTGATTCATCACTTTAATGTTTATCGTGATCCTTTAATACCTTGGTTGATTAGATCTGTAAGCTGCTGTAATACAAAGAACTTTGCCCAAGGCAAATTAGAAGAAAAATTAGAGGAGGAGGGGGAAAAGCCCAACATTGATAAAAGGGTTAATTAAATGAATTAGAAGGGAAGGTAATGTTTGCTTTTTAAAAAGTGGGGTAATTTTGTGTTCAGCATAATTTGAAAGTGGTGCATAACCTGTAACTGACTTGGATTATTACTTGTGAGGAAAGAAAATAAAGTTCTAAATAATATATGTAAAGCAAATAACTTACCAATATGGTATGTTAGTAGCAACTTTAGGTGTGCTTTTGAGGCATTGTTTGACATCACAGCTTCAAAAGCTATTAAAAAACATGTGGTGATTAGAAACTATGGCAGGGGGGAAAAACATTTTTGTAGTCTTCTAGAGTTTGCTGTATGAAAGCACACAGTTTGTCATAGTTTTAGTCTGACAAAATCGTAGGTAGGAATTTGGCATATATCCTCATGTACATTTAAGGGAGGTATTTACTGGACTGGGTAGCATGTGTTGGTGTAGCCTATTGAACTGACAAAACACCTGTTAATGTAGAATTCGTTCACTTTGAAACCTCTACCTGAAGAGTCATTGCAATGAGGCCAAAATGTTTTAAACCGATCATAATGTTTAAAAATAAATTTTTAAAGTCTTTTCAAATCGGGCAAAACAATGCAGGGGTTTTTAGTTAAATACATACATTTTATGTATGCTTTTTACCAGGTGGCAGTGTTTACTGTGAATTCAATATTCTGATGGAAATTTAAGGAGAGCAATGTGGAGTAAATGGTCAGAATGTAAAACTGAGATTCATGATTTAGGAAACAAAGGATGTTTTCCTTTAACTTTTTCAGTCACTACTTCTGCCATTTGTATATCAAGTTTATTGCCAATAAAAGTGTTAGCTCTTCTTTTTGATCATCTGGTACAGTTAGTCTGCCATTTGTATTTCAAGAGGAAATGCCTACACATTTCTCCTATGTAAGTTTGGTTGTACTTATCTGACAGAAAATATTCAACTGGAATTACTTGTTCCATTTAGGAAAAAAACAAAAAAGTAAGTAAACTATGCCACATTTTTTATATTTGTTTACAGATCTGCAATTATGTTGGACCTGCAAAAGTAATTGTCCAGTTAGTAACTAATGGGAAATACGTCCACTTACATGCTCACAGCTTGGTGGGTAAATTTTGTGAAGATGGCGTGTGCACAGTTAATGCAGGACCTAAAGATATGGTTGTAGGGTAAGTCTGTCAACTCCTTTGTAAACCTGAGCACCAACGCTGTAAGAAGCAATACAGAAATACTACTAAGAGCAGCCATGTGGAGCACTAGTCTTCGTGCTCTGGTCTGTGCTTTGTTTGTATCTTAAACAGAAAAATCAAAATTCTGTTCGCCTTTGTAGAATTTGTCCTAAGCAAGCTAAATAGGTTCAAGTAAATAATTTTCACTTAGAATTTATAGAATTTTAATCTCTTGGTGTGCAGTCCAAATTTGTATTGTAAGTCCATTCTTTAAAATGTAAGTAGTTTTGATCAAAGAAGGGACTAAAGTTACTGAAGAGAAGCTTTTATTACTTTTTTGATCAATATTTTATTTTTGTTGAATAGGAATATAATTAAGAGAAACTCATTAAGAAAATAGGATTACTAAATTTGAAATTAATGCAAGACATGTATAAACATGAAAATACTAAAATGAGTCGAACTTTCAAAGTTTAAAGCAGTAAGATTGTTGTGAAATTGTAGTTGGTCTGTTCTTGTTTAATTTAAAAGAATAATTGTTTATATCGGTAAATGAAGCTGAGGCTCCCAACTATGCTTTCAGGCTTAGATCAGGTTTCATGCTGGCTGTGAGTTTTAGTTCTGTGATCTCAAGAATGTCTTTGTTGGTGAAGAAGATGAAGTTTAAAAAGCTGAGAAGGTTGGGAGAGAGATATTCTTTTAAACTGTAACTTTTGATGTCCAAGCCCAGTGCACTGACTTTACCGAGAACAACAATTTAAATAGCTTTATTTTAAATGCTCCTTTTCATCTTGAAAAGTTTGGCTCATTTTCTAACCTGTCTTGTTTTTCATCAGATGTCAGATGTTTAGAAACAGCTTTCCTGTCCTCACTTGACCTGCATGAAAATTGAGTTATTGTCTTGTTTTCATACTTCCAGATCTAATTGATTTTTAAATGTGCCAGGAGATTTTTACAAAAGCAGGTCTTGCATTATGGAAGTTTTCATTCAAATAGATACCTGAAGTATCTTGCTGAATGACCAGAACCTTGTTTAAGACATTTTCTTTGGAAAATATTGCACTGTTTTTAGCTTCTTAGCTTGCTCACCAAACCATTTGAAACATATGGAGCTTATTCTGAGCAGTTTCTCTGCTTAACAGATATACAGAATGACATATTAATGTCATTGCCAAGACAGAGCAAACAAAGTGTAACAACCAGATTTTCCAGTGTTTTGTATTTTGCCTTCACAGTGTAAGTCTGAAACCTGACAAATTACTACTTACGCCATAGAAAAATCCTGTGCACCCATAAGATCGCTGCCATATAGATGGTGCACATTTTACATGTGTTGTAAGCTTGGCTCTGTTTTTCCTGATGGAGAATTTACCCTCAAGAACGAATAGTGCCTGAGCAAGCCTGCAGAGCCCTTCTTTTGACTTCAGTTGTGTAGCTGTCTCTGGTAACAGAAAGACTGCCTGCTGCAGGTTTGGCCTAAATTATTAAGAAAATACCTTCCTCAATCAAAATTTGGCAGGTTTGCAAATCTTGGAATACTTCATGTCACGAAGAAGAAAGTGTTTGAAACCCTGGAAACACGCATGATAGATGCTTGCAAGAAGGGATACAACCCGGGACTCCTGGTGCATCCTGAACTCGGCTACCTGCAGGCAGAAGGATGTGGAGACAGACAGCTAACTGGTATGTAGAAATGATGGCCTGGTTTTAATTGGTCTTCTACTAAAAACGGATTGAGCTTCTCCAAACACAGGTTCTTGGGTAGGAAAACAGCCTATGGCTATGTGCTTGAAGATCTGTTGTGCTGTTGTAGGGAGCCTGAAACAAAGAGTCTTTGCTGTCAACACACATATGAGAAGGGAGCAACTTCCTTCCATAGCTTCCTGTACCCACCTCTGCACCTGTATTCCATTGCTCTTAAGCTCTTTAATAAGCTGTTAAATAGAGTAATTTTGCATTATTGCAGCAAGAGATGATATCTTTAATTAACTTAGGGACCTCCTTTCGAGAACACTCTTTCCTTCAGCTGCATTTCACCTGTGTCCTTGTAAAACCTGTGGTCTGTGTTGCTTTCAGGTACTGTAGAAAGGCAACATCCTTCTTTTTATCACTTTTAACACCATGAATTCCAGTGTCCTTAGTGGTGGCATTTGTCCTTCTCGCAACCATTATAAATTGAGAGCAGCAAATAGTAATTTTCTGTCTTTATTAATTATATGCCTTAGCTTGAGTAAGATCTGATGCACAAACTGCATTATGAGTGCAGTATAATTTGAATAGCTGCTCCTCTCTGCTTAGAAAGAGAGAACCCGACGGATACTAAGTGTAAAAGAACACATTTCCTCACTGTTTGGTGCCTTTTGACAGCAGTGTTTGTTCCATCTGTTTTGTTATGGGTCCCCTACCCCTTGTGTGTTACTTCATCTGTCTACTTGTCGGTTCCAGAGCGAGAGAGAGAAATTATCCGCCAGGCAGCGATACAGCAGACTAAAGAAATGGATCTCAGTGTCGTGCGTCTCATGTTTACAGCCTTTCTTCCCGACAGTAATGGCAGTTTCACACGGAAACTTGATCCTGTTATATCAGATGCGATATATGACAGCAGTGAGTATATTTAGTTACTCTTTTAATAAGGGGCAGGCTTTTGGACGTACAAAAATGATAGGTAGATGTTGCCGTACGTAGACTCATCTAGCCCTGCTGCTTGCCTGTTGTTAGCCCCATGTCTATCCAAGTACATACAGCATCACTCTGGTTTTTAAAGGGTGGTGAGGTAAGCCACAGAGCAAGATTTTATTTTGCTCTTAGCATGTTTAATCCTGCCGCTTTTATTATGAGGATTTTGTAAATTCTTGTTACGTTCGTAAGAAGGGCTTGAATTTTGCAGTTTTCGGTTGCTTTTTGCGACAAAGCCTCGTCACGTGGGATATGAGGAAAAAATCTCTTTGCTTCAGTCTCTGTTGACAATTTGACACCTTTCAGTTTTGCTGACCATCTGCTTGTCCTTGTTTTGAGAGACTAACCCAACCAGAGTTCTCAGTCCATTTCCTTTAGATCTGCCAGTGGTTTTTATACTTCTGTTACATCCCTCTGTTTGTCTTTTTTCTAAGTGAATCTTTTCACTTCATGTTCTCCCTTGTGCTTTTCAATTATACTGACTCATTTTACCTGAATCCTTTCTGCTGCCTGAGTTTTCCTCCCTGAGGCTGTGGATTACCATGTTCCTGGTAGTCATTCTGTAATGACTCAGAAAAAGTACCATTTTTTTCTTATGCAACAGTCATGTCTATATGATTGCTTTTTAAGGGCAAAGTCTAGATGAAAAGGTATGAAATGCAGCTGTTCTGCTATGTCTGTTTCTCGCTATTAATTGGGAAATGTAGTGATGTCAAAAATTTTTACTTCAGCTAAGGAGGCAAATAAAGGGGAAATTTTGTAAGCGTGTTTCTGCTGTCGTAAGTTGCCACACAAATGTGAGTTACTAGTTTCTGATCTCCCAAGGGGAATTCTTAGTTGTTAATTTCAGAAGATTTTTCTTGGGGTTTGTCTGTTGTTTGTGTTTTTTCTAATACTCTTCTTTGGTACCATTCAAACCTCTTCCACACAACAGACATAACTTGTGATAGCATAACTGCCTCTCACAGCTGCTTTTACTTATCAGATGATAGTTCTGTCTGGAGGACCAATAGTTGTTTATTGATACTCTGCTAGGATCCGTGGAGATGGGCTTTTTTATCACAGTCCAGTATACTGGCCAAAAACTGACATGCTTTCAAATAAACCACACTATAAAGCAAAGCACTGTATACAGAGGGATACAGAAAACAGCTCTCAAGAGTGTCAGGCTGTCAGAAAGCAGGGAAGAAAAAGCTATGTTCTCTTGTACTGCCCTTTTGTCATAGAATTAGTACGAGTGCAGGGTGCTGGATGCAGTTCACTGCTGGGCTACTTCGCTAGAGGAGTAATTACGGACCTTATTTTATAGTTCACAGTTCAGACGAAGCTTAGAGCATACAAGATTATGCCTTTCATATGAAAAGCTGTTGATTTATTCATGTTAAAAAAAAACACAGACAAATTTAAGTAGGTTGTTTTGGAGGCTTGTCTTTCTATTGCATTTCTGTGTGTTTTGCTTTTTTTTTTTTTTTTTTAAATCTTAAACTGTTATGAAGTTAAGCGTTTTATTAATCTTCCCTTTCAACAGAAGCTCCCAATGCCTCCAACTTAAAAATCGTAAGAATGGACAGAACAGCAGGGTGTGTGACAGGAGGGGAGGAGATTTACCTTCTCTGTGACAAGGTTCAGAAAGGTAAGAGTCCTGAGTATTTTAAGGCACATTGGGGTGTTCAAGTTCACGTGAAGCCCGCTGTGCTGCCTTAGTGTTCTCCCACTCTGATAGCGCAACAGGATTTGTAAGCACTCAGCCTTTCTGGAAGTCAGGCTAACAGTCCAAAAAATTGATAAATCAAAATAGTCTATTGCAAACAAATTCAGCTTGTGTTGCCTCCACGGAGACCATGTGATCACCTTTGTTCTTCTCAAGAGTTTGCCCTTGGCCGTATTCTGGATTTTTTTGTGGGTGGTGGGTCCTGGGTCCTGGGTGACATTCGACTCTGTTAACTAACACCTGCTCTGAATTATTCTAAAGTTTCAATTTATCATTAAGTTCCTGATTATAAGGAGTAAGTATGAACATTTTCTGTTGACCATGGATGGGAACTTAATGTGTTCAGCACTACTGTTAGTAACTTCACTTTTATGTATATGCTAACAGTAGAGATTACTCTATGTAAATATACTTCTCATAGGTTCATTTTCACTCTCTTCTCATGGCTTTGATTGTGTCAGAATTTGGCAGTGTGGATTTGGAGGCTTTGTTTTTGTATAGGAAGATAATGGTTAACAAGGTTGATTGTATTTGGGCTAAACTAAAAATAAAAAATGTGGGAACGAGGGGAAATCCTTTGCATTTCTCAGGTGTAGGTAGTACTTGGGACTCCCTGGTGTAGATTGCATGATAGAGTGGGTGCTCTGTTCTCATCTGCTTGGAATCAGTCGCTGCACATGTTGTAAAAGTCACACTGACATTTTCTGTTAAGGCAGGCTGTCCTTTTCCATCTCTCTTTCTTGCAAATGCCCTTCTATGAATTAGAGAAGAGAGAGTGCTCTGGGGACTTCCAGGGGCTTAGAAAAGAGATAGGGTTTGGGGGGCTTCCTAAAAGAAGGGACTTTGAAAAAACTATTTTCCTTCAGTATTGTATCTACCCTTTACCATCAGGACTGAGATAAAATATAGCTCTTGTGCACAAAATAAATAAATAAATGTCTGACTCAGTGGAAGCCCTGCGGTGGGGTTTCCCCTCAGCCAGATCGGGGTTTCCCCTGACCTCACTGCTTTCAGAAACCTCATGCCTGAAGGAACTTGAGCATGCAGGACAGCAGGGCTGGAACTGGTGGTTCACAGTCTTGAGACCAGCTGGTGTTGGATCAGAGCAAGCAGTCTGTCTGCTCCAGGAGCCTGTCACCCTAAGAGAGAACAGGCTTTTTCTAGTTTTTTACTCGCCAGGAGTGCCGGGAAAGGAATTTGCTGTAGCGTGACGTTTCTCAAAAAAGTGTAAATAAATAAATAAATGCAAAGAGAATGAAAGAAAATTTGTTTAGAGGAGCAAAAGCCAAATGACGTGTTTCTGGCCTGTGCTGTGTTTGGAGGGTGAAGGATCGCTGCTGACACGCTGCTCGCTCACACCCTCGCCGCCTCTCTGGGCTGCAGCTCCAAAGTGGCACTCTGCCAGCAGCAAGCGGAACTTGAACCGTGGCACTTCAGGTTTTGCTACAGTTTTTTTGAACTGAAACTCTTGGAGGAGAGAGGGTGGTTTCTACATTTCACGCTTCAAGTTCTCCCCTCCTTACATGTTGGTTCCAAATAAAGCTCCTCTGGAATGTTTTATAACCCTAGAATAGGAAGAGGTAGTGAACCTAGTTCTGTTTTCACAGCTCAGTAAGTAGCAACTTCAGTGAAGTCATTACAATTAGGCTGACCTAACACTGGTGTCAAAAATGGGTTATTTCTGCTGTTTTCATAAAATGGATAAAGCTAATTGATGTATTGTGTAATATTGTCATCCAGCCAAGAAGTAAACATGTTGATTTTTATCTGAAATAAACTTAGCCAAAGGTTAAACAAATGCACAAACATCCCAAAGTGTGCTTCTTTCATTCTTTGCAGACGATATTCAAATACGTTTCTATGAAGAGGATGAGAATGGTGGTATGTGGGAAGGCTTTGGAGATTTTTCTCCTACAGATGTACATAGACAGGTAAGTAACACATCATTTGTCAATGATTTTCTCTTCTCTGTAAACTAGGATTATATTATAGTTGGTAAATGAGGTAAAAGCATCTGTATCATGTACTGACCTCTGCTTTGGCTGGTTCCTTCCTAGTAACAATACCAACTTAACAGTTCTTCAAAGACTTACATTAGGTAACTATGCAGGTTGGGAATACGATGCGAGGAAATTGGGAGATAGCATATGCACTAGTGTAAATTGGGATACGATGTATAAACAGCTCTGAGAGCTCCTGTGAACACACTGATAAAGTCACAGAATAGATGCCAAATGATGAGGGGACAAACAGTGCAGTACTAACATATGTGATGGAGTGGTACTTTGCATGACAGTTCTGTCTTTCCCTGAAGGCCTTAGGACTCAACCTCAGGAGTGAAACTGAAAACTACAATGGAAGTTTATTGTTGTAACAGCCCTTTGCTACAACTTTTTGACTCCCAAACTGTAAACCAACTCGTACAAAACAGTGCAGACTTAAAAACAAAGTTGTCAAACCCCATGCTCCGTGGTAGTTACCTTCCTGTTGTTTCCTTCACAGTTTGCTATTGTGTTCAAAACCCCCAAGTATCGCGATGTCAATATCACAAAGCCGGCGTCTGTGTTTGTGCAGCTGCGTAGGAAATCGGATCTGGAAACAAGCGAACCAAAGCCTTTCCTCTACTACCCGGAAATTAAAGGTAATTCGTTAAACCTGTTTTATATATTGGAAGCAGAAACCAGTAGGGTCCCTAGAAATGTTTTTAATAAGTTAAGATTTGCTGGATGAGGACTTTTTATTTTTTCAGTTGTTGTTTTAGAAAATAATTATATTTGCCTCTTAATTTTGGGCAGAGCCAATATGAAGCGTGGTAGCTTTGTAATGGCTTTGTAGGTGTTTTTATTGGACTGGTAGGCAGTAAATTGACAAATATTTTCTGAGTGAGGCTTGCTTATGCACACCAACCTGTCCATACAGTAGATGGCACTCTCTTCCTTTGAGTTTCTGCAAAATAGTATCTGAGGGCATTTTGGTGTCAGTGCTTTCAACTGAAACCTTAAACCAAGACTGGTTGGTATCTGGTGGAAAAGGTACGTATTTTGCAGTTCTCACCTTTTACCATCAAGCCAATGTCACTGATGTTTTTGAATTTTCCAGTTACCAGTACTAGTTAAAGTAAGACAGACATTTCTTGTGAGACCAGGGAAAGTGCTGTTGCAATCTCCTATGTTTAAAATTTAGTTACTTAGCAGAAGTGGAATAGTTGGTATTGGACCTGCTTCCTAATTATTACTGAAAAGAAGTTTAACTAGCAGATCTGTGCCCTTTGAAGTTTGCATTTGACATGGTTGATGTAAATGGCAGGAGCAATCATGGTTTTAAATACCAATAATGTTAGTGATATGGAAATGCCTTGAGGCCTAAGTCATAACTGGTGTTTCATTGTGTTAAGACAGTCTTTCTGCTTAACAGTTTACCTGCCTGCAGGTTACACTATTAAGTTCTAATCCAGAATGTTTTCTATGTTTTCTGTGCCTAACTCAGAGCTGTGTTGAAATCAGTTCCCTGTCAAAATCTCTAAAATATGTATGTCTAAAAGCATCAGTGGTAAGGGACTCAGGACATCTGGAGAGGGAGGTGTGGTGGTTGATGTCCAAGTGAGTCTACTTTACACCTGCTTTAATAAAATAGAAGAAAACATACATTCACAAAAGCTTCCGGAATTGCCAGAGGATTTCTTCTTGGTGCTGATTTCAGGAACCTCTTGCCATAAGCATTATGGGAAGTGACGTATACAACTGCAGAGCCAAGTTGCCAGATTTAAAGCAAACCTCTTTTTTATGTGTCTCTCAATGGAATAAAATTAATTGAACATTATGTCCATTTTCAGATCCCCTATACAACCTAATCATAAAATCACCATTTAGGAACTATTTTTTCCCTCATTGCAAGTGTTCACACAAACTTAGACATACGTATGTGGAATTTTCTGTTTGTTTCTCTGACCAGATTACTCTCTAGAGTTTTCTGTCCTTGTCAGTGTGAGTATGCCTGATGTGTGCATGCATACGTACTTACAGATCATGTATGCCTGGAAATAATGCACATGTGTTTTTCAGTGTTTCATGTATTCAGCTGTCTCATTGTGCCTGTGCATGACATTTCTTTTTGTCATATGGCTATTGAAAACTACTAGATGGTTTAATAAACAAATTCTATTTTCTTCTTTCCTCAGCACTTCTACTGGATTTTAACCCATATAATGTTCATATCCCTATTTTTGTAGCTCTTACCATGACATTTTCACTTTTCCAAGTCACTGCCGTAGTCCTTTTAAATCTTTGTGTTTTGCTTTCCAGGGGAGCTAAGTCTTATTTTGAACTTGGACTATAAAATACATTCAGGCTTTTTTTTCTACTGCTGCTCAGCATGGTTTGACAGGATTATGTCCTGAGTGAAAATAAGCTGTCGTTGTTCTAGGACCTTTTATGATATTTTAAGTAAATAATTTCAAACAATTCTGGTTTTCACCGTTTCATGCCATCCCTTAAACAAAAGTTCAGAGGGCACTGCAGGTACCTCTGATAAGGGTCCATTTCTTAAGTAGATTTGCTTAGTAGAAGAGGCTGTGCTTATATTCCCCAGAGACAAATTTTTCTTGAGTAAGTCTGTGGTTTGGGGCACTTGTGCCGATTTGTGACTTGGCTTAGACGTTGAAGAATTTTGGGACCACTGATTTCTCAGGCTCTAAGTACACAAGATACTTTTGAAGGAATCTCTGAGCCCCCTAAGGCATCTCTGCATGTGTCCCCTGCAGTCTGAGCACAAGGCACTGACACAGCTGAAGAGACAACACAGGCCCCAGCAATGCTGATGATACCCTGACTGGGGTCTTGGCACTAGCTTGTTTCTCGGAGGAATTCTCACTTCTCCAGTAGAAACAAAAAAGTTAGGTTCTGTTATTTGGAGTTTAAAGGAAGTTGACTCTTCTTACCGCACTCCGCATTTTCCTTTCTAAACTAGTAAACTGTAGTAATGCTTTCTGTATGAACATCTGTGCTACGCGTGGTCAGTAGGACTCACTCCCTCTCCTGTCTGTTCCTTCCATCCCAGATAAAGAAGAAGTGCAAAGGAAACGACAGAAGCTCATGCCTAACTTCTCTGATGGCTATGGTGGAGGCAGTGGCACCGGAGGTGGTGGCATGTATGGAGGGGGAGGTGGCGGTGCTGGCTCTGGTAAGGCACTGGTTTTTCAGGTGAAGAGGGAAAGGGGTTCTACTTAGAGAGCTGGATAGATGTTTATTCTGATTTCTAAAACGTGATGAGGATTCTGTCTCCTCCTAGGTAGATAAGACTTGACTGTGTTGCCTTTATAATAGTGTCACTCAATTGAATCAAGCATCTCCTTGTTTTTTAAACACTTCCTCATCTCCTTTGCTTTCCTACTTTGGAAGCTTTGTTGCTTCCTGGAGCCTTGGAGGCACTGAAATTCATGAGACAGCTCAGTTAAGTACTGTATTGGGTGCTTAAAATTAAACAGGTTCTGAATTCCAGTTCTTGGACCACTAGTGGTATTTATCCTGTATTTACCACTAGTGGCAAATCAACCCTGTTAGTGCAAAGAACTATTAAAGAAGTGGAGACACTATTTAGTAAATTTTTTGCTCTATCTGTTGAAACCGGAGTGTATCTGATACAGACGATCATAAGAGCATTGCTTTGGTTCTTGCAGCAGAGCATTAAAAAACCTATAGATCAGCAAATGTCATCTGAACAACAACACTTTTTTTAGAGCAGGGAACAGAGCAGCAGTTTTCAAACTCTTACGTGTGTTGCCTGCAGCACATCTATAGCATAACACCAGAATACAAATCCATTGTGGTCACAAAGAATCAGAGGCATAGAGGCAGCTTGTGATGTCTCAGATGAGTTTTAGATGAAGAGTATAGTGATATTACATTTGTGTGGTCTTAAACATACTGGGGTAGAGAGTGTCACTAGCCAATCATCTAGAATTTCTTTGGATTTTTGGAGAATTTATTATAAATGGATGGAATAAAGCAGAAGGTGTGCAGAAAACAAAAATCCACTTCTTTAGCTTCAAGTTGTCCTGGGTGGTGTTTTCATTGCTTTAGGATGTAATTCTATTAATTCTTAATCATCTTCTTCCTTTCTTTAGGGTTCAGTTATCCTTCATATGGATACTCTGCTTTTGGAGGGATGCATTTCCACCCCGGCACAACAAAGTCCAATGCTGGAATGAAACATGGTAACAGTAAAAATGTCATTCTTTGAAGAGTTGAATTGAGTTTGACCTTCTGTATTTTCTTCTACAGTGTCAGCCCAAGTGTCATGCAGGTCTAGCTAAGTGGGCTGGGGAGGGCTGTTTTTTACTTCCAGAATCAGTCTCTTTTCCCAAGCCTCTGTCAGCAGAGGGGTTTATGTAGATTATACTGCCCTGCTTCTCTTTTTTCCTCTCCAAATCTACCTTAACAGCTGCGTGCATGTTCCTTTTTACTGCTGACTCCTGAGAAGCAATCACCAAAACCCCTCCATGTGCTTCTGTATTCAGCAGATGTTTCGAGCAACAGCCCTTTTACTTGCTTGAAAGTGCTGATTACAGGTGACCCAAGGACTAGACCAGAGAAAATGGATCTTCCTTTATTGCCACAGTCTGGTACTACACAGTAGTCCAGAGAAATCAATGGAAAAGATTAAGGTGTTAATAAGGACACTCTTGGCTTCCTATAATAGGAAGGTAATTTCAGATCTACATGTTGAATACTCTGTAGTTATTTCCACAGTCTCAGGGATGGATTTGCCGTTAGGAAAACAGAAATGAATATGAATTAATTCTGCTAGATTTCCTGAGATTACTTCAGACTTACATTCTTGTACCATAAAAAGAGAGGTACATCTGTTGTAATGTATAAAAGTTTATTTTTAAAGCAGAGGCTGTCAAAAACATGACATAACTTCAGAACAAGTTACATGTCTGTCCCTGTGCATTGGCATCTGAAATAGTATGGTTTATGAGTTTAATGACAACACCATGTTAAAGTAATTTTTTATATTGATTCTTCAGGGTTTGGTTTTGTCTAGTTGAGCTTTATCCTTTGCATTAAAAAAGCAATGGTACTGGACACTAATGATTCTAATTTTTGTTAGAAGGACTATCAAATAGCCCAGCTGAACAAAGCAGGAAGAGCTCTGATAAACAAAGTGATAAACTGGACCCGAAACATGATGTGAAGGTGGAGAGGACTGCGTGCAGAATGTCTGCTGATAATGAGGAAAAAGAGGGTGCTGCTTCTTCCTGTAAAACTGAAGTAAACGAAGCAGAGTTCAGGTGGCAGGGTAAGTGAACAAGTAAACGTATTAATTTAGGGCAGATCAAACTGCTGTAAGGGTAAAGCTGGTGTAAAAGGCCTGGAAACTCCGTAAATGTCTACTTGCTGTTTTCAGAGCATGATAATGCCTCCTGGAAGAAACGGGAGGGATTCCATTCCGCCAAATCTAAGGTCCCTCCCCATACACAGTTCTGTAGGTAAACCTCTGTACTGCCACTGGGCACTTGAGCTTCTGCTTGTCATGCAAAGGAGATGAGACAGCTTATCCTGCTGGGCATGTTTAACACTGCCTTTTTAATACACCTGTATGAGGAACAGCCACAAGCAGCAAAGGCACAAGGGATACAGTTCAGCAGTTGATTTGGCTTTTGATATTTGATAGACCGTAATGGATGAGTAAATGGATGTTGGCAGTGATTGCAGAGAAAAACGACTGCAACAACACTGCTAAACTGCATGCAAAGTAGTGTTACAGGTTTGAATTTAAAATTAAAAGGTACCTGTTCCCATATGTCAAATACCCAGTAAAATAACTCTGTTGGGTAGCAAAGAGTTACGTATCAAACAAAACGGGAGGAAGACAAGAGTATGAAATACTTGTGAAATAGAAATGGTTTGGCAGCAGAGTTGTAAAATATACCAAGGCTACAAATCACCCTCTCCCAGAGCAAGACATCCTTTTCCTGGATTGTTTTTTAAAATAATTGATGGACACTTTTTAAAGGAATTGAGTAATTGTGCTTATCATAAAATCAAAAAAACAGCAGTTGGAGTACAGAGACATGCTAGCAGTAGGAATTGAGCAGGAAGGAATGTTTTGTTCTTGGCTTTTACCAAGTGCAGCATGATCTAGACCACTTCAGTTGTTCCTTGGATCAGGGAGAGGACACCTTATTGTGCGTGTATCAGCCATGCTGATACAGTATTGCTATTAACAGCACGAGAAACCATGGCTTGGGAAGCCAAGGTGGCATCATAGCTGGGTTGTAGTTTTAAAAACCTCCAAGTTGTAGCTTCTTGTGATCTGAGAACAGATGTGCTCTTGAGAAAAGCTGAAGGAACTTGCTGTTTCCAGTTCTGGTTGTGATAAATCACATGGTTGGTTCAGAGAGCAAAATCTTTTGCTGATACGAAGAACTAATAATGTCCATTTAGCAGTCATGAAGGAGAGACCTGAATTGTGTACCTGTTTTTTGGGTAATGAACGTTGTAGGCAGGAAGTTAACCGTTTCTCTTCTGTATCTATTGTAATGGTATGAAAGGAGGCAATTTCTAGCTCCAGATTATATGAAAAATGGGTGCAGAAGAACAGGCTTTATCAAACAGCTACTGCAGGCTAGATCACTTGGGTATTACACTGAAAGATACTTGTAGTATCTTGAAGGATATTTTTTATGTGTTTGATATGAAAGATCAGGGATTTTCAGCATCTAGTTCATTGGTCTTTGGAAATGTCTAAATGAGAAAAGACCAAATTGCTTAACACCCTTTACCCTGACTATTTATCCTGAACATAAAATCCATTTAATGATATTATTTAGTGTTAAGAGGTAAATAGCAAATATGAATGCAGCACCCCAGGCGTGCAGTGGAGCAACCACAGTGATGTATTGGGCTGGAGCAAAAAGCTTCATGGATAGCTGAGTAAGTCTTTGCCTTACAGAGATGGTGAATTCGTGTTCATCAGGGATACACTTCTGACCCAGTCTAAATGCCTGGTTTTGTGTAACTGGAAATCCTGGGTATTGTCTCCCCATGTGTGCTTTAAATGACAAAGTCTGTTGTACTTGTTTGCTTTTAGTAATTTCCAACCTTACGAGGTTTTATGGAAACATGAAACTGTTCAAAATGCAGGCTGGTTTCAGATGATACTTCTCAAAATGATGACTGTAGTTTAAGAGTTCATCTGTTTCATTTTCACTAGTTTCTTGCTGATACAGAACCACAAAAGTATTGAGAGAGCAGCCTGAGTTACTTTTTTTTCCACAAATGAGTTTCTTTTCTCCCCTTTCTCCCCTCTGTCTCCTCATCACGACAAACTCTACTTTTTGAAATCTCAGTGGTTGTACATTTTATAAATCTAAAATCAGGACACTACAAATACTAAGCAGTATAAAAACTGAAATGTTTAAAACAGGAGAACAGACTCTCTGTGCTGCTGCTTTATAGCAGGAGACACTGAATGATATGAGTCTGAGGAGCACAAAACCCTTTGTTTATTCATAGCTTTTCAGTGAGCTTCTGTGCAATATTTGATGGGTCACTTAGGCTTCTTGCACCTCAGTTTCCTCAAGGCAAAACTACTTAGAACTGCACAAGAGGTTTTTTTTTAATTGCTCTGTAGACAAGAGTCCTTAGATATATCTTGTATCTAAGCAGATTCAAGTTTCTGCTCCTTTTGTCTCATTAGACACAAATGTACCTCAGTGCAGTTAATTCGGTGCCACTCAAACCAGAGGTAGCTCACAGGGTTTGACTGTTCTCAGGGTTCCTGCTGCCTCAATGCTCAGCATGCACCTAGTTTTGATTCCAAGGGACTCGGTTCACTCTGTTCTTATCCCTCAGGAGTAATGAGTGAACCAGTGAATAAAGCTTGGTGGTCTGCAGTTTGTATTTCAATTACAGCACAAATGCCTATTGAAAGAAGGTGGTGTTCCAAGGAAGAGAACCGGACTGACGAAGACAAAACTTTGTGTTGCAGATTCTGTGTTCCTGGAGAAGGCCATGCAGCTCGCCAAGCGTCACTGCAACGCTCTCTTTGATTATGCCGTGACCGGAGATGTGAAGATGCTGTTGTCTGCTCAGCGCCATCTCACTGCTGTCCAGGATGATAATGGAGACAAGTGAGTCGACCCCACTATGCTTACTGGGCTGAAACTGATGGTTTTAGTGGCAGAATGGTGTAGTCAATGTGTTCTGCCCCTTGTGTGTGCCAATCACGGATGGCAGCACTGCTCTCATCAAATGGCTGTCTTCCTCCTTTGGGCTGTTTGGGAGAGGTACAGCTGTGATTTAGACGTTCTTGTTGCATTTGCAAAGAGGTCGTGCACGCCACAAAGTTCATTGATCTGTCAGAAAGTACTCTGGTCACTGAGGGTACATGTTGTGCCTTTCTTTGCCATTTTTTACTTACTTGACTGAGCATGAAATGCTGTGCTTGTATCATGATACACAACGGATGAGGATCCTCAGGTTGGTTGGTGCTGAAGGGAGAGTGCCCTGCCTTTTATTCCATGCAAGTCCTTAAGTCTTTATAGGAAGCTTCAAGTAAGGGATTTACGGGGAGATATAGAAACAATAGCTGGAGGGTCCATGGTGCTTTTCTCCCACTGAAACCAACTTCTTCCTTGAGGACATTATTTTGCTTTTGCTTATGTCTGTACTGTACTGTTGTCTTCCAAAGGATTGCACAGATGTTTGTGGCAGACTTGGTTGCTAATATTTGCTTATCAGTCCTTCAATAATGTGAGCTGGAGCAGAAATCCATTTTGTTCCTCTACAGCTATGCAGATTCTGGGAAACTCAGAGTGAAATACTGTGAGGAACTAATGGTGTTGCTTAATGTTACTTAAAATGAAATTCAGCAGAACCAGCTCTGAGCATTTGCAGAGAGAATCTCTGGAATAAACAAGTGACTCTATCACATCCTCACTTCTCAGCTGGCAGGCCTTGAGCAGGCCCTGTGCAATCACCAATATTTCCTTAAATTGTAGTATTTTATACAGTGGAAGCCATACAAACCTCGAGGTGTCCAGCTAGAAGGAAAATTACAAGTGACTGAGACCTGTATCCCTCTGTTCAATTACTCTGTGAGAGGTTACTGCTTTCACTCCGCTTTCGGTGAAAATAGGTTCAGATTACACATAGAGGACTGCACAATCACAGAGAGCTACTTCACTTGCTTTGCTTTCCAACTGGCAACCTAATGTCTGCTTTGAGAAAAACAGGAGTATGAAAGAGGCAGGAGCTAGCAACAAAATCTGCCAGCACTTTGGACAACGCAGCTTCTGTGTTTAAAATGAAAAAAGGGGGATAGAGGAGCATTGGGCAAGTAGGACCTGCATTTAAATATCAGTAAGCTGCCCCTCAGATTTGGACTTGCAGAGCATTTCAACTAAATCAAAGTACTTTTCAGAGTGATGATAAATAGTTGTTTTCTTCCTGAATCAAGAAGTATCTGCAAGCTCAAGTTCATGTTGCCTTTCTCCTGGGATGGATTTTAGTCTCTGAGCACATCATACATCTGTATTACTCTATAACTTTTTTAAAAAGAGAAGCTTTGGTGACTGTCTTCCATCTCCGTCTTGTTGGGGAAGAGGGGAAGGTTAAAATTCAAAAATAAATTTCCCTGATTTTCACTTTGAGCATTAAAATTATATGGCAAAAAATAGAAAAATTTTGCTTAAGCCTTAAAAATAATGTTGCTGTCGACAGTTTTGCTCATCTTTCATCAAAGCAGTGTGTGGGGAATAAAATACCTTTAGTAGGCTTTGTGTTGTGTTTCATGGCCTTGAGACAGGATACAGTGCTCTGTTTACAAGACACTCAGTAACACCAGCTGTGAGTGCATTTTTACCAATACCACTCCTCTGCAGATACCTGATGGCTCCACAGGGGTGCAGAAATGCATGTTTTCATGCAGGACTGTTTAGGAAGTGGAACTGACTGCCCTTTTGTGGTCTGTTCAGCACGTCTTTACAGCACCACACGTAGAGGCAGGGTAAAATTAAAATACTTGCTGCAGAAAAGAGAACTAGAAGCAATAGAGGAGCAAATGTGTTTCTGAAGTGAGATTTGGAAATAAAATGTCAGCATAGTAAGAAGCAGAGGAACAGCTCTTTTCCAGTAATGGTGGGTCTGTTTGAACAGCACAGGAGACTTGAAGGAGGTAAGGTGCCATGGTAGTGCCTATGGCAGTGTCTGGAACCAATAAAAAGGGCCCTGCAGGGTTGAGTTTGGTTTGTAAATTACACTTTTCCCTTTGTTAAATTATCTGCTGGTTTTGAGTCCTCTCACTCTCAATTTCAAGATGACTCCATGCATGGAACTTCCTTTTATTTTTTTCTGATGAAAGTGTAAATCTGAGACTATTTGGGTATTTCTGGAACAGCATAACAGACACACCACATGTGCCATGTTGCTACTGTGTGTCAGCAGCAATATGCTAAACAGCTGAGTCTAGAAGCTGCCCAGCACCTGCTAAAGAAGAGCTTGGCAGGATATGTTTAAAAACAAAGGGCATGACTTCCAAATGAAGTCTCGAGGGAACAAGACAAATAGAGCTCTGTCGGACAGGGGTGATGGGATTCACAGACTGCTTTTTTCTTGGTGTCATTTTGCTGCTCTGGCTGATGGTGAGGGACCTGCTCTGGAGAAGAGCACTGGAAAGGCCATTGCATTAACTCATTAGATGTGTCTCGCTGTGCAGTCACTGATGTCCCAAAACAGGGTTTTTTAGGCATGACGTCTGTGGCCACTGCTGCAAATCTTGTGGTTGTTAGTCACCAGGCCTGAGTCCTTACTCACTCTTCTGTTTGAAAGTGAAGGAAAGGAAAACCCACAGATCTAGCTGGGGAAACCCCAAGGGAAAATCTGCTTTGGAGGCAGAGAGGGCTGTGGAAATTCTGCAGGAAGGTTTTGACAAGTGAGAGGTGTTCATCTGCTGCATAATTCAAAATATTAAAAAAAAAAAAAAGAGCAAAGAATCTGGGGATTTTCTGAAGCAATTGTTTTGTGCTACTAATTTTGTATATTAGACTAGTAGTAAAGTTATGCTCAGGGCCAGCAAAAGCTATTCTGAGTTAGCTTTTGTGATTGGAAGGTTAAGCAGTTACCTTCTGACTTGCCTTTTTTTCATGTTGGGGCTTATTTTAAATGCTAATATTTAATGCTGGAATCATTACCTCTTAATAGTCAAGTGTTTATGTCAGAATTCAGTCAGATCTACAGCAAAGCCTTGAAATGTTTATAATAAATTTGAAAACAGTGTGAATTTGCTAATCTGCTTTTTGTTTGTTTCAGTGTCCTTCATTTAGCAATTATCCACTTTCATACTGAGCTGGTGAGAAACCTCTTGGAAGTGATGCCGGACTTGAATTACAATGACATCATTAACATGAGAAATGACCTTTATCAGGTGGGCAGTTGTGATAGTACAAGTGTTGCTGATTGTCTAGACAGTAAAAAAGAAATTGCTTCTGTGGGAAAGAGCCGAGATCTGACTGCAGTTCAAGAAAGTTTTGAAACACAATGACTTATTGAAAGGTGGTGGAGGAACAAGAACCTGTTTTCACAGGTTTAGTCCATAACTCCCCTTGATGTTAACAGAAGTGTCTCCTTGGGTTAACTGCAGAACAGGCCAAAAATGGTAAATTCTTCAGTTCATGTCTTCAGTATTTGGCTTCTCTGTTCCTAAAACAGCGGTATGGATTACACTGTGCCAACTCTGGGCTCTTTTGACCTTTCTAACGTAAGGTTAATTCAGGATCTTGAGCCAGTTGCTGCATCATCAGTTATCTATAGGCACGTGAAGCCATAGTAACCTATGCCCTTTCTACAGCCCAGATTGTATTTGTGCCCATCACATGAGCACCAAGATTTCCTTTTATTTTTAGATCCGTATTTTAGTAAAACCAAAAAAAAAAAGCCAATTTCCATATTTTTTTTAACTGCCAGGCACAATTCTGTCTCCTCAGCTTCATCTGTGACAGAGTCTGAGCTGTTGTATTGTAACTCGGGTTTTAAAAAGAGCTGTGGGAACCCACCTGAAAAGCAGTCTCTTCTAAAGAGATTGTGTGCACCACTTGGCTGTCCCACAGGTGACCTGCTGGACACACACTTGTGTCATTTGTTTTGCTGTCAACAGTAAAGGCAGGTTTTTATTCTACACAGATAGTCCCAGAAGGTTTATTTTGACTCCTTTTGTTTTCTTTCACATTTCACTTTTGTGTTCATATAAGGAAAGTTTGAAATGTGGAGGCTGATCAAAGCAAGCAGAAGATTCTGAATTGAATTCTGTGCCCTCTGTCTAACAGAAACTGGAAGCAAAGCTGTGCTCCACACAAGAAATAAATCCCTGACTACCAGGACCTCTACAGCTCTTCCTACCTTCAACAAATTTATTGTGCAGAGCTGGAATTCTTTTTTTTTTTTTTTTTTTTTTTTAGTCCTCTGTTATTATAAATATAATTAGCTGGAGATGGAATCTTATGTAATTTTTAGATTATCTTAATATTGGAAATATGATTTTTCCAAGCCTTACTAGAATGCTTACTGTTTAAATACATGCAACTCTGAGTATGTTCAACATGCTGCTGCTCACTAACAAGACTGACAAGAATGCAGCATGCAGGCAGCCTTTGGAAGTTCTAGCGGCCTCTCAGCCTGAGAGCCACTCGGTGCTGCAGGTGTCTTGTGTCAAAAAACGGGGAATGTGCAAATAAGACCAGCCAGCCCAACGCGCGGTGCGTAACTGCACCGTTGTTCTGCTCTTTGACAAATGCACAGAACTGCAGGATTTTCTTCTTCTCTGTGCAGCCATTTTGAGGGATAAGGAGCTCCTAAGCCCATGGCTGCAAACCTCTGATTCAGGAGCAAAATGAGAGCATGGTTCAGTGGTAAAAGCAGATCAGAGCAGGGCCTGGAAAGGGGCCTGGTGCTCCAGCCATAACATGAACATGGCGATGGGGCAGCTGAAAGCAGGGTTACAGTGTCTGGGGGGTGTAGGGATTATGTCATTTCCCAAGTCCCTTACACTGCAATGCTCAAATAGCCAGGTCAGTGCCCTGGCTTATAGAGTAGGCAACATCTTTGTTCCTCCCATAGTCCAACTGCTGACACTGGCAAGGCAGCTTTTATTTCCAGTAAGTAGAAACCCTATTTGTAGTATTCAGTAGAAAAGAATGTACACATATGCAAGCTTTTAGTTTCTATTAGCTTTGGAGTGGTGTAACATCTTCTCACACTAGGAGCCTTTATGGGTTTCAGAGATTTCTGTAGAAGTGACGTAGCTGTTGCTTATCTTCTCGTGGCTTGCTTCTGTCTCTTCTAGACCCCCTTGCACCTGGCAGTAATCACAAAGCAGGCAGAGGTGGTAGAAGACTTGCTGAGGGCTGGAGCAGATGTCAGCCTCCTGGATCGCCACGGTAACTCTGTCTTACATTTAGCTGCTACCCAAGGAGACGACAAGATCTTGAGTCTGCTCCTCAAGCATGAGAAGGTATCTCCGATGGTCAACCTTTCCAATGCTGAAGGTATGGAAAGACAAGGGCTCTATATTACACTTAGCTGCTAGACAAACGCCCCAATTCCTGCCCCTGCCAACACCGCGACTCTACACAGGTAGATACAGACCTTGAAAATGGCATCTTTCCCCATTTTGCATATGCCTGCAGGCACAGATAAGAGAATACAGATGTGCTGGTTTTCTAGTTATACAAAACAGAAAGATGTAATGGCCACATGACATAAGTGTGGATTTGAATTTTTGTTACTCTATATTCTCTTCAATCTCACAAAACTTCAAGCACTGTGTTCCTCCCGAGATACCTTTTGCCACCACCATTTAAAAAAAAAAAAAATCCCCCTTGAAGAAAATGTTTCCCTTTTCTAGTGAATGAATCACCTCAAAAACAGGTTCTGGACCAGTGTTGAGTTTTGTATCTGGTACTTTGTGACCATAAAGAATTAGAGCCTAGAGATTAACCACAAAGAGACAATTCTCCCATTATTCATTGGCATGGGGGATTTGAATTTAGTACTCCTCCTCTAGTAGATTGTAAAATTTCTGACTTAAAAATGTCATTATGGCATTCAAAAAACTGTGTAAGTTCCTCAGAGAGAAAGAATTTTTGGGTTTGTATTTTGTTTGGCTGGTTGATTTTTAAATACAAGGCTTTATGATCTAGTGCAGGTAATCTTGAGATGGTAAGGCAGTGTGACCCCACAGGAGGATGATACTAAAATATACCAGTTATTCCCCAGGCTGTTTCTAGAAGACATGTTCAGTAGCAGATGGGGCCAGTGTGGGGTACATACTTGTTTAGTATGATGATGCAGGTTTTGTTTTCAAGGCTACTCCCTTTTGAGGCAAAGAGATGCTCTAGGTGAGCTCTGTAGTTCCTGCCTTCTGTTCTACCTTGTAGTCTGCTGGGGTTCTTTTTCTTGCATGGTTTTGACTTACCACCAATAACACAACTAGTTCCAATCTGTGCACAAAGAACATTTTCATCAACATCATTAACATGATCCTGAGCCTCCACCCAGAGTGCTACTTTAGGCTCTGGGACCCCCAGCATACAAAGGACATGGGCTTGTTACAGCGGGTCCAGGGGAGGCCATGAAGATGCTCAGGGGGCTGGAGCACCTCTCCACTGCAGGCAGGCTGAGAGAGCTGGGGCTGTTCAGCTTGGAGAGGAGCAGGCTCCAGGGAGACCTCATTGCAGCCTCCCAGTGCTTTTTAAAGGGAACCTAATAGGAAAGCTGGAGAGGGAGTGTGTACACACAGGGTGTGTAGTGACAGGACGAGAGGGAATGGCCTCAAACTGATGGAGTGTAGGTTTAGATTAGATATTAGGCAGAAACTCTTTATTATGAGGGTGGTGAGGCACTGGTACATGTTGTCCAGAGAAGCCATGGACATGTCATCCCTGAAAGTGTTCAAGGCCAGGCTCGATGCAGCTTTGGACAACCTGGAGGTGTCCCTGCCCATGGCAGGGAGGTGGGTGGAACTGGGTGATCTTTGAAGTCCTTTTCAGCCCAAACAATTCTATGATTCTCTCATCTTTTAGTGTATCAGCAGGCAAAAATATGTTACTTCTGCTCAGACAACTACAGAAACTCTAAGCTATTTTACAATTCTTATACTTGCGGACACTTCAAAACTCATTACTCTGACATTTCTGAATTTTTCAAATATTAATGCACATGGCTATATGCACAATATTAATGGTTGGGATTTATTTTGTGTAGGTCTCAGTGCAATTCACATGGTGGTGATGGCAAACAGTATGTCCTGCCTCAAACAACTGATTGCTGCTGGAGTTAATGTCAATTCTCAGGAACAAAAGTCTGGACGGACTGCATTGCATTTGGCTGTTGAACAAGAGAACATCCCTTTGGCAGGCTGCCTTTTGCTTGAGGTAAGGGCAGAATTTCTTTCTTCCAGGTCTTTCGAATTATATATTTAAATACTCTGGACACTCCTTCAGTGCTTCAGAGGAACAGAAAGGGGGGGTTCCTGTCTTTTGACTAGATTACTTAAGGCAAAATTATTGGTGATGTTATTCATTGCTTTGTTCAGTATTGCTGGTGAACCTTTTGCCCAAGCTGAGGAATTTACAGTGGCCCTGACCTGACTGCATATGCCATGTTTAATTTGCACTGAGTAATCTTGCCAGCCAATGAAGTTACTCATGAACAAGTTCATCACTGCTTCTGCATGAAGCTGAATGTGTACAGAGATGTGCATAGAGATAGAGTTGTGCATGTCTATTAAGTATTTATCTCTTTAACACCTTGATCCTGGTGTCCTTAATTCTACACAACTCCTGCTGCAGTAGCTCTCCTTGCTGTTGGCATATGGATGGGCCACCAGCCTGGCTGCTCTTCTGAAGAGCAGCAGGAAGGCAGATTTCTGTGCATGCCATTCGGACTCCAAAGGCTGAGGGTAATCACATGGCAGAACCATTCCATGGGATGCACAGGGGCTTTTATGTACCTGACCTATTTGGATATATACACTGCACCTCCTGCTGTAGCACTGGAGCACACAAGGACCATCTGTTCCTCCATGCAGACAGTTGTAGTTACTTTCTAATTACTTCTTTGCAGACATCAGTTTTTATGCAAACAAACAGGCGTGGAATGGTGCTCGCCATGCTTATGCAGACATGAGCCTCTGCAGCTGTATTGTATAGATCTCTTTTCTTTTTATCATTCAATAAAAATCTAGGGTGATGCAGATGTGGACAGCACTACATATGACGGGACAACTCCACTTCACATAGCAGCTGGAAGGGGCTCTGCAAAATTGACAGCAGTTCTCAAAGCGGCAGGTATGAAAACAGATCATTGCTGGAGAGTTTTCTTTCAGAGTGACAAAATTCAAGTTAGAAGGCTGCAAGCAGAAAAAAATGTGCCAGTGAACATGTTTAATGAACAGAGGAAGTCAGATGTTAAAAGCCTGAAGGTCTGAATTTCCTTAAAAAGTCTGACTTTGAGGTGCTTTACTAACCCACTCTTCAGCACCATCTAATGGCTAAAAAGGCAAATTATGCTGGTCAAGAAAAACCTCTCTTGCAAGCACTCTTGGAAGTTTTTGAATATTTCTTGTGTAGCTTTTATAGCTGAAGAAGTGGAGACCTTGTTATAGCTGGGATAAGTTTTGGACTGCTTTAGAAACAAAAATAACCCCATCACTGAAACGTGAGCTTGTTAGTGCCTCCTATTTTAGGTCACGTTGGAAGAATTAGATTTGAATATTTATTGGAACATTTTGTCAGTTGTATTTAAACTTGATTTTTCTCCTTTAAAGCAGACACCCAGGCCTCCCATGGATGTGGCTGTCTACTTGGTCTTTGAAAAATACCCACACTTTCCCTGACACTATAAAAAGCAGCACCACACCATTGCTTCATCACATACATGCTATGCTCTGTGTGAGCTGAGATGGGACTGGAAGTTAGTTGCTACAACCAGAGGGGATTTTTTGGGCCCTAACACTCTGCTTGTCATTTTTTCCCCTCTTTATATGGGAGAGTAGCACTGCACAGAGATGTGACAGCATTTAAACGTAATTTTAAAAAGAGTTATTTGCTGGCTTAATATAAAATATCATTTAGCTAGAGTAAATAAATTAGCTGGTTTGCCATTCAGAAACTAGAATGCGTATTTTAAATATTGTTGAAAAGCAACTTGAAGCCTTTTTTCTTACAATTTTTTTTTGTTTTTTGCACACTTTTTCCAGGTGCAAATCCTCACATTGAGAACTTTGAGCCATTGTTTGATCTAGATGATGTGAAAGATGCTGAAGATGATGATGAAGGGATTGTGCCTGGAACAACACCGCTGGATATGGCAGCCAACTGTGAGGTATGTGGTCTGTTTATTCTGTTTGATGTGTTTTTTCTGGTTTTCCTTTTCTAATCATCACGGATAGTTCAGCTCTCTTAGCTGCATCCACAGTCATTTCAGTGGTGACAAGCAACTAATTTGCCATCAAAAATTAAACTAATTCAGCCACAGAACTCCCCCAAGGAAATAACGCTGGAAGAAAGCTCCACTTAACAGACTACTGAACCTCAGAGAGATAAAAATGCTGATTTACAGATGGAATTAGGGCCTTATACGATACTGCTGAGACTTGTCAAGATAATGGATACTAACCAGGTTTCTGCTAAATACTGAATTTAATGTATTGTCTTAGGTGTATGACATACTAAATGGCAAACCCTACGAGTCAACAGAGGTTTCGGAGGACCTGCTGACACGAGGTAACATCTATAAAGACTCTGACAATATCCCTCTAGTAATTGAGTTCTCTAACCATAGTGGCAGAAGACATTGCCCTGCAATAGCTTGTAACTGAACTGGTGAGGGAGAAGAGGTACCTCCCAACCACTCGCTCACAGAATGAGCACGATTCCCTTAAGAGATCACAAGGACACAAAGGAGTACATTTTCAATACTACAGCAATACCTTTATAAACACTGGGACTGGACTCTAATATGCTCTTCAGTTTGGCTTTGTTTCTGCTTAGAAATTAACTGGTGCTGATTTGTATAAATAATAAACTAACGTATTTCTCTGTTCCCCAGGAAACTTGAGAGAGCTGAATGAAAGTTCCAAGATGCAGCTTTACAAACTATTGGAATCACCTGATCCAACCAAAAACTGGTCCACTCTAGCAGAAAAACTGGGTCTTGGCATACTTAATAATGCCTTCAGGTTGAGCCCTTCTCCATCGAAAACTCTGCTAGATAACTATGAGGTAATGTGGCTGTAACAAGTTATAAAGAACATTCAGACTTGTAGAGAACATTGTCCTCCTGGACGGTGAGGAGCCCTTCAGTTTTAGCCAGCCTGGTTGATGGTGAGCATCTGGTGTCTTCTCTCTTAGGTTTCTGGTGGTACAGTTCAGGAGTTGATCGCTGCTTTGAGACAGATGAATCACACAGAAGCCATTGAAGTAATTCAGGAAGCACTATCCACCTCACACAGCCCATCTCACCTGGAGAAGAGTACAGCAAAGGCTCTTCCATCGTCATCACCACTAACCTTTGCAAACGGAGAGACAGGTAAAATTGACAATGAACTAGGAAGAGCTTTAAGATGTTGTTTTCAATTCTCCCTCCCTCCCCACCTTGGGCTCCTGATAGATTTTATATTTCCTCACACACAATGCCTCAGCTGCTTAGCTGTTTCAGAAATATTTTACTGCAGCATGATTTTCTCGTCATAGATATTTGCTAGGCCTAGAAGAGAGAGGAAAAATGGACCATTTGAATCGGCACGCCTGCATCACAGTATTGAATATACTACCTCCCTTTTCTAATACCAGACACTTGCTATTTGCTGATAGTAATGCCTGGGAATAAGTTTCAAAAAATAAACTAGGCAATGATCTCCCAGGCATGTACAAGTGCCATTAGTTTCTCAATAAGACTTTGGTATTAAATTTCTCTTTCTACAGTGTGTAAGCACTCCAAAATGGCCCAGTGTTCTGTAGGCAGAGAAATGGCTTAGATTACAGAGCACCACAAGCAGTCCTGCTGTCAACTACCAGCTCAGAGCAGGGCCAGTATAAATATTATATGGGTTTGTCCATGTCATGTCCAATTGAGTTCTGAGCATCTTCCCAATAATGGAAGTCTGTATATATTTCTGGAAAGAAAAAAGGAAAACCACAGTCACCCCATTCTAGTTTAATGTTGCCAGTTTACTATCTATGGAAAACAGTTTGTTCAGTCATGGAAAGAACCTTCACACCTACCCAAAAATGTGCTTATACACATATTATCGCTTTATATAATCTTGAAGGGTAAGAGGGGTTCTACTCCTTTGCAACATGAGTGGACTGCATCACATGGCTTTATTTTAAGGTGTTTGTTTAGAAAAATAAGACTGAACTCTAATACGCCAACCGCTGTTATTATAGTCACACTGATCCTGTATCATACCTTCAGCTTGGATACTGATCCCTCCAGTGCCCTTCAGGCACTCCTTTTGTGGATCATGCGCAGGTGATGGCTGCTGCTGACTTGTTTGTATTTCAGGTTCACTTACTAGATGAAAATTGTTCAAGTATTTGTCTCAGAAAGAAATCTGTAAGTTGAAGTAGCATGAGAAAGTTTTAGAAGCCTCATCCTGGAGCTGTGCACTTGCTCAGAGCCTGAATCTGTAGAACCAAAGAACCTTTTGACACCCAGGCAGAGTCCTGACCAATGTGCAGTGACAGCATTAGTGTCAGCAGAGCACCAGGCTTCTCATCCCATCCAAGCTCCAACTGCAAGCTGATCTCTGCCAGCAGTATGTCAGATCACATGCTTTGGTGGCCTGAAAACATTCAGCACAGCTTTTCCTAAAATAATACTAAGTATTAGAGTCATTTTCCTATAGAAGAGCTTTGACCCTGTTGGTTTGCGTTCCTTAGGCTTTTCTGAAAGCAGCATCACTCAAGCCGTGTACACAAACAATAAGGTATTTCCCTTTCCTCCCTCCCTCAGGTGAGCTTTATAACAGCAAATTTCAAGACAACGAAAGCACGTGTGACAGCGGCGTGGAGACCTCGTTCCGCAAACTGAGTTTTACTTATTCAGACTCTCTGAACAGCAAGTCATCACTAACACTGAGCAAAATGGCCCTGGGCTACCGACATGAAGGTTCAGTGCAAAGCAATTATATAGCCGAATAGTAATGTTCAGTTAGCAATATGCAGTTACAGGAACAAATGCAACATTTAAAATTATATCAGTGTCGTCCTGGTCAGAGGGAAGTGAATTCACAACCCAAAGTGCACTGGAAGAATCCCACCCGAACCAGGACCAAGGGCAACTTCAGCGTGCAACTCCTAGACACTGCTTCCTTCCTCAAGTACATTTGATTTTATTAATTTACAAGCCATATACAATAACCAGGGCTCTACTGCCACATTAATACACAGGACTGGACGCTGTGAAAGACTGACTGAGCTTTTCTGGTTTGTGAGGATTTTCTTTTACAGATGAAAGTCACTCCTTGTTAAAGCATAATATGAACTCAAAAAAGAGGTAAGGCACACAGAGCAATCAAAGGATACAGTTTCTAGCTGCTCTCTTCATAATTTTTGCAGGAGAATTGCACAAAAAAAGCTCCTAATATAGCTGGCAAAGAAAAATCATTAATCATAACAGTGACAATTCAGAGAAAAAAGAAAATCCTAAAAAAAAAAAAAATCTTGTATATTTCAAATAATGTATTTAAATTTCACTTGGATGCCTCTTATTCAAAATTTTTTTCAAGTTTGGCATTTTCCTACTTGTAAATAGGTTTTTTATATCTGTTCCTGTTTGAAAAAGTGGGCTTTTTAAATGCTTATTTTTATTTTACTTTTATAATAAAACTCCAAAATTAATTCTCTTGTCTATGCTTGCTGTGATTTTTACATATCTTTCAAGCAGAATTATTGAAGATTTAGCATTTCAGTTTTAGTCATTGATACAAGATCATGCTGATTTCCAAATACTAAAAAAAATAAAGGGTTGCAAGCCACCCGTCTTAAAGCTTTAAGCATCTTTTTTGGTGGAAGAGCAGGAGCATCAGCAACTGCTGAGCAGCTGTGCTTTGTGCTTTGGAATTAAAGCCTCTGCCTTGTTTCAGTCTTCGTAATTATGGCAGCAGAGTGTTCATTTACACTGAAACCAACTATTTAGTGTCTCAGCAAAACTCTGATGAGACATTTCTCCTTTGGGCTATCTAGAAACTCCTGTAGTAACTGTGCTCAGGAGCAGTGCTTCTTGTTTCTCATTAATTCTGAGATAGTGACTGTAATTGTTACTGATGTTGGCCCAACTAAAAGTACAGAGCAGGTATCATAGATTTCATGATGAAAAAACAAGGCAGCATTGCCACTCACTTGTAGCCAGTTTTCATGGCACAAACATGGAGATTTGACAGGGTTGCTCTTGGCTCAGTTCAGTCTTCAGCAACCTGGGTGTCACTCCTGAGAAAATGAATCAAGATAAACCTTGAGAATAGCTACATGTAGAGCAGTAGTTGCTGTAATGAATTAAACCATGAGTAATGAAACAACCTTGTGAACTAGTTTTATATCCAGCTGAATTACTGAGTATCTTAATTACTTCCAGGGAAACATGATGAATAATAGTAAAAATGACATTCTTTCAGTTGTTGTATTTATAACCTGCATATGCAGTGTCTAAGGCATATGGATTTTTGTTCAATTAATGTACTTGTCTAATAGAAACAGGCAAAGGTTCTCATTTTATGAGGGTGGAGGGGCTTTCTGAACCCCAGATGAGCTGCTGTCCAACTCACTCAGGGGGCTGGCAGAGATTTTTATTGAGGTTTCTACAATCCTACAGATCACCAGCGCACTCTGATTGTTGATTCACGCTTTTTAGCCACAGTTCTGACCAGCTCTGCTTTTAAAACACCAGAAGACAATTGGGCTTATATTTCCTTAAGCACTTCGTGACCACGTGCTGTATAATAGCTATTCATCAGGTTAGTGATCATGCAATGAACAGCAGGTCCCCTAGGCCCTGTGTATTGAAGTGCTTTAAATGGCAGTCTGGCAGTTTCTTTCCTTGCAGCATCTCAGTTTCAGTATATTTTAAAAAAGACACCTTGGTCCTTTTATTTTTTTTTCCTCTTTGTTTAGAGAGAGAAAAAAAATATTAATTTAAAAAGTGTTCTCAGTAATTCAAACTGGAACACTAAATTTCTACAGCTGAGTCACATAATAGGACAACTTTTCCCATCTGTATTAACCCTCTGCATCTTCCACACGGTGTGTTAGAACTAGGCAAGAGGAGGAGGTAGAACACACCACCTAGTGTAGGACACACTACAGAAAGCAGCAGGACATCTACTGGGAGACATTTGTGTCTGGTGTAGTTCCAAATTTGGCAGAGCAAACATGCTGGAGAGCCCAGTGTTTATTGCAAGCAGCTCAGTTAAAACAGTAAAACACACAACTGTGCTCTTCTGCTTGACCTCTTTTCTTAGTAGTAGGGGTCACCCTGTACAGGGCACACTGATTCTTGCAGTGATGGCACCTGGAAGAAGGTCAGGCTCCTTGCAGATGTGAGGATGAAGGTAGCATACATAACAGAGGAATGAGGCTTAGCAAGAGACAGTGTGACACAGATGAGTCTTGAACATTTAAAGCAAATGTGTTCACATCAGGTAACTGTCAAGAGGTATTTTGTGGACCACATCATCATATCTACTCACTTCAAACACAGGTTTATCCTTACACCTCCTGGCCAAGACAGGTAGTGCCATTCCTATTTCACAAGTGTGATAGAATAAACTACAGCTACAGTCCTGCAAGAATCCAGAAAGCAGCTGCCTGAGAGCTCCCATCTACACCTGGCTCATAGAGGGAAACCTTTCTGACAGAGTAGTAAGGGTGGAATTTAGGCTTAACGGTTTCATTCAGCACAGCAAGTTAGCATGAGGACCTCACTACACACTGTAGCACAGGATGTTGTCCCCATTCTGTTCCATGTTACCCTGAGGAAACAAAACTGAGAAGGGTAATATTTGCTAAGTTCTCAAAAATCAGGAATAAGTTTGGGGTGGTTTATGATATTTGCAGAAACAACAAAAAACACCCAACAACGTGTCAATCTCAAGAGCAGGTGCCTCTGCACTGTGGCTGGGTGAGCAGTTCTGACTAGGCGTGTGCCATAGGGGGCTCTTCCTGTGCACTGCATCACACTGCAAGAAGCCTGGTGCCTATTTCCATCAGCAATTAAAGCACTGAGGTTGAAAATCATTAACCAGCAACCTCAAATTGATCCTTAAAAGCTGATTTCATGGGTTTGTTGTTTTGAGTGCTAATCAAGCTTCCTCTCGCTTTGACAGTAACTGCACAGATTTACCTGCAACACTTGAAATATTCAAATGGTTCGGTACTAAAATAAGAAAGATTATGTAATTAAGATTTTTCCACCTGCAAAATGTAACCTTTGGGCATTCTCAGTCCAGTTTAGTATTAAATTTTAACTTACTTACACTGAGGATCAAAATCTGATATATAGAAATAATTCTAAACTTAATCTTCATTTGCAGTGGAATGAAGCTTGCTCCATTGTTTTGCTACTTTACTGCAGTAATAAACATTAGAAACTTGTGGAATGCAGTAAAAGTTGTGACAACAGATCACTACAGATCTTCTCTACTTTTGATGTAAAATGGAATATTCAGAAAGTTAAACTGCCCTTGATTTTAGATTGGCTGCCAGAGCTGTAAGTTTCTTGGCATCATCTTTGGGTGTATTTACAAACTTGGAAATCAGCGTGGTAGTGGGAAGTTCTAGGAAGCATTCTGAAATTTTGTGGACTGCAGGAAGGACAAGAATCTTACCTTCATGTGCTGGTGTATAAAACATCTTTTTTCCCTTGTCTGGGCAAGTAAAATGCTTTTTTTCCAACATTTAACCAAAAAGAGCCACTGCCCTTGCTCCCTCCAAGTGACAAGAATGGTATTGCCCACTTGCTACCCCAGGGTGCAGCGGTCAATACTCACCCACGGTCCACAGCTTTTGGCTCTTCTGGATGATCACCCCTTGCAACAGAGCAGTCCTAAAGTAACCACCAAAGACGCACTCCAGATGTTTGCTGGCTTCAAAAGATTCCTACAGCTACAGGAAAAAGACAACGCAAGTTAATTACCAAGGAGTTGATTTTCTGCATTCAGCAGCCTAATACTCCCCTTAGAGCCAGGCTGCAGTTTGTCTGTTACTATTCAAAGCCTGCAGAGGTTTCCCCATGGCCTCATTTAAACACAACCACTGTAGCAATTTTTCAGCCATCCATTTACCCTTGCTTTATTTACAATACAGAGGAGCTCTAGCAGATCAGTGGCCTTCATTACATACTGCCAGGGAAAACACTCGTGACAGACTTAACACCTGTTAACCTGTGGCCTGCCAGAGCACTTGCCAACATTCCAGCTGAGTCAGCCCACAAAGGCATGGAGCAGCATCACGCCTCTGGGACAGCTAATACAACATCTGCCAGAAAGACAGGGGCATGACAACTGCCTCACTTCTCTTTCAGATGTGCAGTCACCTCGGTATCTTCTTGTCTTCAGCATCCCAGGGAAGAAAGTCTATATTTGGCTACAGTACAAACCAAAATCTGTAGCCAGAGCACTTCTAGATGGATAACAGATGGTTAGATACACAAAACACGTCACTGTTCTCACCACTGAGCCTGCTTCTTTATGTGCTGCCCTTGGATCCTCACCAGTGATCACGCTGGGCAACCCAACCACAGCTTCCTACCACCCTAAAACTACCATGGAACAACAAGAAATGAAGATTTCCCCTCGTTCTTTCATAGGAAACCACCTGAGGGCTGGTTTACACCATCACTCCTTTTACAGTTGTTGGGGAAATGGGCTGAAGCTTAAACCCTGGTATAGTCCATGTTAGTTGGTTAGACAGAATCGCAGGGCCAGCATGGCCAAGTATTATTATTTAGTTTACTTACAATAGGTAAAGGAGGACTGCTACAACGGAGAAGACAGAGAAGTTGCAATGCCTGGCAATCGCAATGTTTGCAAAGAGGTATCAGAGGCATTTAAGGTTTAGGTTTTTCACCATCATGAAATAGGATTGAAACTTTCAGCTCCTCCATCTGACAAGAACTGCCTCCCCAGTAGGTCACAAGCTCAACAGACTCTTTCTTACTTAGAGCTCTGTTCTGTATTACCCAGCTCCCCACCAGGCCATAAAGCCTGGCTCAATCCATGGGCCAGTGGTTCTACCACAGCCATTCCCCTCCACAGAGTCAACCAGGTGCCCAGCCTGGTAAGTAAAAAAACTATGCAAAGAAAGAGCAATCCTGAACCACTCTGAACTCACAGAACCCATCAAGAAATTTCAAGATCAACTCCCAAAGCAGAACCCCATGAACAAGTCCTGGCAAGCAGCCATGCTCACCCGCCTTCCTCCTAACATCTCAGGGTGCTGTTTCCCTTCATGCTGCAGTGTGTTTCCTTTGTTGTAGTGGCCCAGACCAGAGACACCTTCTATTTTGGCTATGATGCACACTAATAACCAAACCAGGTATTTATGGGTCTCTACTAACTGACTCTACTTCCCACAGAAAGATGCCCTTTTTTCATTTAAGCTTTGTTTTTCCACCCTAATTAAACTAAACTAGGACTTCAGTTTCACTATCGTGTAACATCTGACTGGAAAGCAGAGTTATGTAAACCAAATTCTTTGACTGGAACATATCCTTAAACATTCTAACCACAAGTCCCTGGATGACTCAACTTACTACTCGGAGGGTAAGAAAGAAAACTATGATTCTGACAATATAAAGACTGGCTTGTAAGCTACAAAACCCAACTGTCCTGACCCGAGAATAAGAAACTCATTGGTCTGTTTCTCTGCTCCTGACACTGCTAAAAGTGCCTGAAATGGTCTCTGCTACACATCTCCAAAACCAAAAGGGGACTAATAGCAGTAAAAGTACCGAAGAAAGACGTGCCTCTAAGCCAGAAAAACTGTCCAGGTCAAAAGGTATGCAAGCAACAGGTAACAACAAAGATTGACAAACTATGAACACTTTCTTAGAGAGGAACTTTCAGATACATTTGCATGCTTCTTTCCTGGAGAAGATGCAGAACTTGAAAAGGCTTCCAAGGATGTGCTCCAGTAAACTGGAAGCAAAATAAGGCTTCCACATGTGGCAGAAAATACCAACAAAGAGGTACCCCCTAAAGCTCAAAATAGTGTCTGCTAGTCCTGAATGGCTTCAGAGCCAAATCTCTGCCAGAGACCAGTTTTAGGGCAACAAATCAGCCAATTCCATACTGCATTCTTCCCAAACCTGCTCTCAAGTTCTGTTCTGGAAGAGCATTGATCATGGCTGAGGGGCAGTCTGGCTGCTACTTTTGCCATCAGTAGAGAATGGCCAGGAGGGGGCCCAAGAGCAAACAAAGGCCATCAGCGCAAGTAAATTCACAGGTCCTTGAACAAAACAGTGCAAGGGTGCACCCTGAAAGAACACTGATGAGCCCAGTCCCCTCTACTGCTGCCACCAATAATTCAATGGCACTGAGGACAAGCACCATGACACTCACCATATGCTCCTCCCAGTGCTCTTTCTCCTGAACCCCTGCCCATCAGACAGAACTGGCAATACAGGTGCTGCCCAGGAGCTGCAACACACTCAGGTGGCTACAGATGGATCTGTTGATACGAGTGCTGGGTACCCTGAAGATCTCTTCACTTCCACTGCTGTCTTTGCCCTGATCTGAGACAAGAGCAGAACAATGTAACCAAGTATAGCACAATATGCAACTGCAAAAATACCAAGGGGAAATGGTTAACCAAAGCACATGTTACAGCCACTGCTCATGGGGGAGAAAACAGCTTCTATAAATACACACCTACTACAACACCAGGAAATCAAAAGGATGTATTAAGAATATTAAGATAATAATGGAAGTGAACCTCCCCCATTAAATTCTGTTTTGAGCTCAAGCATTTGGCTTTAGCAACTGCTAATCTTTCATAACAGCTTCTAGTGCTGAATCAAAGCTCTCCAGTGAGAAAGAATGGACCTGCTCCCTAGGGAGCTCCTGACCTTCAAAAACAGCAATCAAAAAAATTGCCTGAACCTTTTCATGTCAATCTGGTAACTGCAGAAAGCAACAGGGGAAAAAACATAAAAGAATGCTATTCTGCATAACTGTGCTGGTAGACATTCGTTGCACAGCCACTTCACCATTTATTAATCACGTATCACATCATTTCTTTCACGATTTTGCCCAAAATTTGTGACAGGCTAAACAAGGTCACAGTTATCCAAATTCATGGTTTGTAGCTTCTAGTGATCCAAAAGCTCTTCTCTATATATCTCAAACTTCACTCATATGCTGAAATGCACCAAGAACAAATATCACTGACCTCCAGACAATCCTCTTGACTGTCTTTAAACAAGTGACTCTATCAAAGCTTGATTTATTTAACACTATTAAGTGCCATCTAGATATTGCTGGAAAATACATTTCTCCATCAACATAAGAGAAAGACATCAACAAAACCAGTCCTTTTTCTAATACACTGCAGTATTTATTAATCATATTTTCTCCACATTTTTTCATCCTTACCTTATGACGCCATTGCTGCTTTGATGAAAGACACCATTGCTGCTTTGATTTCACTTTGATGCCAGGATACCAAAAAAACTGAAGAATTTTTTTTGTATTGGCACAGGATGCCTTTCAGATAACTTTTAATTCCTTCATCAATATCTGCATTTTCTACCTGTTAAGTTTTACCCATGACTGTCATTTTCTCTATTTATTTTGCATAACCTATAAACATTGGCACATACATCTCCATATTTTGATTGTTTTCATGTCTTCTTTTCGCTAGAACAAGTTCTGAATCGGAAAAAGCCTCCAATGCAAATGCAGTTAGTTGTTTTGCTGACCTAATAAAGAATTCGTAAGCAACTTCCATTTATCATTTCCCTTTCATCCTTAAGTTCTTTATCTTGCTCAGGAGTATGTCAGTTTTTTGTTAACACCCAATTCAAGAGCACTAGAGATCACCAAGGATCGGTCAACGTGCTCATCTCTCTGCCCATTAAAACTGTGATCACTGCAAGAAAACAAACCCTCAGTTCAAGGTCTCTAAGTGTCGAGTGGAACAGCCCCACGTGAGCTCGAGACCCCCCACATCACCGGCAAATATCACCTACGTGGTGCTTTTACAACACAGATGGACATCACTGGCAGAGCTTGTTCAAACATCACCTATTGTGGTGCTGATTCTGTTTTGAAAGAAAATTAATATTTGATTGGACTGTGAGGGGATACTTGCAGAAACCCAGCAAGATCCCAGATGCATTTCAAACCACACCTGATGGACAAGCCCACTGTTTAGCAACCTGCCCACAGAGTGGCTCAGTAGCCTTGATTTCCTGACAGCCAAACCCTCAGGCTTTCAGCTCCACAGGCCACAGCACTCCACCATGCTGAAGCAAGCTTATTTTCTTTGTATCAAACGCCAAAGTGAGATGACATTTCTATGAGAAACCTAAACATTTTAAAAACAACGCAGGTGGAAACAGAACGTAAGGTGAACCACCATTACTTTGTATACACTAAGGAGTTCAATGTGCCACTAGATGTAATAACGAGTCAAGTGTGTCTTCTATGGGGAACCATTGAAAGGAAAATGTTGAGGTTTTTCTTTGTTGAAAAGAGAGGAGGATCAGTGTGGAGCATAGGGTTACTCATGAGGAATGGCTGTGCAGCAGTATCCCAGTGAGATCAGTAGCCCCTGCACTCTGCATTTACTAGAGAAAAAACAGTCACTTGTACCTCTGTGGTTCTCTTATGTGACCATTTCTTCTCTGTACTGCCTCCTTTCTCTTGGCAGCTTTGGTTAACTCTTCTCCCTGCTCCTTTTCTCACATGTCACATTATGTGGGATACACACAGCAGCAAAAGGTTTGTGACTGCACCTGCAGCTCTCTGGGCATAGTCAAACCTAAATGCAGAGCTCTCAAAGGCTGTTGCTTATTTTGCATAAAAAGAGAGCAGACAACATGTCTTGTACTGAATTCCTCTTCCAGAAGGGGAAACAGATCTGCCTGACACCTGACTCGACAGCCCAGGTTTCATGCTTTGCAGGAGGTGGACAGGACACCTAAGGGATGACAGTCACAGATCTGAAAGGGTAGGACTAGTGCCCTCCTGATCTGGGTGTAGATAGATCAAACAACCTGAAGTGAAGGAATACTTGTGGCAGTGGTCCCAGCTTCATCCCTGCCCTTCCCCTACTCCCCAGCATACCTTGCTGTTACCCTAATCCACTTACAGCACAGTGAAACTAGAAAAACTATGGATGTACTTTCAAGACACCACATATATTATGTAAACATATTATATGTAAACTTTGCTGTTGGTATCTTTACATTGAACCAACAGTTAAAATTCACACATGACAGGAACAGACAGCATGTTCTCCAGTTGGCTCAAATTATATTTCACTTCAACTTCAGTCAGACTGTTTTAATTTTTCTTCTCCTCCTATTTCACTGTTTATCTAGAAGGAAACGAGGTATTTTCAGACAACATCCAACAGAGAGGTCAAGGTTAGTGAATTTTCTAGTTCTTCCACACTGGTAGGTTCCCAAGGATAAAACACAACCACTTTCTTCTTTTCAGTCATGAGGAAACCATTATCACTAAATCTGCCTTTTATACTCCCCACATCCAGAGAAACAAAAGGAGCAATTGCAGTGGTCTGAAGAACAAATATATAATTATCATCTTGTTTGGATACAGAGGCCTGAAAGAGAAATAAAAAATTAAATAAATAAAAGAAAATATGCATGTGTAAAGAAGACCCCAGTTACACCCAAACTGGTAAAAGAGCTGCATGCCCATAACACAGACTGAACAACCACATTTGATCCAAATTAATATTCTCTTCTGGAAATCAACAGGATTCATATGCAAGAATCATGCAAAAACTGCAAATGTTATTACAGCCCTGCTACAGAATACTACAGATGGTGGAAAAATACCAAAGTGTTATCACTGTACCATCTTCTTATGAAAATAACTGAATAAATGGCAATCTGACTTGTACATAGTACTTGTATCCTGTACTTACTGCAGTGAAAGAGATTTGTCCTTTCATAACACTTCACTCAACCTATCAATTCACAACTACTAAATTGCCATTCCAATTACATCCGTGATAGAAATAAAGAGAAGATGGTAAAAAAAAAAAAAAAAAAAAAAATCACAGTAACACAGAAGGTCATCTCATCTTAATGGAACATGGCAGTGAAGCCCTTATACTATGTTTAGTAAAATAGAAAAAAAAAAATAATAGTTGTAAAATATCAGGACAAGGTTTAATGTTTTATATCAAATTATACCAGTAGTTAAAGAGTAGTTTGAGAGTAGTTAGAGAGACTTAAAATGCCAACCAGCATGCATTTTCATGCAGCACTCCCCATTCACCATAATGAAATATTATGCTACATAGTTTTCAAATGCCAACTAATTTTATAAAAAAAGAAAACAAATTATATTCAGTGCAGATGTCACATTCCAGTTAAACAAAAAGCAACACTTTTCAAAGCACACATCCTTTGCACTTCATGTTTCCTGAAGAAACACTGATGTCTTCATGCTTTTTAAAAGCAATGCTATTAACAGTAGCTCTTCGATTAGCAATGTATTTGAAAATCTAGTTAATTTATTAGTAACTATGCACAGAAGCACCAGCCTCTTGCTAAACAGAATAACGTTTTTAATCATAGCTGCATACTTTCCTAAAATGACCACTTTGAATTTATCCTTGTTAGCCATCTGTATTGCAAGGACAACACAGCTACGGGATAAAGGAGTGAAATTTCCCAACGATGCTCCAGTTGCAGGGCTTTTATGATTGATGATGTCACCCACAAAAAAAAACCCCAGCATGACTCAGACTCCAGATTGTGCCACCAGATGAAAAAAAATAAAACCAGGCTGATTTCTTTCCTTTGTATACACAGGAGGCAGACTGCATTGCCATGAAAGAGATAAGAGGGGAAAATCTGGCCCATTTTCTTTTTGTAAAGCAATTATGCTGGTCCAGATTCAAAGAGATTAAAGACCTCTATTCCCCCCTTGTTTAGTTTACTCCCAAAGAGCAAAGCTGCAGTTTGAAAGCCAAATGTGAGAAGGCACAGGTCCCCATCCGGCCAATCCGATGATTAAGAGTTTTGCAGTAAGACGCACGTGCTAAGAAGTGAGGCTTAACAAAATGTGTGTGTGTACACACACAGGGCATGCATGTCCCTCTATACACAGCAAGCTTGCTGGGAGCAGAAGAAATCTAGGGAAAAGCACCAAATTCACTAAATTTTACACAACACTGATGCTTTTTGTGCCTGTTCAGAAGACTGACACACTTGTCAGCTATTAAGAAATAATCACTATTATGCAAATCAGAACCCTTTCTGGAGGGCAGGGATTTGAAGGAGGAAAGGAGCACAGAATATTACATGTTAGCAATGGTACACTGATCTGAGAGCGTGAGCACTTCAAGAGGAAATACAAGCACTTCAAAGGGAAATAGAGGAAATATCATGACAATAATGCACTCCACACTCAACTGAACTAGAAACACCTAATAGTGACATTACTGTCTGCAAGCAAAAACACTTGTCATGATGCCTTTTGTTATCTAGGGACAAGAAAGTAAGAAAGGAGCAATGCTGCAGCAGTCAGGTGAAAGACAGTCTAAAAAACGAAAGGGAGACTTCATTATTTGAAACAAAACAAAGCCCAGGCAAAAAACACACATGAAAACAAACAAACAAACCATCAGTCTTATTTAGACATTCATATAGTGACAGAGAAAAAAAAATCTGATTTTGAACTCCACATGGAAGCTAGAACAGCAACAACTAAGGACAAGGAACATTCAATGGAATCAGACACTGCATAGCAGGCAAACCACTCAAACCAGTAAGATTAGCAGAATCAAACACAGTAATTTAGCATGATTGATGCTTACACTAAGCTGGGTCTTTTCTAATCCTACAGCATCCTTTAGTGATGAAAGGAAGAAATGGTTCGTAGGACTCTGGAGGCCATCTTCTCCCACAAGACAGAAAGTAATAACACAGCTTTTCCTGGTACAATTCCTGCATCTTTCCAGAACATCACTTATGGACTCCTTGTAGATGGTGACAGCACTTTGTGCTTTAACAATCACACCTTCTTTGGCAAGGGTACATACTGGCTCCAAAGAACTCCAGGTGTGCACAACGACCTATCAAAGCAAGTTGAGAGAGCACAAAGCTTAGAAGAAAAGCTACATCTGCAAAAACAATGCAGCATCCTAGGTTTCAGATTGCTCATTGCAACAGATGTTTTCCTGACAGCACCAGCTGATTTCCACCTAGCAAGAAACTCCACAAAGATTATACAATAGATATGGTATAATAATTATATCATTCTAAAAACAGTCCATTTCAAACAGTCTGGAGTTGTTGTTACTCTGGATCTGCAAGACTTTGTTTTCTCTAGGCTCCTTGAGAGGAGGGGATTGGTAATTTCTGCCAAGGCAGTGCTGGGAAATGGAATTAGTGAGTGACTAATTTGTTGACTCTTTTTCCTCCTCTCCTTGATTAAAAAAGAAGTCAAGCAAAGGATTTTCTTAAGATTGCTCAGTGTTATCTGATGTAACTCAACTGGGTAAGCTAGAGTTTCTGCATAATCACCATTAAACAGAAGCAAGCTGCATCATCTTAAAAGGGACTACGAAAGTTATATTAATACAGTAAAACACGCTCCCAAACATCATGCATGCATTAGGAACACACCTTTAAAAATGGCATAATTTGGAAGATAAGCACGTAATGAGAATTACAAAATGTTATTTATTTCATAAATCTTAGGTTATTTTTTACCTCAACAGGAGTCTGCAGTCAGAAAAAGATCTTAACTCCTTTTGAAAGTCAAGTTCCAAACTTTCTTGAAGTGCAAAATACAGTATTCATCAGAACTACCCTACTGCCAGTTATTTTCTGATGTTATCAGAAAATCTGAATTTGTCTGTTAGAATAACTCAAATCAGAAATAAACACTTTCATTAAGTGCAGTTCTAGCCCAAGAACTATCCAGAAATTGCAACCATTTTTTGTACCATATATTACTATATATAAGCAACCTTATAAATCTGAAAATTCATGGAAGTCCACCAGACAGAGCAGTGAACTAGGACTTAACACACTCACACTACTAGTTCCAAAATGACTAGTGAGTCATTCCAGATCTGTTTTTCCATCCTTACCAGAGTTTTCACATGGGACACACTTTATGCCAGGAGTTATATCTCATCATGCAAAATGGTCCCTAAATTCATTTGGGATCTGGTAGCCACATGATTAACAGCAACAAAATGTAACAAGTTGAAAAGGAAGACTGTGTTCTACAAGGCAACTCAGCAGCCCAAATGCTTCCTAAAAATCCTATCAGCTTCTATAGCATTATCAGAAAACAGTAAAAGCATCAATTGAAAAATTGTAACACTGCATAAGTGACCTTGCAATTAAAGTACACCTTGATCTTCTATCAATATTCCAGAAAATAATCCAGTCCTTTTTCCCAAAATGGTATAATTTGAGTGCTGGTAAGCTATGGTACAATCCCTTTTTCTTGTTCCTGCTTAGTCAGTTAATCTAGTTCTAACACCCAGGAACAGTTTTGCTAAGTAGTGAGGTACCATTTTTCACAGTTTGTTCTATTTAACCATCAATCCCTTTAAGATTTCAACAGAACAGTTAATTTCAGCTTTGTACCTACAGGCTGAAAGCAAAGCACTTAATTCCTTCTTCTGTGAAGCAGTACACACTACTATAACAAAAGATAGTGTAGTCCCCAGGAAGAATAAAGACTAGAGTTGCACCTCATTGTGTCTGAACAGAGCTTGAAGCTTGTTATGCACAGATGTGCTCTTTCAGCTTCCCCCATTTTTGCAGGAGGCAATACAAGAGTGGTGACAGAGGTGTCACTTACCCTCAAAGTCAGCTTCTGGTCCACATGAAGATCTGAGACACCATAAATGTACAACACACCTTGGTCTTCATAGGCCACAGGCAGCAGTGGTGCAAAGAAGTTCTGAGCAAAATAATGGAGCAGTTTCCACTTACCACCATACTCTGTAAAGGGTTAAAAGGAAGAAAGATTCAAACTGAATCCAAGATTGCCTTGGCACTCAATCTCCTCCTGTGCTTTCTGGTCCTGCTTATGGCAATACAACATCCTCCTCCACCCTTTTTTACCTCTACCAAGTGCAAAAAATGACTGAAGGTAGTCTAGCTTCCTTCCAGGCAAGGCTCTACTCTAAAAAAGATTTGATGCTCTTTGAAGCTTTACTTTGAATTTCACCTAAAGGTTACATTTTCTACCTCTTGGTCCTATCATTGTTACACTGCCATTCAGCTAAACAAAGCCTTAAACACAAGTGACAAAGCTGACACAGCATACCACACATAAGGCAAGCAGCAAGAGCATCTGTGTTGTTGAGAATCCAGACAAACACACTGGCATTGCCACAAACCAGCACTACTATAAAAAGAGACACCAGAATCTGACTTTTGGTGCTTATACAAAGCGCTTTCCTCCCCTTTTTCCCTCCCCCTCTTTCTTAGAGGAACATCAATAGCAACAAAGAGAAAAAACAAGTTCTCAAACCAAAGACAACTCTGAGCTTGGCAAAATGAGTTTGCCAGGATCTAGAGACAACACTTACCTCATGAGAGCTAGTATCCATGACAGACATATGCCAATCAGTTCACACTGCCTCTTTAATGAGATGTACCTCATTACTTTTAATGCTTTGAAAGTCTGCCATTAAACTGGAAAAGTCATCAAACACTGTGTCCTTGCCAAATAAAAGCAATTTTTCCAGATGCAATAGTGCCACATAATCCTTTTGGAAGAAAAGCTGCTTCCATTTCTTCCTCTATTAACCTTCCATCTAGCACCCACTGTCAGCATTTTAAGTCTGTCATTGCTCAATCATTATCCAGTCACTGAAAGAGCACTAAAAAGAAGTGGCAAGTCAGCTGCACCATCTCATAAGGAAAGAAAAGTTAGATACTGATTTCATTCTTAGTTTTGGCTCTTTGTTTTATACAACAGGTTTTAAGTCCATGGATGCCGAAAAATATTTGCAGTAATATGTTTTTCTTGTTACTAATTACCTCTCTGTGTTTTGGTGCCTGTACAAAGCTCTTAGCATTTTCAAACATCTCATAATTAAAGACTTCATTCGGAGTGATGTATCCTTTAAAGGGTGTGTTTGTGACTTTCCCAGAATGACTTGAATATGCTCTGCCTGCATTCCACATAGACACAAATGAACTTTGAGGAGAGCAAATTGCATTAGCTCCAGCTTATCACCTTACACATCACCTTGTTCTCAGCGAGTTCACAACCAGCTAGCTTGGAGTACAGACAAGAAAAGCTCAAATCTGCCTGGAAACCCCATACAAGATTCAACTGCGCTGTGAGATCAGTCTGTTGCCAGAAAAAACACCATTCAAATTAATAGTACTGAAGCAAACCAAAGAGGTAAGTCTGAATGAAAACTTCAGGAGAGGCCGCTGAGCTTCTTCAAAACAGACAGCTGACAAACAGATGAACATACTCAGTATATTGGTTCTGCTCAGTATATGGAACTGTAGAACCATTTATGTTGCAAAAGACCTCTAAGATCATCACTTTAACTGTTCACCTGCCAAATACACCTCTAAATCACATCACTAAGTGCCACATCTATACAACTTGTAAATACCTCTAGGGATGGTGCCTCCACCACTTCCCTAGGCGACCTTGGCCACCCTTTTGGTGAAGAAATTTTTCCTAAGATCCAATCTAAACTTGCCCTGGCACAACTTGAGGCCATTTCTTCTTGTCCTGTCACTTGTTACTTCTGAGAAAAGGCTGACGCCCACGTGGCTACAACCTCTTTTCAGGTAGTTGCAGAGATTGGTAAGGTCACCCCTGAGCCTCCTTTTCTCCAGGCTAAACAATCCCAGCTCCCTCATCTGCTCTTCAGGCTTGTACTCCAGAGCCTTCACCAGCTCTGTTGCCCTTCTCTGGACTCACTCCAGCTCCTCAGTGTCTTTCTTGTAGTGAGGAGTCCAGAACTGAACACAGAATTCAAAGTGCAGCCTCATGAGTGCTGAGTAGAAAGGGGCAATCACTGCCCTGCTCCTGCTGGTCACAATACTTCTGATCCAGGCCAGCATGCCATTGGCCTTCTTGGCCACCTGTGCACACTGCTGGCTCATGTTTAGTCTTAAGTCAACCAGCATACCCAGGTCCTTTTCCTCCAGGCAGCTTTCCAGCCACTCTACCCCCAGCCTGTAGCTCTGCATGGGGTGGTTGAGGCCCAAGTGCAGGACCTGGCACTTTGCTTGTTGAACCTCATACAACTGGCCTTGGCACACCAATCTAGATCCCTCTGTAGAGCCTTCCTACCACTCCCACCCAACTTGGTGTTTGAAAACTGACTGAGGGTGCACTAAATCCCCTTCTTCAGATCAATAATAAAGGTATTAAACAGGGCTGGCCCCAATACTGATCCCTCGGGAAGCCTGCTAGTGACTGGTCACCAGTTGGATTTAAGTCCATTCAGCACCACTCTCTGAGCCCGGCCATTCCAGCCAGTTTGCTTTTGCAGCGAACAGTGCACCCATCCATACCACAAGCAGCCTTCTTCTCCGGGAGAATGCTGTGGGAAGTGGGTGTTAAAGTCTAGCCGACAACGTACACAGCCTTTCCCTCATCCACCAAATCGGGTCACCTTGTCATAGAAGATCAGGTTGGTCAAGCAGGACCTGCCTTTCATAAACCCATGCTGGTTGGACCTGATCTCCTAGTGATAAGAATGAAGCCATGTTCTAGCATTCCAAGGACAATTCCTGACTGAAAACATTGGTGGTGTAAAGAACAAATTTGCCACCACATTGGTGGTTTAAAGAACAGGGATTGCTAACAAATTACTCTTCAGGGTCATTACACTTGAGAAGATCAGAGATTTGGACTGAGGATGGATTATCTGAAAGAGAGTAAACTGTAGAGCAGAATCTGATCTAACAAATAAAAGCAATGGGCCTCGTATGAGAAATGGGCTGGGAGGGTCTGTGAGGGGCTGAAATCTCTAAAACTCTCAGGACTGCTACAGGACTCTCAGGAATTTCAATTGTCAGCGCAACAGATTCTGCTCACTGCAGACCCCCGACAGCCCATCAGAGTTCAGAGAAATTACATAGCATGGGCTGGAGTTTCAGTGCCCATTGACTCAAATTTAATTTACATGATGAAAATCTAGGCTTCAACTGTCTTAAATACATAAATCAGTAATGCAATTGATGTAGGGCAGTTTTTGTTACTTTGTGTAATATTAAATTGTGTTTCTCTTTGAATGGGCCCTTCTCTCAATCTCTGCTGTGCCTTGATTTCCAAATGGGTTACACAGTTGGAACCACACTGCAGTGGTTACTTTCGGGAAAGAGAGAAAGTTTGCTATCTGGGCAGCAGATACAGAGATCCTCAAGAAACCTGTACAGAGGAGGAAAAAACTCAGAGTAAATCTGACATTACACTTCCACAGGGAAACAAAAACAACAGAAACTCCAACCAACACACAAAACCAAACAAACCACACACTTAAAAGTTTGTACCATTTCAAAAAAACATTCTACTACCACTACACCTATTGTTTTGCAACATTTGAAAGCATCACTAGTCTGCTTACCTCAGATCAGCTTTGTAAGGTTGATATTTCTCTTTCCAAAAAACCTAGAACCATTCTAAATAACCAAAGTTCAGCTGCTGTAGCAGTTTCACACAGGAAGTGTCTTTCAAAGAAAACTTTTCCAGCAACAGGATCTCGGTACCACAGTTGTCAAAGTAACTTCAGGCAGCATAGAAAATTGAAGCTTGCTGATTAAAAAACCCCACATTCTTCAGCTCATCTGTTGTCACATTTCTTATTTAAAAACAGGCAAGTTGCATATAAATACCATCCCCCCTCCGCCCCCAAAAAATGGAGGTAAGGAATCTGAAGATCAGGTAGCTATCGTGAGAAACCTCTGGGCTTAAACTTTCCTGTTACAGACATGTGTGCCCAAAGGCAAGAGTCAAAAGTTATTTAAAACAGCCCTGGGGCTGTTTTCTCCTCCTCCCATTGCATTTAAATAAATTCTTAAAGAGATCCAAGTTCCCCAATTTTTTTCTGATAACATGGGGTTGGTACTCTCTGAAGTATCAAACTTCAGAACAGGAAACTAAAATTAGATTTGTAATGAGACCTCCTTACCCTTTTTTCTGACTCCTCCCTGAAGCTTCTACAGTGATAGCAAGAGCGAAAACAAACAGTTCTGCCTGAAATGATTTTAAATTAATCACTTCACACCATTAAATACAACCCGAGAAACATGCTGCTCGTTCTTTGCTTACCCCAGTCTCATGAATTCAGATCAATTATTCTCCATAATAGCCTGTACCAGGGCTCACCGGGGGCTCTAAATATTGAACCTGCAATAAAAGCCAGTTATCTGTTCAAGGGAACCTCGTGACAACTGAGTTGGGTCCCTCAAGGTTACACTCGTGTGGGAGAGAGATAAATTGCCATGTGTATCGCAGCACTCTTCACCGAAACATCCAGCACAGATGCTAAAGCATTCAGCATGGCACAACCAGCTCCACAACTAACAGCTAACAGTCAAAACCCAGCTGTGATAAAAGCTGTTTAGTTCTGAGTTGAAGGCAGGAGTACTATGACAGCAGTGCAGCGCTGTGTTTTCATTCAATCCCAAGCAAACATCTTAAAGGTAAAAATTAAAAGGATAAACATTCGCTACCTTCTTCCCTCCCCACTTCATGAGGAAAGATTTTTGCTTTGTAGGGGAAATTATGTAAGCCCCTCCACGGCTCCCTGTGAAATACCAGATTTAAATAAAAGCACTCACTGGTGGCACTACTTTGCCATCTAACAAGATGCAGAAACGTGGTTTTGAAGTGCAAATAAAACTAATTTCTCCGAAGTTTTGCATAATTCCAGCCATTAGCATTTCAAAATCCCTCTACCACACTGCCTAATTAAATGAATATTAAACCTTTCCTCATTCCACTGAGGGAATAGAACAAAACAAAGGGACAGCTGTATCTCTGCTGAGCTTCTTTTCTCTAAACCAACTTCAGCAACACATGAATAATTCAAGTATTTGATGTATTTTCTACAGTGATGTCAGCTCTGCACTTAAAAAGACATTCATGGTCCCCACGATCTCTTCGTCTATCAATACACCTGTCTTTACAAAGAGACATTTTTCCAAGCATCTTTTCCTCTTGAGGTACTTAAAGCCTAAGAGCATCACCCAATGCTAGAATCATAACAGTGAACATTGGGATATTGTATTTCCTAACACAAGTCTAGAAAGTCCCAAAAGATAAGCACTACAGCTAGGCCATTGCCTTGAAATATAAATAAATTAGCCTGTTCCTTCTACTAATTTGTTTTCCTTTGTTGTTGCACTTATTTTGTTTGGATGAATAAATGGAAAAAAAAAGAAAAAAAAACAAAAAGGGAGAGCAGAGAAAGACAGGAAGGATGAGATGGGTTAATTCTTTTTTTTTCAAAGGAAGGGCAAGTGGCACTTTGTTCTAAGGACAGATCAAGAGCTTCACACTCTTAGTTTTTTCTAGTTCATTCTTTATTTCTTCATGCTCATGAAATGCTTAAATCAAGATTTTCAAAATTAGAATATTTAAGAAATAACTAAAATTGAAAGAGAATATACCCTAGTCCTATACAGCTGCCATAAAACAGTTCTCCCTCACAAAATGACTTCTAGTCAAAACTGAACATGAAACACAGCCACTTCTCTCATATCACACACTCCTCATTCCTCCCCTATTTCTTACTGCCTGAGTGACTTATCTCTTTATATGTCTGATTACCCTATTTTTGTGTTCTAAAATGAAAAAAAATATATATAATATATAAGGAGATACCATGTGTGTAAATAGCATATTAGCAGAATAATTTAGTCACAAAGAGTGATTCACCTCATCTGACATCATGTTAGACACCAAATCCCAGCTCAGTCATCTCCTATAAAGAGCTTCTCAGAAGCTCTGCTGGGTGAGAGGTTTCATATAAAGTTCTATGAAAATCACATTTAGCACAGAGAAGATAATTCCTCACAGTTATCAGACAGCTAAGAACACAATAAATCACGTTTGGACATAACCATCTCTCCCTCAACTGACTAGAGAAGAAAACTAGAGGCCCAGCCTTTACCCTGTAAATGCCATCCTGTTGAGAACAGGATCACAGTTCTGGTGGTTTTTTGACAGTGCACTATTGGCAGCTCAAGGGAGAGGGTTTGATCCTTTTACCATGGGGGGGGGGGGAACAGAGAGAACAAAATCGACCAAATTTGTTGAGATTACAGAAAGTAAAATTATATATGGTTGTTTCTTCTTACTCTCCTACCCAACTATCTCCTTCTCTGCCCATGCTCACCGTGGGCGGTTGGGTGCACAGATGCCTCTGTACAACTGAGACAATAAATATCATCAGGGATTTCCCCTTTGAAAATAGAATTTATTAGAAGTCTCCAAAGTTTAAATAATTGATTTTTGTAATTTTAAAATAATTAAGCTTGCAAAGGGATTTTTTTTCTGGAAAAATCTGGAAGATGTATTACATACAGTTGGGAGCATCCACATCTACATAAGAAAAGGAAGGGTAGTTGGAAGTTCACTTCACAAGGGGATTGTGCCCTCAATCTTAACCATCACTCCTTCCTAATAGGCAGCTTTGTCTGGCTTCAATGATATTATTTTCTTGGAAGAAATGAGAATACTGCTTAAACAAAAAAAATATGTATTTTTAAGAAATTAAGAGTTACACAGAATTTTACTTCTCCAAACTAAACCCTGCTAAAATAAGGGTAAGAATTGGTGACTCCTAAATTTGAACTTAAGCTGCAAAACTTCCATAGGAAAATAACTGCTTTGTTCTATAGCCTCTTCCACTTTCACAAACTATTAGGACGATCCTGAAAAAACAGCTTTCTCAAAAGCATTTCTAAAGGATGGACAGAAATATGTTCAGGGTTTGTAAAGTCATCCAAGAGACAGAGCAGAGCCATACTTCTTATTCTGATATTTCCAGATGAGGAAAACAAAACAAGGCTGGTAGTTGGTGCTTTTCACCAGACTGCCACAAAAACTTACCCAAGGAGGCCCATGAAGGTGCCTGCCAAATGTCATTGAGTTGCCAGTACAGAGCTCCCATTGTGTGTCCTTCTCCCTTGGTTATTTCACTTTGACTAGCACGATAGAATTCAGTTTCTGTCTTTGTACACTGAGCCTGCATCACCTTGATCAACAAACACATAAAAAATATTTTTGGTATGTTGTATTCCACTTTCTTTCAAAATGTATGAATATATTAACATACAACACACACTTCACAGCAGCAGTACATTTAACTTTAAACCCCCAAGAGCTGCCAAATGACATTATGCTGCATTACCTCCAGTACATATTCCCTTGATGTCTAAACCCTTATGATCTGAACTTACAACACACATTCCCACTATAAAGCCAAAACTCTGCACCAAAAGGGCAGCCTTTCTTCATCTGCACTCCCACTTCTTTTTTCCTTCCTCACCTCATCTAAAAAACACTTTACAGAATTTTTCATTGGCCAAGTTGTCAACAGATGTTAAACAGCCTGTTATGTTCTTCACAAAGCACATTACTAGACTGGGGGAGTATTAAAAGAAATTCTTAAAATAAAGTTAAAAATCTTTAGGACAGGTCAAAAGGTAAAGATATCAGTTCTAGTCAACTACATGAGCCAAGTTTACTGTCTTTATTCTTTCTGCTAGCTTTATTTTGGTATTCTTCAATGGTTTAACCTGTTAGTAAGGCCCTGACAGACTTAACCCTGCAGAAACTCTCATCACTTTTTGAGTTAGAACCCCACTGTGCAAGTTTTACCCCTGTTTTCAGTTTCACAGCATCATCTATCCTTATTCTCTTGTCAAGAGTGCCTAAAATTCTCAAGTTGTTTTGTTTTTATATAAAACTTGCTGACAGGACTCTCAAATATTAAAAACTTAGTGTGCAGTTAATTCTATCAAGAGTGTTTCTGAATTTCCTGAAACACAACAAAAATTAACAGCACTTTAAACTTGCCTAATAGAATCAAAAAGTTACTTAGCATTTTTTAACACTTGCATAGAAATCACAAATAAAAAAGACAAGCATGAGGTAAAAATACTATGGAGGGAGAGCAAAATATAGCCTTTTTTAGAAAAAAAGCCCAAAATATATTCTCTAAAATATCAGTATCTGTGCCCATGACAAAATTAAAGCTACTAATAATCTAATTCATAGAGAACTACATACTCTAGAAAAAAAATCTTGTTTCAAAAGCACGTGTGTTCCACGTGGCAAAAATCAAAGCAACAAACTTACAGGGGCCACATGAAGAGCAAAACACACCCTCCAGTAGAGAAGCTATTTCCAAATTAAAATGGACTCTCAAATGCTTCAGTATACAAACTTTCTGTATGACTGAGCATTACCTAACAGAACAGGCTCAGCTCTAACTGCTGACAGAATCTAATGGAACTGGCAGCTACCTACATAGAAGACATCACCATTACCTGAGTGAGGTAAATTGTATCTTTGAACCTCTTTACAGGATCTGTGCTCTGGGGAAGCTTGAAATGATACCCAACTTCTTGAAGCATCTGAACGTTGCCACTGCCGTGGTGTTGCCGATGGAGAGAAAAATTGCTTATGTAGGACCAGTCTTCAGCAGAAGAAACCTTTTAAAAACCACAAAAGTAAGGCATCAGAATAAAAAGGTAAAATGTACATTTAATGACCGTCAGGATATCAAGGAAAGGACACCCGTTACAGCCTGCTGACATCATGCAAAACCTTAAAATTGGTAGTAGTTTTCTACAGTGCCTCATGCAGCCACCCAAGGATTTTGAACCAATAACACCCTTTGCTTACACTCCTTGTACAAACAGATGAAAATAGGCAATACTGTTGAAGCCAGAAGAGCAACTTTTGGCTCAATGGCATTAAGTTATTTGTCCTAAGGTTCAGTTTGGCCAAAGATTTCAGAGTTTTGCTTGCACTCACAGTAAATCAGAAACACCCTCAATTAACATGGAAGAATGTACCCTAGTCAGGCACATTTACAGATAAAAAGTTACAGAAGTCAGGAGGGTTATAAATTCTAATAACGTGTATATATATTTTCAAAACCTGCCTCTGAAAACATATGATCATTTACCAGCTTTTTTCAACTAAGGACAACAATGCAACATAATTCATACAGTTATTACTGCCAAGCTTTTGTTGTAATTACAATTTCTATAGAATCTTCCTATTTAAATTTGTTCCTTTTTAGACTGGATTGAATAATTTTCATTGTTATTAATATGGATGAATGTTCTGATTATGCTTCAGATAATATATTTTTCCCAGTAAATTTAAAAGAACATTCTGAACTTCTTCTGGTTGATGCATGAGTATTCATATGATACTCATCTCTCCCTAGATAAATGGACATACAGCATGATATGCCTCTGCTCCAACTGGATAAATAAGATAGAACATAAAATATCTAAATTCAACAGGAGACATAAACAAATCTTCTTATGTGCAGTATGTCAAGAAGTGAATTATTTACGTGAAAGAAATTGCTAAAATTTACAAAAATCAAAACATGTTAAAATCCATCACAGTTCAGCTTTTGTCATGTTTCTTTCTTAACAAACACGTCCTTAGACACTATAAGAGGAAACAGATGTTAGGCAATCATTACTAAGCTATACATTAAGTATAATTACTGTTAAAACTAAGAGTCTCATAATAGTCTCTCACCTAAACTAGGTTCCCCTTGCAACATCAAGAACACTGAGGAGGGAAACAGCGCAGTTTCATCCCCTCCCTCCACACCACCACGCACCTCTATCCCACCTGTGCCATACCACACCTTATACTAATCCAAACTACAGTTCCGATGCGGTAGTTTGTTGGTAAGAGACTCACTGCCCTCACTGAATGAGAGTAGAGGAGACAGTAAGGCGTGGAAGCCCAGCCTCACCTTCTCGATTGTACTGAAGGAAGGCCAGGACTGGAATCCATATTCTGAAGCAAAACGAGTTTTAGGATACATTGTCCAGTTCCAGCAGTCATTGTTGTAGTCATAAAAGTGAGTGTCACCATAATGGGTATCATAAGGATTCTGGGAGATCCAACCTTCTTTAACTGACTCCAAGCCATTGGTGGGACTGGATGCAATAAAAGGACGACTCCTATCTTCCTGGGATTTAAAAAAACCAAAACCACAACACTCTCACTTTAAAGTGATTGTCTTTCATCATCTATACACATAGACCACATTTTGAAAAGGCAAGGCAGGGAGAACAAGCCTTTTCCAAATTTCTGAATCACCACCTAGGAAACATTCCCTCTTATATCCTAACATTCATCATCTTTACTTGCTTAATTAGCTTCTTACTTATGTTACTGGAGGACAGCTGGGCATGATATTGCTTGCTCCACTGTTCTGAGGGATTCTCTCAGAAAATCAAGAGATTTCTATCTTTATATGCTTCTAAATTCTTAATGAAGGCTATTTAAAGTGTGCTTTGTGACTTCTTCACGGAAAATTATTACTTTTGCAGTGTTTTTGCAGGAACAAGGCCATGATTTTCTCTCTTCTTATTAAACAGTCACCTAAATTATGTCCTAACAAATCCAAGGTGTTCTGCTTCTAATGCTTGGATGGTATCATTACAGGTTATTGTCATTTTAGCTGGCTCTGCATATTAAGATAGATGGGACTACAAGAAGGGTTACCAAAAAAATGACGTATTTATGGATTTCTTCAACTGCCATTAGAAGACCAGAGGATTGTTAGATGCTTCTTACAGTATCCTTCAACAAAATCAGCATAAAGGAAACCTGATCATCTAGATTAATAAATTAATGGGTAAGTGAATTTTTGTCCACTGGTAGTGAAGGCATTTGTGGACGTATTAAAAATCAGAAGGAAAAAAGAAGCAAGATCCACTGCATTTTCAGGTCTCCCTTTACATATCACAAAATGCTAAAGGCATAAGTAACTTTTTGGATTGTTGTACTATAACCCTTACGTTTAGAGAGTTGTTTAGAAGAGCTTTGAAAGGGCAATTTCTCGATAATGTGCTGGGTTTAATTTCTCAGAAGGATTAAAAAATAAAATCCCAATTTAAAACCATTTGCCAAGGCATATTCCCCTACAGTTTCTTCAGATCACTTACACTAAGAACTATCTCTCGTATGTTCTTCACATAAAGCATGAGGTAGTCTCTGATATAGATTTCTCTTTGGGCACGAGGTATGGAGAACCAGTTGCTTGAAATTGCTGCTTCATTTTCATTGTTACCACTCCACAGAATAATTGATGGATGAGATTTTAAACGTCGTACCTGAAATACAACTTACAGTTTCAGGAGTGAAGGAAAATTACTTATCTTAAAAAATATTTTTTTTTTAAAATCCCTTTGTCACTACTTGAATTACAAGTCCACATGCATATTACACATGCTTAGCCTACAATTCCCATTTTTAGCTGCACCGGTCACTATTCCCTCAGTTTGCCACCAGGCTCAATCTTTTGTAATATACATCTTCAGAAGGGCAAACTTCTAATACGTTGACATATATCTAGCATATGCACAGGTGTACCTTCATCCTCATCTACTTAGCCACATGTGAAGGGTAAATTCTGTGCAGTCTGCTTGACTGACTATTCCTGCAAGTAGTAGAAGACTTAGCAAGGTTATGTTTTATGTATACACTGCTACATAAAAGTACACTAACAAATACTTCCAAAACAACACTTCTGGAAAGCTAATTTATACAGTCAGTCAGTCAAAAATAGGTAATGGGAAACAGAACTTTGACACCCAGACCAAATACCTGATGAAGAACTTCTGCTCTCACAGATGCTAAGTAATCCTGGTCAGTTGGATAAAGTGCACAAGCAAACATAAAATCCTGCCAAATCTACAGGGAAAAGGAAAGATTAAAAAAAAAAAATAGCAAATTATTTTACATAACTGAAGAAGATATGATTATTGGGATGCACAATCCTTTGTTCAGACAGAAGTTATTTTTTAAAAATTAATCTGCAATGTTTTGCTATTCTTGGAAAGTACCACCAAAACAATCATGTCCTCCTTGGGGTTCAGTACATGCACACTCCACTGTGGTTATCCTCAATATCAGAGGAATCAGATCCTGACAGCCTACACTGAGGAGTGCAATACTGCTCAGTAGGGGGAGTTCAGTAAGTTTCAACTAAATAATAAGAAACATGAACATGGGGCAATCTGCAGCTGAACAGAACAGTTTTGAGTTACTACTTTGCAGGTGTAACACCAAATCCCCATTACTTAATGAGAAGAGACAGTAATTCTTCCAGCATGGTATCGAGCACACTCAACCGATGTTAAAGTGTACTCATTAAGAAAACACTTCCACACAAAATGATCCCAAAAAATAGCAAATCTTACACAGTAAGAGGGGCAGAAACAAACTAGATCCTCTAAAACCACAGTGATCTTTCTCTTCAAAGAATGATCAAGTCAATATCATTAGATATGATATTGAGGAGAAGAATTACAAAAAAAAGGGGAAGGAAGGAAGCCCAGTGAGATGGTTAAGATTTCTTGTTTACCTGTTCTGTTTATTAAATTGCTGTAACTTTGAGACTCCTGCTAGTCTATCTCAAATGTTAATGGAAAGACCTCTACAAGGAGCACATTAACCCAAAGGAGTCTGTAGACTACAATTTTCTGAATAGCATACTACACAGAGAGAGACAAACCAGTTCCTCATGTAATTGCATTTTGATTGCAGTTAGAACATGCTTTTCCATGGCTCTTTTCAGCATACCTTCCCTAAAAAAACTGAAGATAGGGCACAAGACAGTGGGGGGTAACGGATCCATTAGTAATTGTTACAATCCTAACACTCACTGTACATAAAAGCAAAGCTATTGCCAAAGAGTCACTCATAATCCTTTAGTGACTGACTGCGTGGAATCAAAACTCTCTTTTGAAAGAAACTTTCTCTCAGTGAGGTATCACTGTGAGAAATCAGTGATAGGTATCAGTGACACCTATCAGAAATCACTCTCACTATTTCCTTCAGTGAGGTATCACTGGTTTTCTTTAAGCACAGTTTGACTCCAAGGCACTTTCAAGCCTTTGCAAGACCATCAGAAGAAACAAAACCAAAAACCTCCATCACCACCCCCTCCAGAAAAAGGATCTGATTTTCTGCATCTACTTGCTATTTTGGCTGTTAAATAGGATCTAAATCTTGCATTGAGCACTGTACAGGCGCAGATCTAAGTGGCCTACTTAAGGTGCATAGTGTCAAAAATGAAAGAACTGTAAGTCCTCAGAAGCCTTGAAAATCAGGACACTCATTCAGATGACTAAAATAGATGTAACTTTTTTTTTCCAAGCACATACAGAAGGCAGCAAGGTATGAGTTCTGTTTCCCTGCTTTTTATGCTGCAGAGCAAGACCAAACACACTTGCCAGGATTTTTAGTAACAGATGCAATTTGGTCTTCATTTATCTAGTCACTATTTCATCAACACTAAGTGTCTCCAAGTTCACAGAATTGAAGGTATTCATCTAGGATTAGTGATTGCAGTAGGTGTTCCCTTACTGCCACATTCATACTCAAATGCAGCTTGTTCAAAATGATTGTTTGGATGAAGCCTTTCATGTTTGACTTTGGGACAAGTGAAAAATTTGAACCAAAAAAACCACAAACCTTTTCTGCAATTGCTATAAAGGAAAAAAACAGTTTTAAAAGAAATAAAATACATTTCCACAACTGAGAAAACCATGGCTAACTTCTACAGACTTCTGTAAAGTCTCCAAAATATCACTTCCAGACTCAACAGACAGCCTTTGTAAATCAGAAACCATTCAAATTAAAAAGAAATTAAAAAACCCAACCAGTCAACCAAACAAAAACCAGGTTGATCTAACTTCTCAGGTTGATACTCTACAATATCTTCTGGAAAGATGGTTAGAATGCATGTATCAATTCTCTTATTTTTGTTAATTTAAAACAGATTTTCATTTACAAGTTCTTGTCAGTTTTTAAATAAGTGTTCTGTGCTTTTACCATTATTCCTATTTCATCACAAATATCGTAAAATTCATCTTGTTCATATACTCCTCCTCCCCAAACCCGAAGTGCATTCATGTTAGCATCTGCTGCAGACTTCAAGAGTAGCCTTAATCTGTAAAATAAAAGTTTTGTGAAACTGTATCACTTAGGAGTTTCTAAGGTTATACAAACAAAGAAACAAACACCCCTAACAAAAAAACAAACAAAAAGCCAAACAAAAACTCAAAACCTAAATCGTATGTAGGCAAACTAAGACTTATAACTTTGACAGAAAGTATCAAAATACTCTGGTTTCTAAGCCTGCATGTCTCGACAGAGCTCTCAAAAAGTAATTTTTTGTGCAGAAAAAGTTGCTTGTTCCTGTTAGTGCTTACTACATAGATGAGTGACATGTAAGTGCTTTTACAGAAGTATTGGCACAACTAGATTTAGAAATACTCTATTTTATTAATCATATTGTTCATTTTCTTCTTAGATATTTCTTGCTTTGTATGTCAATCATTTGAATTCAAATTCTCCTTTAAACACGTATATTTTTTTTCTGAGTTCCACAATGCATAGTGAGAATGGAGGAATGAGAGGGTGAGGAGAAAGACTGAGACGCTGAATCTCATTTTAAAGGTTTCAGGCTCCGGACATTTTTCTTTAAGTCATACTGGCAGCCTCTAAACTGCATATGAATGCGCACTGCAGCATGCTCTGTTGTCCTGGCTCCCCAACTACCTGGAGCAAAGCTTAGTTGAAGTACAGTATAATCCCCATAAAAATACCCAAAAGGCCAGTAACCTATGAACTACAAAAATTCACCTTCCCATCAGTAACCTCACTTACATGCCTTGACACTCCAATCTATTCATGTAAATTAAGCCCTAATTCTGAAGCTCCAACCCACAATAATCAGTGTCCTACCTTGAAAGCAGTTCCACCCACTAAAGCCAACCTTTCATAAAGCCTGTATAGAGAATTAGGAGGAAGAAAACATGATCCTTTATCCTTAGAGAACATCAAATGTGGCTTACGTGTCATAGGTCACCCTGTCCTGGAAAGAATCTGCAGGAATCCAGTTCGAGCCCTTCAGAAAAATGGGTCGGCCATTGATTCTGAAGTAGAAACTCAGACCTGGTGAGCCAGGAATAGGCTCCTGAACAAGTTCTACTGTCCGAAAATAAGCCTGTGAAGACATGAAACTTAGATTTAAAGCTGAAATAACAATGAATTACAACAAAATAAATAAAGAAAACCATTACAAAAAGAATTGAACTGAACACTAACAGCTTAGAATTTGTCAAGGAGTCAGTCAAAAGACATGGTCTCATCTCTAAATTCCTGCTTCCTTAAAACACACCATAACAAGACTAAAAATAATTCTCCCAATAAACCTGTTCACTTTTTAAAGTTACTATCACATTAAGAGAGAAAGCATGAGCAAACGACTGTGCATATGCACATATGTAAGTAAGAGACAGATGCAGGTTTGCTTGCTGCAGAATTCAGTCAAAATTCCAGCTGATGACCAGTGAGAGCAATACCAGTGGTTGCACTAGATCAAAGACACCATTTAATCTGTAATATTCTCCTCATAGAAGGATAATCCAGCAGTTCAGTTGTAAGTCCTGCCCCTAAATGCCTAGCTTCAGGTTCATCTAGTAAAAGTAAAATCTTACTCTTTTACTGCCCTGTAATGACACCTTTTTAATAGCTGTAGTAATTAAAAAGATATGCACACAAACAAAAATGGCAGTTTGCAAGTGAAAGGCCCTTTGGCCTTCACAGCTGTGTTTGAACAGCATGATCAGCAATTCAGTTTCAAAGAGACCAGTTCAGCTAAATAACCACTAACTTCGTGTAAGGTATTAAAGACCATTCCAGATAAAAGCACATCTCAAGCAGAAGCCACATTTTTACAGATGCTCTTTCAGCCTAATACATGACACTGTATGCTGTAGATGCTGAAACAAGAAAACATTCCTTCTTCCTGTTGCAGGTGGAATGAAAGTTCTTAGGAAATTATTCTACATTTTTTCTGGGACTTTACTTCAGTCACAGCTACAGTGCTGCTCTAAGGGGTGTCCTGACTGCACTGACATAAACAGTCAATTCTACAGTCATGAGAGAGCACTTGGTTCACTGCAATAATACTTTGCTCTGTCCCCTTATTTGTACAGGTGTCTTCCCCACCTGCCACAGGGCAGATGCAGAGCAGCTGCCACATTTGCTCCTGTTCACCTGCAAAGTGTTACAGAAAATATCTTGTTCAGGGACGCTTGAAACTTCATTTTCTCCTGCATCCTTTTTCAACTTACCCAAGCCAGAAAGAAAACTCTCTTTCTTTGTTGTACTTGTTGCTCATTATCATAAGGAGATAACTGGGAAATTAAATAAAGTAAATAAACTGGAGGAAACTTCAGCCAACTCACACCAAGCAACAGGTTTGGGTCAGGAAGGTAGGAACCTCATTTTTTCTAGACTACACCTAAGATAGCAACCACTCCTCCCTCAGATGACTATTTGCTTTACCTTTTCAAAAGGTCAGCTTCTAAAGTACAGCCTGTTCTCTCTCTGCCACAAGCTGAAGTTGAGGCAAGTATCTGTCAGTAAATCAGGCTAAAATTAACCTAGTTCAATGCAAGGGATATACCTGTCTTTAAGACAAAATGTATTTCTTTATTTCACACATGAAACAAGGCTGGGGAAATGACTAATCCCACTACGGGACTGCATTTTCTAAACTTTCACTTTATCAAAAAAATCACACGTATAGACAGAAAACTATTTCCAGAGGTAGGGAAGTAAAAGAAAATTACCACATATTTGTTTCCTCTTTGGTGCTTCTAAGTCAACTGAACAATTATTAACCAAACACCTGGCCAGAGACAACGCACGTGACAATCCAGATGCGTAAGTGGAGGCTGCAGAACACTGACCTCAAACTGAACCCTTCTGCATTATGGCAATAACCAAAAGATAGAAACTGAATGAATTAAAAAAAAAATAGGATTTGCCCAAGACCTGTAGTGTTTTATAGTGTTGCCCAGGGACAACAGTGCATTAGTGGCAAGTGGGACTCAGCATCCATATCACTAAAGAAACTCCCAGATAGAGAAAAAACTACAAAGTCAGGCCACTGAGAGAACATTTCAGACTCCCAGTGCAATATCTCTGTGCACATACGTGCACTGAGGACAGCATGCCCTCCCTTTTTTCTGCTGCAATCCCATTGCTCACTGGGTTGGTTGAATATAGGCCAATATGATGAACTCAGCATTAGGACAAGAGTCTTACATTCAGTCCTAGAATTTTGCAGACTTATTTTAACATGAGAAGTTGAATTAAAAAAAACAAACAACCATTACAAAAATAACCTTCCTCGGTGAATTCAGTTACTTGGAGAAAAACATTGTGGGTCTTTTTTATGGCACAAAGTGGAATGGGATTTACAGTTGGGGTTCCCAAAGTATTTGGGATGTCCTCTTCATGGATGTCATCAGGCAGGTCGTGACTGTCTCAGAGTGCATTTGTAATGGAGTATTTATATTACTAACAGAAGTAACATGATATTGCTTTATTTCAGGCTCAAGTGGAACTGGCCCAATCCAAGGCAATCTAAGAGGCCGAAACACTCAGCCAGGACCACCCACACAGCAAGAGGAAAAGCTCCTTCGTCTCAGCTCACATTCCCAGGCCTCCAAGGTTCAGTGCCTTTGTGTTCCCAACTCCATTGCTCCCCAGGGGCCCATCTGGTAACACAGCACATCTTCCTGTTCCTACAGCAGCTTCCTTCTGCCTTATGGGGTAAAAGAAGGGCAAGGGGAGACAACTAGCATCTGGTATACTTAGTTACATGCCTTTCTGGCTACCAAAACCTTGGTCACCTTGAAATCTGTCTGACAGAGCTTGCTGCCTGAGGGCTGAACATTTCTCCCAGTCTTGGAGCACACAGAGGAGGCTCTCTAGCCACCACAGTCAGCTGGTTCTGTGCATAATTAAGAACCAGATACCTGCCTTTTTAAGTCACATACAAAGGCTTTGTACACAGTTAAGTGACCTGTGGCTCACATTTGGCATTTCCAGATTCAGCAGTAGGAAAAGTAATAAGGATGAAGATGCCTAGAGGTGAAATAAGATCACAGAACACCCCAGTGACCTAACAAATTAACACACAGCATGAAAGTGGTGTGAAAACTACAAAGCCAAAAGGAAAGACTTCTGCAAGTCATGCTAAAAGGCCTGGGGGGAAAAGAGGGTGTAGAGGGATGGAGGGAAAGATAGCTAGAGGCTGAGGTCTGTTAAGTACTGAAATAGCCTTATGAAACAAAAAACTCATAGTACAGTGCTGAAGAAATAAGCATACAGAAAGATGGGGAAACAGAACCAAAAAGCAAACAAATGCCTCGTGAGACAATGAAAGAGGTAATAAATTCCTTGATGTAGGCATGGCAAGAAGAAAGGCAACTTATCAATAGCAAACAGGACTGGATAGACCCTCACCCAAGAAAATCAATCTCACTCTGAGATAACACCTGGCTATGACTTTATTTCACATTATCCTGAGAAACAAACTCTAGATCAAAATATTGAAATGGAAAACCAAAACCAATCCCATCGAGGATGTTAACTTCCTTCTGTTTTGGTTTTCTGCTACTCTGAACAGGAATGAGTAAGTACGTCCCTCAGCCAAAGAGGTTCCCAGCGCAGCTGGCTAGAGCTCTGCAGAGCTCCTGAAAGTACATACCGGAAGGCCACCCAGAAATACTCCCAAAGGATTAGTTAATGTTTTGAAGACTAATCTAACATGTCAGAATCCAACGAGTAGTTCAAGTTAAGAGTAGCCAAATCTGACATAAGATCAAGCTGTGTTTTCTCACATGTACAATTCTCATCCTTAAGTTTTCACCTGCCCAAAGTGAAAGTAGATGCTCATATGGAGACAAACCACTTGTGAAATGTCTCGCCAATAATTTTTTTCTTAAAAAAGGGGGAGTGGGCAATGTGTTTCACCTGAATACAGTCAGTACTAGATAGAAAACAGAACTGATAACAGAACAACTTTAAGGAACATTAATCCCTGATTGTATCTCCTGAACTACTCAAAAGTTCTTATTAAGCCATATGAGTGTTGCTATTTAGTCCTGCTGACAAAACGAGAAAATTGTGCTAGAACATGAAAGAACTGCATACAGAGCCCTTTTCCACTCATACAGCTCTGGGTGGGGGTGATGGTGTGCTGGTGCATCTGTCAGAATCCAAGAGAGAGATTCACAGAACACATGAAAGAGGACTAGACTTAATAATTTAAAGCTTTAAAGGCTGGTTGATTTATAATGTCCACTATGTGGTACATTTGCTTGCTTCCCCTCTCTTTTCCCTTAAGTGGAAAAAAAGAAGAGGCTTCTGAGTATCTTTTGAAGACTATGAAGTCCCTATGATCACAGGCCACAGAGCTCTACAAAATACTCTGACACAACCACGTAAATGGAACTGATTAGCTTTCCTATCATTGTGCATTTTTCACACAGTAACAACAGAATTTCCCTTTTTACAGGCTTTATAGCTGTATTTCCTATAACTAGTTTTTCCAAGAATAATATAATGTGTTTAATTGTTTCAAAATTATATCCCTAATAATGGCAAAGAATTATTATTATGACTTCATAATTAAACTAAGGGCTTAGTCCTATAATGACTAGGACTCCAGAAGTCCTAGTCCAGAAGCTATTGCTTTTTCACAGGGTTTTTTCACATGAACAAATGTTACAGCAAATAGCAGTTTTAGATGCCTGGTGATTAATTTTCAGATTAATTTTCAGATTAATTTTCAGATTAATTTTCAGTGAAGCAATATACATCAGAACCATCTAATAAATGCATAAATTTACTTGGTTATTTCCACATGTTGATAGCATAAGGAGCCCAGCCTAATCTCTATGATTCTTCTTAATGGACAAGCAGAAATTACCTTTCTAGTGTTCTTAGCAAAATCAAACAAATAATTAAACAGCCAGTGTGTTACAGGAATCCCTATGCAAATATCCCCCAAAATTACCTTCATGGTCATATTTAAGATGTTACCTCTTCTTAAACCTGAAGCACATCTACCAACATTCTAATAAATGAATGTACATTAAGCTTTTAGGAGTGTGTCTATCCCATAACTTTTTAAAAAACTTAATTAATAAGAAAAATCTCAGTAATAAACCTTCACACAATCTATAGAAATCTAAAAGGATTTTTCAGTGCATGATACAAAGCCAACAGCACAGCATATTAAGTATATCTCTTTTCTGAGATTTCCAGCTAACTGTAAACCATCTTCCAGTCTCAATACAAGTAAAGACATCCATACAAGCTCAGATTACAAGAAAGCAGGTTAACAGGTACCATACATTGTGACATGAAAAAAAACTTCTTATTTCTCATTAGCTTTTTCACATGCATATTACAATCCAACAAAATATTTAAGAGCTATAGATACCTGCTATGCAGAGCAGATGTCCTGGCCATAAATGTGCAACGTCAGATGTAATTAAGCAGAAGGGCTCACCTTTGAAAATTTCTCAATCTGGTATCCTGCCTCCATGATAAAAGTTGTTTTCATGTTGTATCCAGTTTGCTTTCCATGTCCATTTGGCCACCAAGCCTCTACTGCAGAAGTCTTGAACAAGACGAGAGAGAAGGTCAGAGCAACATGTATAAAAAGAGGCACAAAATGCACCTGTGGGCTCAAGACGTCTTTGAGTGAATTACCACCAGTGTAATGAGCTTTTGTGCTTCAGCTGTGGTAGGCTAACTGGGATTTCACCGGCTGCAGCTCTGAGGTGAAAACCATTTAAAGAGAGAAGCATGATTTCTTCCACTACAGTCCAGGCTGCCACTTCATCCTGTGACCACGGGAGGCCATGAACACACATACACATGCATGCACACGCCTAGCTGCTACCTCTCAGCCGAGGTACACTGAGAGGCTACTCCTCCAAACCCCAAATATCTGTGTCAGGAGCAGACATTGTTCACTAGCCTCTGTATCGTGCACCTCCTCTCACGGACGCTTTTAACTATCACATGCAACAGTCCATATAAAGTGGGGACACTTCTGAACTGCGACTTGGGTAATATGCAACTCCACGGACTGCTTCACTTATGGGCAAGCTTTTAAGACAAATTCTAAGTTTCATTCTTTCTTTTTGGTGTTTTCTGCTTTTTCTCTAAGCTTCCTAATCACATCATTAGTACTCCATTATTTTTACAAACATAAAATACTACCTCTAGGATGACAGAATGACTCAACTTTCTCATTTTTCTAATCATGGAGTAATATTTGTATCTTCATTCCAGCAGCCTGCTTCTGCTGCTCATCCTGTTGCCAGCATTTGCCAGTTGAGTGCACAATGCAAAAATTGTGGAAAGAAAGCAAAATGCATGCAACCAAACAATGGAGGGATCAGCACTGAATAGAGTCATGCAAGGAGTGCCTCATCTTGTCAAATAAACTGAGGCCAGGGAGCAGCCCAACAATATGTTTTGCTGTAGCCACACTTGGACGCAATCATAATGTATCTACCGACATTTCAGCTTCCCTGATACGGAATTATCATAACTGCTTGTGCAGAAGTACTAATCTCTGTGTTGCACGGATACAAATGGAAGCACAGAATCAGCGTGTGCCTCAACAACAAGGGAGTGTTCGCAGCTGCCTGGAAGGACTGCGGTGTCTCATTGGCCGCTAATGATGTCATCCCTATGCTCACCATTAGCTGATAAGCAAAATGCTGTCACGTTGGCAACACAGCACTTTGTGTGGCAACTGCAGGAAGACTGATACACATCTCAGGTGATACACACCACTCAAACACCTACAGACTCGCAACATAATTTGCAATAAACTCTCAACTAGAAATAAATTTCTGGCGAGGTCTCCGTATTCAACATGCACCACGCAAGTCTGTGTACAGACTAAGGGCTCTGTTAGTCTCATCGATACATGAGAACACATTTCAGGGCTTCTCAAAAATCAGCTGATGTGAATTCATGCAGCAAAGCCTTTTGTGCACAAAGAATAATGAAACGCTGCTGCCTCTGCTCTGAAGGAAGTGCTTCCTCACGAACTTGCAGTTGCACTACATTAACAGATCTCTTCTGAGGTTGGTGGTGGGGCAATTAAATACACAAAAATAACTTCTGTAGTTTTGCTTTGCAATGCCTGCTTAATGTAATCCATTAAAAGGCTAAGCAGAAACTAATAGTTATTTTAAATGAAACTAGGTATTGGCAATTGCTCATGTAACTTGCATATCAGGTGACAACAGTAAGAAAAATTGTATGTTTGTATGCTTTTGTGTCAAAATAAAATAAAGCACGTGAATATGCAAGTCACTGAGTCTGCACACTAGAACAGAAACACCCTGCTTGCCTTTTAACATGTTTTCCCTCCATTCAAAAAACTGACACGTGAACTCAAGAGTACACACATAACGCCATCAAACTGGGAAAACAAATGCAGAGTTACACAGCAAAGTAAAATACAGCCAATAAAATACAGAATAGAATATACAGAATACACAGGCAGTAAAATACAGAAAGAATTGAAGGCTGACTCTCAAATGTTATTAACTGACCGAATGGTCAAAAGCCCCAAATTCCTTCTCACAGCACATCACTCTCCCACAGATCTGACTGTCCCGTGGCAGTGAAGCAGACAGCAGCTCCCATGGAGAACAGCCAGGACTTCCACTCTGCCCACAGGGCTGAGCCTCTGCTGTCAGACCCTGTTCTGCAGGAGAAAACTGCTCTCTCTGCAAGTTCATACGTCTTTGTGCCACTCTAGGCTCACTGCCTAATTCAAGACACTCCTCAGCTAGAACAGACACACTGATTTCCTTAATATCTCAGGTTTTTATATCTTTCCTTAATTACACCTGTATGATAAAACTCGTACCTGAAAAAAAAAAGTAACAAATTTTATAAAAATTAAATGATGATGGTGAATTAGGTCTGCCACCAGATAGCTTCCCAGCACCCTCTGAAAGCAAGCAAATCAATTCTTTCCTCTTTCAGCACTGGGGTATATACCAAATCCATCGTTTTTCAATTGACTTGTCTCTTCCTTAGAGCATCTTCACTGTTCCAAAACTCCTCCTGAGTTTTGTCTATCCAAAGGACTACAAACCAGCGTAAGGAAGTACTACACTCTACAAAATTTCTAGCCAACCTCACTTCCAGACAAGTTTTTTACAGGACTCTTTCATTTACCTGAAAGAGTGTCTGCTGAGCGGTTTGAAGAAAGTTTCCTCTCTCTCCTGGGAGAACCGGGCATATTATAGTATATTCTAGTCTCAGTTGGTCCAGTAAACAACAGCATGTGAGATACCTGCTGCCAGTGAAGTCAAGTGACACAGTCTATCCAAAGGTTATCTACCTAAATACCTCAAAATAGCTCCTTTAACCATGGCCAGTGATTACGTGATTTTTTTTTCAAGGCTTCATCATCTTTTTTACATTGAGCTACACAGCTCCACAGACATCAGTTTTTAGAAAGGAAAAGAACAGTTTTCCTATCCTGTAAGGGGTACAGAGGTGTTGTTAAAAGTCAGGAACACAGTAAGGAAGGGGAGGGAGGCCTAAAACTGGCATGGAGGTAGAAAGACACACAGGAAACCAAGGGAAACATTTTGCAGCTGGATAGTTTTTCACACACACCTCCTTACCTTGTTGATGTTTACAAGCAGCACAATGCTGCCTTCTCCAGGTTGAAGCTTCACACTGAATGTTTGCTGTGTTTGCAATTTTGGAATGTTCACTGTCACACGACCTGCAATTGGCTTAGAGCTGACTACATCAAAAATAGACTCAATTTCAAGACACCACTGCTGCGCACTCTTTACTAAGGGGAGAAAAAATGGAATTTAATAGTTATGTTTATATACTTATTAATTAGCATGATCTCTCATCAAACAGAAAATTCAAACACCTAAGACTAAATCTAACAATTTTCAGGCTGTGTTTGAACCAGACCTACAAGGTTAATGCTTGTTTAGTGCATTTGACATCTGTGTTTACATTTGCCAACTTGGAAGAGAACGATGCCATATGATTCATGTTTCATAACTCTTTTATTTTTATTCAAAAGCCACCCAGATTTTTTTTCAGGGTTCTGTACAAAAGTCAGAGACCTTGACACCAGTCACTTCATTAGGAAGGATTTTTTTCCCACCAACTCCCATAGACATCATATTTGCTTTTAGTCAGCACTCATATGAACATGGTACTCTTTGGGAAAGATCCTAATCACAAGCCAGTACAATCACTTTTGTCAATGAAACAAAAACAGTATTAACTGAAAACGAGCTGAATTCATCCCAGAGACACTAAACAAAATGAATGGAGTTATGCTGGGGATGAATTGGGCCCACTGTGTCTAGACTTGATGGGCTATATCTTTATGCCCCTTCTGCCACCAATGTGTGGTGGAGGAAACAAGTTAATGAGTTCCCTGAGATCTCTCTACAGTTACCTCAGAGGGTCCTCTCCTTTACAGAACTTACTGAATAAGGCAAGCCAAGGTCAAGGGTACTCAACATTTATCTGTAAATTTCCCATTAACTTCAGCAATTTAATTGTGTAGCTACAAACACAATCTGGCTAATCCTATACTTCAAATATTACTGATTAACATATAAGCAAAAGCAAATAAAACAGAAAACAAGGAAAACTAGAACTAAGATGTATTTTGTATACCCAAACTTCTAATCATGTACTTCCTCTTTTCATTTATATACTTTAGTTCTCCTTCCTCCAGGAGAGAAAGAGAGCTCCCTCCAAAAGCAAAGAATTACATTCAGCCCTGTGTGATTTTCACTGTCTTTTGTGGAATGAAGAGCAACGATTGAGTTCCTAAGTTTATATTACACCCACCATTAGCCAGGAAAGACCAATTTTCAGAAATACTGAAAGGATTAAAAAAAAACCCCACCCCACAAGGGTCACCCATTACAGTGCATCTTGCCTCCCCTCCAAAAGCATATAGAAACTGAATCCCATCCTTTACTGCATGAACTGTGGAGTCTAGGTGGAGAAATCAAGTACAATGAATCTTTTGCAGACTCAGAGGTCAAAAGACTGAGTCAAATGACACCAAATCTGACAAGTAATAAAAGTACACATGCAGGTTAAATTCAGGTCATTCATTTACTCTTTCTTTTTCAAATGTTATTATTCTGAATACTAATAAGCTCTCACTCTGGTTCCAAACCACTCTCTGCTGAATGAAAGAGGTTTGCTCTCTCCACTTACCCACAGAGCAAAATTTTACCTACCAGAAGGTGGAGTTGTGGGAATGTGGGAGGGACCAGAACAGATTTTTCCTGTAACTAAATTTTAGTGAGCAGCACAGTCTGTGCTGGGGCTTTCCATGGAAATTCCAGTCACGTTAATTCTAGCTAAGACCTGCAGCTATTTCAGGAAGTTTTAAAAGCAGCCATGGAGCGATGTCTTCCTCTTTTATTCATAAACAACAAATCTATTCCCAAGGGCTGAAATTCAACCCAATGCAGAGGACTCGTGCTAGCCCTTACTCCACTGAAGACTGGGCTCCACAGGCGGTGAAAGAAAGCACACGGGTGGTCTACAGTGGGGCATATTACCAAATGCAGAAAGTTTCAACAGAAAATTAAATGCTTTTGCTCAGCTGAAATGATCTTCAGGACAAAGGAGAGGAACATCAGAGACCACGGCAAGAGAGGAAACCGGTTTGGTAAGTTAGGTAGCAAGAATGCAGGAGGCCATCCTCTCAAATTGCAGCCTTAACAAATTATCCTTGCATAGCACGACTGCTTTTCTCTCTCAGACTTCATGTTGTGTCCTGAAAACTCGGTGCTCTTGAAACTCAGCTCACTGTGCATTTGTCTTTCCAACACAAAACTAAATTCCCATAGCAGCTTTGCCTTTGTTTTAAATAAAAGTGAGACAAAAGTGAGACATATTTACTGGGAGTCTTGGTGAAAACACATACCAGTAAAAAAGAAATTTTTCAAAACTGTGGAGAACAGGTGCTAACCTCAGCTATACTACACTTAAACTTCTGCAGTTATTTGGGGACCCTCAAGCAAAAAAAAAAAAAACAAAACAAAACTAACAACAAGAAGAAAACCCCTGAATTCTATCATTTTTAATTGCTATTGTTCGTACTGAAGTACTGTTTCAAAACCTAGAAAGGTGTGCTGTGATAAGAACTACATACAAAGTCATAAAAAACCCAACAGAACTTTTCCTAAAATGACAGTTAATTAAGCTTAACAATAAAATAGTTTGTATTCCAAAGGTGAAACAATAATAAAAACAAGACTTACCAAAGAAAGGAGTTACAGAAAAGTAAATCAGGTGGTAATGGTTATAGGCCTCAATCCTAACATCTTTCCAGATTCCTTGAGTGGGAAAAGAAGGGCCCCAGTCCCAACTAAATGAACACTGCTCCTGGAATACAGAATGATTACGTTACAATTGCCTATTTTTCACACAGACATTGATACTGTGCCAGAAATAAAAGACATTTGCTATCTAGGAATAAAATATTGGCATGCACTAAAAGAAGTCTTCCAATTTCCATAAACCCAGAAGAGCCTACACTATTTTTTTTCCCATTTCTTGACCAGAACTCTGCTGCTACTACCTATTTTTCAGTATACAAAAAATTAAATTTTGTATTAAACACTCATGTACAGAGAAATTTTGTATTTCTGGAATTTTGTATTACCTAGGACACTACTTAGAAAAAAACAACAAAACAAACAGTAAAGATAAAATAAAAAATCCAGAAGATTATTCTCAATTTAACTATGAATTATCTTAGTTTGTAATGTCAGTGTTTAACTGTACACCTAAAAGACAAACTAGGCAGAAAATTGATGGTTAGAAATGTTACAGTATTCTAAAAGAACAGTATCAAATTAAAAACTGTATTGCAAATACTTTATCTCCTATTTTTAGTAGTAACACCACAGTTTAGTACAAGAAAAGAGAAGCATATGTCTGGTGTGTTTGTGTAGTTCAGTCATGTTCGCTGTTTCTCCCCTTTTTATGGTTCTCTTACACAAAAACAAAGGGAACAAAACCGTGGTTGAGAAGTAGCTTAGTTCTGGTTCTACCATCAGAATAACTGTCAGAATTATAAAATGCTGGTCAGGCAGAGAGGTACCTACACTAATTTCCATTTAGCTGTTTTCAAACCTGGTCAGACCTCTAGTTAACAAATCCCTTGACGACATCTATTCAGCTGCCCTCCAAGTTTCACACAGTCCCAGCCCCAAAGCAAATACAATAGATCTCCTGAAGTCTTGTACAGTGACACACAGTTCTAAATTTAGAGACTAATAACTTACAGCCGAGGCATACTAATTTCGGCAAACCACATTGCACAAGTCTGGCCTATCCCTTGCATCTCTACAGTCTGCCTGCCTCCCTATCAAATTGCAAAAGAGCCTTCCAGGAAGGAAACACCTATTTCAAAAGCAAAAGCAGGGAGAGCATATTCTTATAAAACAGGGCCAGGGAAAGCAATTTTCCCCTTATAAAAAAATTAACTAACAAATCACTGGCAGATTGTCAGGTTTCACTAATAACACTGCAGAGACTGCTGTGTCATAAGAACAACACATTTGTATCACTGAAGCACATCACCAGTGACAGGCTTGTGTTCTGCCACAAATCCTGTTCAGTTTTAGGTACATTTACTGCACTTAATACTACACCTGAAATGTGTAAACAGCTCTCCATTACTTTCAGACAGGAATCCAGCTTATTTTACAAATGTCCTAGTATGTTTGTTTACTTTTTAACGTGACATAACTGCTGTTGTTACCATATACTTGGAACTCAAAACGTTTCTGGAAATTTCTGGAGAAACTTTCAAGTACAGTCAAACAACACATTTGAGGAAAAGCAATAGGGTATCTTCTTACAAATTTAAAGGTACAGTTCAGTGAAGCATAAAATCATTCCAGGCCATTTCTACTCCATAAATAAGACTACAGCTGTTTAATGCCTTCTTCCTCCCAAGCTTCTCCTTGCACTGATTTCTAAGAAACACAGTGGACTCAGAAGAATTGATAAACTTTCCAAAATGTAGTGAAAATAAAAGTAGCAGCAAGTAGAAATAAAGACAACATCTTAATCCTAAAGGATCTTTCCAGGACAACATAGAGTCCAAAAACATTTTTTTAGGAGGCTCTAAAAGGACTTGATTAAAAAGATTGAAAATAACTAACAAGAAAGGCATTTAAGTGGAGACAAACCTGAAAAGACACCCAAAAATAAAAATTCCAAAATAAAATCATCTAGCCATTACCTCTATCTGCTGCCAAGCTAACAGAAACACAAGATGCTCCTCAAACAATAGTTTGCCTTGGTTAAGTTTTAACAGCAATGAAGTCATGTCTTAAATCAAAGTTTCTGAACTTCATTCATTTTCACTGAATATGTACTTATACGTCACACTTCTCAACACTAATGAAAACAGGTTTCCTGTTAGATAACACTTCTTGGGACATGCCAGAGCTGCCCAGTATAAATAGCACAGCACATGAGCAACAGCAAACACTCACAAAGCCGCTTGGCTAAGATTTTTACAGCCTTGGCAATACACACTGGTATTTGCAACAGTGAACTCTATTGTTCGCATACACTGCTAAACCCACCCAGTGGATCAAAATGTAATGATTGCACATTTCCCAATACTATCCTGCTCTCTTAGCAGCAAGTCTCCTTACTGACTCCTTGATGAAAATAGCCTTTTTATTACTTAGATTTGAAGCCTGGCCTTCTTGTGCCTATTGTATCATCAACATGCTAGATTACAGGTTTCTAGGGGGGACAGGAGAAGGAAGCTGCAATACAAAATATGCCCTACTTATAAAGTGACAGTGCAGGTTTCAGAATACAACCAAAAGGACAGCACATGGTGCATTCCTCTTTCCAAGCCTGAAGCCAGACAAATGTGCCCCCACCTTTCTGATAAAATTGACATGGCATTCTCCTTTCTGCTCGGGTGGAGGGCAGGCCGGGGGGATGCTGTAAGCTTTGTGACACCTGCTCTGCTCTGCTGCATAGGAAACAGCCGACAAGAAACGGACTTCAACAAAATTGACCTCCTTGATCACGCTGGTGATATCAAAGCTCTAGGACAAATAACAGAACAAAATCATTACAGTGCTGACATTTATTTATGTGATTAGAAATCACTGTTACATTGGGATTTTAATACCATTCATATATTATTCAAAGGCATTTGAAGTACAGTCTTAACATGCTTCAGTTTTGAAGGAAAAGCTACTTCATAAGCTAAAAAAAACCCAAAATACACGGTAGTGTTTTAGATACAAAGAGTTGTTTCTGGGCAAACCACTTTCCTCATACCAAGCCCTCATTGCGGGCTGTAGCACTCTGCTTGCACACAGAAGTGCTTGAAGGACAAAGACAGCAAGAGAATCTTCACCTTCCTTCCTCATCCAGAACTCATATGCATCTTCAGAAAGACAACTCAAAAATCTGGTCTATACAAGAGTCCTTCCAACTCACACTGTGCTGCCAACTCATCTACTGCAAGACTGAGCTGCCTTGTCTGTGAATGCTGCAAAGCTGTATTCCATGCTACCTGCACTCTCATCCCCAAAACTTACAGACACACATTCTATGCCAGCACCAAATGAAGCATCTGGGGGCTTCCTCACTGAGTCACAAAATCCCCTTCAGTGTGGCTGGATAGAAGGAGAAATGTTCCATTTCAGAATCATCCCATGCTATCAAGACAATACGGTTCCAATGACTAATACGCATTTATTCCTCCCAGTGTTCATTTGTGACGAGCCAAGTCTTGGCAATCTCTTCTAACTTCGGGGGCAGCCCAGCTCGCATCACTTCTGTCTGCAGCACAGAGCAGAAAACTACAAATCAAATAGCACTGCCCCATTAAGAGCCTTCAGAGAGTTCTTCCTGCAGACACTGCTGCCACGTGGAACAGGTGAACAAAGCAGAAGTCTGGGTCACAGTAATCAGACTCAATTTAATGCGGCACACTCTGGCTTTACAGTGAAGGCCATTTCATGAACTGTTACAATCTGAGACAAAATGAAGTTGCAGAAATATGGACAAAATAATGCTACTTCCCAACTTTACAGAGCCTGCTAATGGCAAACATTTAGATACTCTCCAAATAGTATATAATTACAATTTTTTAACAGCTCTATGAAATTTCTTATTTCACTGATGGTACAACTAAGTCAAAGAGAAACTAAGTGGTTTGTTCTAGGTCACGCAGACCCAGGTGGCAGAATCTCTCTCTCATGTCTCAGTCCAGTGCTTCTGCAATAAAACCTGCCAGGATGGTAAATGCTGAGACAGGGAGACAACAGATTTCACTTGTCATTCAGTTATTCCACTATTATTCTTCCTTTAACTCTTAAATTTTTGATTCTTTTAAGAGAAAAGCAAGGATTGTTTCTTATGCTAGCACCAAAATAATTTTATATTTTAAAGCTATACAATTTACTCTGAATGTTTTTGCCACTCTCAAGATCATTCCATGATGAATACTCTTACACTGACATAGGCTAAGGTCAAAATGCAAGGCAATGTCATCAAAAGTGCAATATTAAAAATAAACCATGCTGTTTAAAAAACAAAAGCATGGAAACACTTTAAAAGGCTTTAAAAACACGTGCATTTTCATTGCAGTATTCACATGTAAACCATTCTAATACCAATTAGTAAGTAGATTTACAGCTAATATAACAGATTTAAGCTTACGTTTTCTTGGAGCTGGGACAGATCCCAAGAAGCAAGATATATTATTAGCTGAACTGATCCTCTTGCATGGGTCCTCTCATTTGGGACAGGACACATTCACCTCTAGATATGACGCTGTTGCTACTGAAAAGGTAAGTGCACTTCTCTTTATAACATTTATCTGATTATACAGGCAGTCTTCAGCTCAGCACTGCCTGCGTCCAAGCACCTATTTTTATCTGAATGCACTGAAAATGCTCAGAACAAAAGAGCTTTGAAGAAAAAACAGAAGCACCTTCAGAAATAAACATATTACTTACATATCTGTTAAACATGTTGTCTGTTCTCCCCACAGTGACATTGTTGAGCAGGATCTGTGCTACTGTATCTACTCCCTCGAAAACCAAATTCACTTTCTGCCACTTTCTACAGAAGATAATATATGAGTGAAAACCTGTTAGAATACCTAGAGTTAACAACATAGAGGAGACAGACAATATAAAAATGTATATCACCATTATCTTTAGCAGCATTTGCCTCAGCTACCTCCAAAAACATTTGACTCAGTTAGATCTTTAAATAGTCAAATTAAGATGACAGCTGAAGTAGCTGAAGTCTACAACACAGCATGTTCACATACACAGCAGATATCAGATGGGATGGCTTCCAATTAGCCTAAGTATTATATTTTCTCAGTTGACAATTCGTAAGTAATTTTTAGCAGTTAATTAAAAAAAAGGAAAAAACAACTTAAGTGTTCTGTAGCAACAGTTTTGCAGCTGCACATGATTGGATGATTTGTTTTATTAGATACAATAGTTTTAAGTAGATTTTGAGCCGATGGATTAATTTGCAATTCTGCATGAAGGATGGCACAGAACTATTTTAGACATATCTTTACTGCATACCTGACGTCAAAAGGAGTTTTAAATGTCCTGCTGTAAGTCCAGTTATCTAGTGAGATCCATCTGTACATCACATCATTGAATCTATAGTACGGATCCTAGAAACAGACCAACAAAAAGAAAATTACAAGACTTACTTAGTAATAGTGTTACTACATGAAAAGCATCATAATATCCATTACATGAATAATTCTCATTTCAGACAATCTGCAAATGCAAAATCCACCTTAGTTAATTAGTCCAGATAGTCCTTTTCACCTTTGAAATAATGTATGAAAGTAATGCTTTAGTAATATTTGACTTTACTTATACAGGTCAAAACCCTGTTTGCTATAATCACTTATACTCAAATTAGAGGTAGCAGGATTTGTTTTTACATAAGAAATTACTGGTTTGGAAATTAACCAATAAATCAAGATAGCTTGTGACTTAATGAGAGGAACAGAAACATGATCACAGTCATAATGGTGGAGAAAGTAAGACTAATAGGATTTTAATAGGCAAAGAAACAGCATTTTAGGCCTCTAGGGACAGCAGTGAAAAATGTCTAGTTTAAAATAACTACAAATACTCCAGTTGTTTCTTGTCAACTAGTCTTGCTGTGGTGAGGCTAAATGAAATTGTTATATTTGAAGGGACGGAGAAAGGGAAGAAGGAGAAGCAATACAATTTTGGTTTTGGTATAAAACTAAATGACTACTTTTGAGAACAGTACTACATTTACACCAAATGTGCTCTGTTCCCTTGAATGACACTTCCCAGGAGGAATAAAAGGAATAGTTGGTCTAATAGTTGGTCCTCGACCTTTTAGGCTTCATGCTGTATTTATTACCTCATGGTGGGTCACGACATCCCTCACCGTGGTCGAAGGAATCAGTTACGAGGACCTGACAACCCACGGCCTTGCACCTCGTACAAAGGCAGCAGAAAGGTACAGACACATCCCGTGTCAGAGCGCAGGTATCCGGGTCAGCGACTGACAGCTCAGTTCAACCCTCTGCAGCAGCTGCACAGCTGAACTGCTTTCCCAAAACAAAGACCAGTCTCTTCTGGACTACATGACTCAAACCCAGCTGAGAGGGCAGCTGCATTAAGGTTTGCTTTGATATGAGTGTTCCACAGTACCAACACAGTTTAACTACCTGCCCTGAATATTCAAATTCACACTGAAGAAAATCTGCCTTGCTGAAGCTAAATTTTTCTCCGCATTTCAGGAATCAGTATAGATAGCCATGACACTTTGGATTTGAAATCTTCTGAGAACAATTGTTTCATACCTCTTATTTGTTCTACAATTAACAGGGCAAGGTTCTGTAATATAAGCACAAAGCATAGCAGAGCACAATTGTAACATCTAAGTCACTGTCCTCAGCAGCACAGTCCCCTCTGAAGTCCTACAGCAATACATCATTCCTTGGGCCCATCCAGAGGGAAAATTTTCATCTTGCCTCTACATGCAATGCTCTATCAATCAAATTTCTTACTACAAGGAAAGAGTCAAAATGGAAAGGTCTTATCACTTCAGTAAAACTGTGAACTCTGTACTGATAACATGGGGTATTCTCTAGAAGTTGACATCATGTTCTTACTGGAACAATTACTGAATTTAAAGATATTCATACCATTACTTTTATATGCAAAACGTATTGGGGAATAATCTCAGACTTTTATTAAGATGCAAAATTTAAGGCTAACAAGTGCACAGTAAAATGCAAAATTTATGCTCATAAAAGAAACCCCATTGAGATCATCATATTCAGACAACAAAAGGCAAGCAACAAATGTCACAGACCATGAAAAGCCAACATATGTACTTTAAAAGCATATTTTTAACAACTGGCTTGCTTTAACATTATATATTACCTTATATACATACATTGTATTTAACATTATACACTATTTTATTTCAGGTTTGTAAAAATGCTTTGAAAATTGTGCATGTTAAATTTCAATCACTGCCTTTGTATGTGTGAAATCTTTAACAAAAGGCCTAAGATGCAAGTTGTAAATGCACTACCAACAGCAGACTGTAAAGCCATTTGGTTAATGGTCAAACAATCTACATCAGTCCCTCCACAAAGATGCATCAAAGAAACCTGCACCATCTCTCCCACACACACAGATATCTGAGATGTTAATGAAGAAAGTCCTGCCTTCTGGAAAACACAAAATCTGGTCCTCGAGCAGCAAAGAGAAATGTCAGAACATTTCATCAGAGGCAGAAATCATCCTCGAATGGGCTCTTACAGGAGTTTACAAACAGAGCGGCTTGTTTAAATATCAGAGTGTACTGCAGATTCTTTTTCATGAAGAAGCTTTCTTCTTTACTATCTAAAGCCTTCAACCATCAAGAAATGCACTGACTGCTAAAATATGTTATAGAAGGTGCTAATTAGCCCTTCTGAGTACTGTTTCTTACTCACAGGCATCCACCCTTTTGGACTGAAAACTCATGGTTCTGTGTACCTCTACATAAAACTTAACAGCTTTATGATACCATTGCTGCATAACCAGTAAAACAGCTTATATATCACACAGCAAAGCTCTTACAAGCTGATACTGGTTAGTCATTTTTGGCATGACAAATGCTTCTTGCTGTAAAGTCAGTCATGTGGCAATGTTCAAGCAATGCTTTTAAGACAATCCTCAAGGTTCAGGAGAAACACATGACCACAACAAAGTCTTCTAAGAAAGCAAAACTACTTTTCCAATAGACTTGTGAGATTATTGACTTTTTCATTATTAAATACAACTGTTCCAAGTCCTGTGGAAGTCAAATTGTTTGGATTTTTCTGAAACAGAATTTAATTTCACTTTAAAATAGCTCACGTCAAAATTAAAGGTTTATTGCAGAGAAGTGCATGAAAAAAAGAGACAAATTTAAAACACTTAAAGGCACTGACAGAATTTGAAAGATGGTAGGAAATAGACTGCGATCTATTAAATATACTTCACATTCAATAGCTCAACAGCTCAGTGTGTTCCTGGAAGCAAGTCACAGAGGGGTGGAGTCAACTACAGCTATTTTTAGATCCCACCAAACATGTCAGCCTTGCATTTTCCTGCTCCCTGCAATTTGGGAAAGAAATCTGAACCGTTCAAGCTGCCTGCCTGTTTGTTCTTTGCCCCCAGCTTCCGTGCTGTAAGCAAGCAGCAAATCACCTGCTAAGATGAGGTAAAAAGCCCTGCTACAGATCATCAAAAGGAAGCAATTTCCAGGTCGAATAACAGGACATCAGCAGGACTTCAAAAGCACTGGCAGCGCTAGAATGAAGGCACTGCCAAGTGCCTAGATGGAAGCTTCTCCTTACAATGATTTTAAGGGGATATTTGAAAGCTACAGTGGCATAAGCTGAGAGCTTCTCCTGTTAAGCAGGAAATGGATGAGACACGAACACGCAGAATTAAGGTTCCAAGCCCCAGTGAGTGAGCAGTGCCAGGCACATCCTGGCCTGGGGAAGGGCCATTTCCAAGCCCCCACGAACCAGGAGTTTCAGGGAGCATTACACAAACACCTGAATGACACCAGACAGAGTCAGCTGTATCTAGGCAGAAAAACTGTGTGTAATAAAATGAAATATAATAAAGAGAACAAAAAAGAGATTCCTTTGCCTTATCCTGCTTTTGACATGGTCTAATTTGAAGTCACCTTTCATGCTCTTCTCTCGTAAATTAACTCTGCTGATAAATTAACTTTTCTCTCATAAATAAACTCTGTAGATACACCATAAGAAAATCCTCATGGTGTAACAATTTACCAAAATAAAACTTGCGAGTGATGTTTCCTGATTTATAGTTTCATGATTCTGCTGTTGCCGACTTCAGACTGGAAGCTAAATAGCTCAGATACCTATATCCATGCACTCCTTGCAAGCGATAGCAGTCAGGACATTTATACAATTTTCAGCAAGCCCAGTTTCACATATTTACAGCTTGAAGTCAAGGTGAACTAACATTAGTGATGAATGGATCGTATTCTTGGAACATGAGTTTTGGAAGTTCATCCTGAAGTAATTAATTTTCAGTAGTTACTCTCAGAAAGCAGTAAACTGAATGTCACTGTCAATGTTCAAAACGTGTTATAGCTGAACACAAGGCCAAACACCACTAATATTATTTGAATACTTCACTGTATTTAACAGACCACTACAATTTTTATCTGCTTTAACATCGCAAGCTTAAACTGACTTGAAAGAAAAACTTAAGTACCATTTAATATTTATCCTAAGTTTCACTAAAGCTTTTGAACACTCCTCATAAGTTCCCACAGTTCAGCAGAGTACCTATATTTCAATGAAAAATAAAATATTAATCAACTGTTTCATCAATGAGTGCCATTTAACCTGACAGAACCATATAATACCCCATAGAATTGTTACCTGACTTGCCTTGAAAAATCTAAGTTATAATGAAGTATCAGTAAATACACAACAGCATATTTTATAAAAATGTAGAACAAGCTACAGAAATTATACACTCCTTTCCAGAAATGCAGAACTATCAGCTGAGATACATAAATTTCTGTGTCTTCTAATATTTTAATATCCGAGTATGACCAAGACCTCTGTAACCTTCTGTGTCAAGTGCATGCCCTTGTTGCCTATAGGGGCAGAAAATGCAGTGTTATCCAGCCCCTATATCAGCATCACAGTTGCAGACCCCTCATAATAGTTCCTTACAAATCAAAGTGACAGCTAATAACACAAAACAGCCTTATATATGAATGCAGTGGCTGGCAGATAAGGAAATAATACTCACATTCATCAGAACTGAAACTTTACAGGAGCTACCTGTCAGCAAGAAATGGTATCATGCAGAACTTGGACAGTACATGGCAGAGAATGCCTCCTTCTAGCACACAGATTTAATGTGCAAGTTACCTGTGGATACACAACGCTTACCAGAACTGTGCCTGAAAGAAAATACTACACTGACAGTGGTTTAAAGCAAAATCTTCAGACAAAATGCTTTTTGGGCAGATCTGTTTCCAGAGCTGCAGGATTACCTGTAGGTTTGCTGCAAGTTTGTAAAATGTGTGCACTCATAGTCAAGCTTTGCACTAACTTTATTCAAGTGACTACTACATCCTTTATGTGCAATTCTCATGTTTGTTTGGTTTTTAATTTTACATGTAAATAGTACCAACAGCTACAGAATCCTGGTGAAATTCTATTGAAAGTACCAAGCCAAACACACAGTCTGATGCTATCTCCTGCTTTAATCATAGTTAATCCAGCATTTGAAGTACGTTGGTTGAACACAGAAGAAAACAATACTTTGGTGGGAAACTCAAAAGTATCTTCCCCAAGCGCATTTTCTAAGATAGGAGCATTTGGTGCATTCAGAAAGACGTCTTCATCCAATGTATATTTTATGAGCCAGAGTAAAGATATCTCTAGAACAAATGCTAAGAGGATCCAGAGAGATGAGTAATAAACCCTCCGTGTCAGAGAGATGTTTTTCAATTCAAGTGTATGGCCTGCACAGCAGATTAAAGTAAGGCTACAGACACGCAATCAGCTACAGCATCCCTGTGCAAAAACAGTTTGTGCATCGACCTAAATTTGAAATGAACCACATAATGATAAATAAATTGCTTGCAGCCTAGTCTTGCAACTTAAGCCACGTTTTGCAGGCTTAATATCCAGCAGCTTTACCCTTGCTGCCCTCCTTCCCCTCATTTTTGAGATGCCCACTAAGCTACATTGCTGGAGTAGGCCCTCACAAATTTTGCTTTAAATTTCTCTTTTGGATGCTACCTCATTAAAAATCCCACGGACACAGAAGTAAAGGACGCAGTGCTATTTGCCATTTGCAAGTCACACAGAAAAACAGCACACAGATTTCACTAGGTCACTGAACATATGGGTCCTGCTATCCAGAATCATGTTGTTCCCACTAGCTTTATTCTCCTATTTCCTGGTACAGCTTTTCACACCAATCTTCAGTTTTGATTACAAGCAGAAAGCTTTTGGGTTGCTGGTCTAGTGACATCTTCCATACAAGGAATAAAAATCCTGCATTCTGTGGTGAAGAGCAAAAGGAGTAAATGAAAAAAATACTCAAGACCAAAACTTTTGTATTTAGACACCTGTAATTAAACTCCTAATTCTACCCTTGATAAAACCACAAAATGGGCTGATTTCCAGAGATAATAAACTCTGAAGAAATGGATCAGTGCTCTATGCCTCTAAAATTAAGGCAGTGTGCATGCTTTGGTATGATTAGGAATACGATTTTAATCAGCTGCATTTGAAAACCTTTGGTCATATTCATCACTGTAATAAAGAAACCTCAGGACAAACAGCTGGGTCTCCCTTTGCAGCATGAAGCCACAACCTGCAGCAAGAAACGATGTCACAGGCTCCCTCCAGACACGCCCAGGTTTGTTGCTTTACAGAATGCTACAACTATGGTGGCAGGGATTGAGTACATTTAAGATCTGCGATAGATTTCAAATCTGCTAAGGTTGCTCCTGTGTTTTGGGATGGTCTACATTCTGTCTTTTAAACAAACACAAGTGATTTTAAAACAATTTAGTTATCCTGGTGCAAATATTTGTGTGAACGCTTTTTTCTGTAAACTGCACAAGAATGGGTTTAAACTGACCTTGGGTTACCTGTACACACCTATACATAGAAACAAGTTAGCTCATTCTGAGCACAAAACTAGCCAGACACCAGCTGCCTCCAGCCCAGAGGTCAAGCAACCACACCAGAGAAGTATTTTGGTTAACTCAGTGCCTCGTCTGAGCCTACTAACATCACCAATTTAGCAACAGATTCCAGTCCACAGCAGGTTCATACCTGGCCATACCAGCACATGTTTGGAGCAAGTTCTTACTTGTATTCATGTAAACATGTCCTAAGTGACCACAACCATCATCTATTTAATTGGCCAAGCATCCACCTATCTATTAACAAGATCCGTGCTGCTGGTCAGCCGGTACTGACTAAGCTTTCATGCCTCTGTGCAGGCTTGGGATTCTGCACAGGGACATGAGAGTTCATGATCACAGCCTCATTTCCAAATATACTGCCACTCAAAATGACTCAAACTACAAGTCAGTTTACAGCAATGCAGCTAAATTAGCAATCACTTCTTCTTGCTTTGTAAGTGTGTTTAATGTGAGTAGTTAAATGTGAGTCTTTAATTACGTCATTATCTTGCCAGCGTGAGTCAGTGTCAGTGCATTGGTCACAGTTTCTCCCGGATGATTACTCACACTTCTTATAGCAACACCTCCCAGCACACCCAAATATCCCAGGTAAAGTTCAGTGCACCTTGCCCACTTTTGTGTTGGACAGACTGGCACAGTTCCCTTCACTGTCCCTCCACGCACAGCCTACCTGACCACTGCACATTTGAAAACTTTAGAAAAACCCTTAATTGTGTATGTCCAAGGCATCATGTCACTTAGCACACAGATATTGAAGCAACAGACCGTCATGGCTTCTTAGTGTATTTATTTTTCCAATGTTGACTATTTCTTTTATCTGGCAATGACACTCTTCGAAATCTATTATTAGTACTGGGATTCCCAACCTACGCCAACACAGAATAGTGCTAAAATTATCCTGCCCAAAGTTGCGTCACTTTCTCCTTTTACCTCTCTAACTTTAGTCAGAGCAAAGTAGTGTAATAACCTGAAGGATAAGTCAAGGAAAATACAAAAAGCATGCATCCAGAATGTAAACATATGCTGCACAAGAACTGCAACACTGGGCCCACAGTAAAGGGAAGGATAATATGATGTACTCAGATAACATATGACAGTACTTTACATTTTCTAGTATAGAACTGTATTTATCAGTTTTACAGATGAATTTTTTAACTTCACTATATTTTATTTCTTTTCCTTGTTCCAGGTACATGTCTCACTTTCCACATTTCCTTTCAAAAAGGCATCTCATTTCAAAAATGACCCAGTTAGTGCCATGTTTCTTGTCAGGTCTGAGTCACAAGCACCTTATGCTGCTATCAGGGTACTTTGCTACCTATTTAGAACTGCAGTTTTGATAATTTGTCCAGGAAAGTGGTCGCTATGTTTTCATAAATCTAAAAACTAAAGAGACAGGCGTAAACTGAAGCAGAAAAGTTTCCCTTAGGGAGTAAGGGAATACACAATCTCAGCTGTTCTGATATGCTCTGCAAGTATTAAAAGGGGTTTTTAATGGGCTAAACCGCCTGAAATCCCTAAACTTCTCACATCTACAAGTCAAACTTTAGCAGGGTGGGTTTAGCTTTTCATTCTGTTGAGGTAACATTGTAGGTAAACACGACTTACATGCTGTGAGGATACTGCAGGTATCTGGAGTCAGCACCTTTGGTTCCGTGCCAAAACCACAGAACCTCACAAACTGCAAAGTACACGCTTCCATTTCTATCCCTGGTCCCGTCTGGGACTGAGGACGCTGCAGCCACAGAACCCCTTTGCCACGGGCGGAGCCAAGAGACGAAGCTGCACCAGCAACGCCGACAGACCCTGCAGTGGCTGCGGCAGCTCCCGGGACAGAGCCGTGGCTGGGCAATGGGGGGTGAGGCGGGTGGGGGTGGCGAGGCCGTCGCCTCTAATCGTGCTTCTGGAGACCTCCTCACACGGGGCAATGGGCTTTGCCCTGCGAGGCCGGCTGCCCAACGGCGGGCCCGGCAGCGCTCCTGGGGCGCCGGCAGAACCGTACCTGGATGAGGCCGCGGCGGAGCAGCGCGGTGTGGACGCAGCCCGGCACCTCGGCTCGGAGCGACACCGAGCCGTTCCCGCTGCGCAGCCACCAGCTCCCCCGCAGGCTGCGCCCCTCCGGGACGCCCGCGGCCGCCGCCAGCGGCACGGCCAGCGCCGCCAGCACCAGCAGCGCCGCGGAGCCCATGGCCGCGCCCGCCCGCCCCTCGCACGGCCGGCGCGGCCGCCGGGAGCGGAGAGCTGGGGCGGCGCCGGCGAGGGAGGAAGGAAGGAGTGAAGGACGGCGCTGCTGAGGCCGAGCGGGCGGGCGCGGCTGCGCGCGGGTCTCCGGGCAGCATCAGCGGCCCGACCGCCGGCGGCTGAGGGGACGGGGCTGGAGCGGCGGCGGGCGCTGGCACGGAGCCCTCCTGCCCACGCACGTCGCAGAAAGTGCGGGGTTTTATTTGTTTGTTTTTGTTATTGTTTTTTTGTTTGTTATTTTGGGGGGTTGGGTTTTTTTTTGTTTGTTTCCTTTTTTTTTGTTCCCTCCCATGGAGGAAGCTCTTATCTCTATGATAATAGGAGCCGTGATGCGCCGTTACGAATCCCTCAGAAGGGAAGGGAAAACGGCAGCGAGGTGGGACGGAACGAGGAAGAAAGGCTGTGAAGTGACAGCCCCGCAGCGGGCTCTCTCGATATTGGCTCCCTCGAGCCACGAGGTTTTTTTTATACGGCCTCAGACTTCCCACCTCCTGTTTCCCATAAAATTACAGCGGCGTCTAAACCCGTAAAAAAAACGTCACGAACATCTCGAAGCAGCGTGGTTTCCCGTAAAGCAGTGCTGGCGCTGTTGCTGCGTATTTTGTTCAGAAAAAAAAAAAAAAATTGTGCGTTCATCTGCAAAGGGACAGAACAGTGAGCTTCGAACAACCTAAGTACGGTTTCCAAATCACACTGCAGCTTTCCTGTATGCCCTCACTAGTTTAATACCTTCATTCACAGCTCAAAATCAGGAATTGAACAAGTTTTTAAATGGCTCGATGGAAGGAGTGGATGACAATCGGTGGCCTGAGCTCCTCTTGAGGTGTAACACCAGCCCTACTTGATGCTCTGCCCCGTCTGAGCCATCAGAGGGGCCCAGCTCACCTCCCTGAACTGGGGATGTTACCCACCATGGCACAGCCCTCCTCCCCAGCCAAAGCTGTACAGCACGTACAGAACAGATGTGCAATATACTGAGTTTCATTTTACAATACAGAAAAGCAAAAGAGTGACACACAAAAGAGCCCACACCTTCAGGAGGTTGTGACAGCACAAAACAGGGGAGCATCCAAGAACTTGATTTCTAGACTTGATTTCACGTCTGCGTGCTGAGCTGTGAGCACATTACAAAGCAGTGGGTTTGCTTTTATTTAGGTATGAACGGTTTTATTCCCCTCACACAGCTCAGTATGAAACTTAAAATGCTCATTTCAGCAGCCATGGTTACAATTTTGAGATGAGATTGAAATGGTGAGGGTTTTATAGTTTAGACTATTTCTTTTTGAGAGGGGGTTTAGTTTGGGTTGGTTGGGTTTTTTGGTGTTTTGTTTTGTTTGTTTGTTTGTTGTTGTTTTTTTTTTTGGCAGTGTGGTTTCTTGTTTATTCTTAAAGCATAGTTGATTAAATTAATGTTCCATCTGGATTCATGAAGTTTTTAGTTCATTTATGAACCAGGTCAGAATCCTGGTCAAGAAAATAATATACTGTGTTGGAATACACTTAAGTGAGAAGGTGAAATATGCTTAAAAAACCAGAAAACCATGCAAGTTCCTTTAAAGAAGTAATGATACCATTGGTGTCACTTATCATCCTGTTATTACATGACTTTTTTCCTTTAATGAATGACTCAGGTCACTGTGCATACAAGGAAAGCAAATTACTGACTATATATAGGTGCCTACATGTGATTCTGTGTAGAAATGCAACAGCATTCAAAGAAACCCCAGTTAACTGCAGGACTTTATTCAGTTTTGCCATTTCTCTCCTCATGTTTCTTCTTGTCTGTATTTATAGACTGTAAACTTAGAGGAGGAAATAATACATAGAGCACCTTGGGATATTAAAGAGTTAGTTACTTTAACAACATACATACAGCTTGTACACCAAATTACACAAGAATAAAGCGTGACTGACACAAAAGCATGCTGCTGCTCCTGGTATGCAGCACAGAGTGCAAGAGTGAACTGCAGAACTCAGGGATACCAGAGTTTTGTTTTTGCTCCTGGCTTTCACACACCTAATTCAGCATACCATAAGAATCTACCCTAGATTTGTCTTTAGGGCATGACTGAACATGGTCAACGTACCTTTTTTGATACAAATCCTTTTGAGCTGACAACCCTTCATTTCAATACAACATAAAAATGCTAGTCCTTCCATTTATCTACCATATGAAGAAAAAGTACACAATATAACCCCAGGTGGTTTTTTTCACCTGTGAGAGCACAGGGAGGGGCACAGTTCTGAGAAATATTCTCTTTGGTCCTAAGAGAAAAAAGTAGCTGACCTTTTCTTCTCTTAAAAATTTCTGCTACCGATTTCAAAAAGGGATAGATGGGACCCATACTGTTCAGCAGCAGAAGTCTGTGCAGAAATGCAGCTGTTAGTTACCATGTGTGTATTTTTAAGGCTGAGTAACCCACATTCAATATATTGACTAACTGAAAGGCAGGTTCCGTTTCAGTTCAACTCCCAGACATCTTTTAGTGAGATTTAGAGAGAATTAAGTTTCAATGCTACCAAAGAACAACTGCAAGTTGGCTTTTTTCTTTTTTTAATATTTTTTTCAGCAAGTCATGTGATAGCTTCCCAGTAAGAAGGAAACTGCATTTCAAGATGATTACTGTACTTCCGTGTTTTCTTTGCCATTTATTCTTTCTGCTGAAGACTGAGTGGAGCAACACACACACACACACAAAAACCTCAACCTAAAAACAATGCTGTAATTAAGTATTCCGAGAACATGCTGTTTCCTTGTTCAAGGCTTATAATTAAGTTAAATCATGTTTCATTTTCATGTCCCAGTTTTAGGGTTTGTTTTTTGTTTGAGAGTATTTTTAAACAAATGACATTTTTGCTGTTTAAAGATATGAGAGCTTTAAAGGCTGTGGTTTTATTTTTTAAAATCTTAAGACACAAAGCAAGATCTTTTGCATGCTTTTTTACTGTGTACCATATTAACATTCTTTTCTAAAATGCCACAAATTTAGGTTACTACTATTCTTACTTTGCAATACTGCAAGCAGACATTCTTATCAACTAAGACGAAAAGCTGAAGGCAAACCCATGCCTTTGGTTCTATCAGAATAAATTCAGAGCAGTTCCGTTGAAGCTGCCCGAATTCTGCCATGTTAATCCAAAAGTCCTTTGTTTCCAATTGCCTATGCAATCTCTATCATCACAACAGGCTACCGCTGTTTTCTCTTTCACATTCATGTTCAATGAGTTCACGCAAAGGTTTTAAACCAACAGGTTCTCACAGATTTCGGTGCGGTACTTCAAGATATTACTGCCCCCACCTGTCCACCCTGTACTATTCTTCTCCTGAAGGTAAACACCTCTGAAGCAAAAAAAGGACTTGTATTCACACCAGTCTGCATCAGGGCAGGTTATATCTTTTGGGAGTTGAGCACTGCTGAGGATACCAACACCACTGACCATTTGTCAAAGATGCAAACCAACTAAAGGACCGTCTATCTACTTTGTGGAACTTCGTCTAGGTGCAGAAGTATCAGTGCAGATGTGTTGGATAAGTACTGGTGTAAAACTGGACTGGTGTTTGTATGACTGTAAATACCTTCAGGCAGCACAGCGTACCCATATGAAAGCCCCACAGCTCCTCAAAATAACACCTGACCTCTGTTTCCTGCCTGCCTCTGCAGAACAGAACTGCTGTGCAAAATAGTTACTCCCTGGGCTGGGGTAAAGGCCATACGGTGCAGGGGGCTCTCCAGCTATGGATTTGTAAAGGACATTATTGTGTATTTATCTTGAATCCCACCCAAAATGATGTTAAAAATAAAATAAGGAAATAAGATTGCATTTAGAGGAGGATGGTATTCCTACAGCACTAAAAGAGAATGTTTTACTAGGTTATCATGAGCAAAATACAAAGTGACAATCTAAGTAGTAGGCCTGAAGTTTCTTTCATAATTCTGGTAAAGTCAGTAGGTCATTGCAAGGGGATTTCCTTAGCAAACAAAATTACTCAATGCTAGCAATCACAAGTAATTAAAAACAAGTATCTGGAAGGGAAGCTACTGCTGCAGGCAAATGCTATAATGGAAGGGAAAACCCAAAATATACATAATAATAATTTTAAAACTGCATAAGCAGGAAGACAGGTGATACCTTGAATATAACCTTACATTTCATCAGGTATGCTGGGCCAAAAGCTTGTATTCCATATCTCTACATAACACCTTGCTTTGAGATGAGCTCAAAACACAGGATTTAGGTTTCAGGTCACCACTTTCTATAGCACAGACAGAAAAAGCGTAAGGATCTTTAAAACCAGCATGGCCAGATTTCTAAAGACAGGTCCTTTAGAAGGTGGAATTCCCACAGCTTTTATTCTCTTCATGTTATAAACAATTTTGGAACAAACCTAATCCATTTATAAGATTACATAACACTGGCCATTGTCATTTAGCCTTTGTTTCATAGCAGCAAAGTCACTGTCTGAAGACCAGGTATGGTAATGTCCAAGCTCCCCGTCAGCTCTCATTAAAACTTGCCTAAAACATATTGAGAATCAAAGCCAATTCTCTGGGACTTACAGGAAATCAGTAGCACATATGAGGACACTCTGAAACAGCTTGCTTAGCCTTTCTTAAAGATCTAAAGCTAGACAGTCGTCTGTCTGCAATGTACAACCACAATACAATGTACCAAAAAAGTCTCGTCCCAAAAAGCCTAAAATTAAATCCCTCAAAACGTGGGTATTGCAGGTAACAAACACTTTCTCCCATGATGGAAGTTTGAGAGGCTCACTGGGCCTGCATCCTTGGCACTTTACCAGCTGAGTGCAGGACACACCAAACAGAGCAAACTAAATATGAAACATACTGTTTTAATGAATGTTTTCTGTGCAGGTGACTATTAGGAGAATCTCAACATAGGTTTATAGCTGATAAATTGGATTATTAAATTTAAGTGGATTTGGAGTTGAAACAGCTGGGA